ACCCATCTTACATCGTAACACCGTATACAGTATGGGGGAGCAGGTCAGCAAAAATCTATTTATGTAGAGTATTGTACTGCACTTCTATGCTCCCTGCCTTTACCAACCCAGCCTGCACTGGTCAGCGTGGTGAAATGTAGTCAAATGACCCCGACGGCGTGTGGAGGGCCCTCATCCAGCAGTAGATTGACCTCTGTTGATGATGACACAGCCATATGGGGGTTGTAGGGCAAACCCATTGTACGGGTAAGTGTGGTTGTACTGCACTTCCTATGCTCCCCGCCTTCGACTCGCCCAACATGGTGAGGTATGGTCAGTAAAAGCCCCACAAACAACGCGTGGTGATTGGCAATGCGAGGGTTGTGTGCGATGGACTCATCCATTAGTGGACTGTGACCATGGCCCCACAACACGATGGAAGTAAAGGCAACAACAAAGTCTTGGGTTTTTTCGGTAAAGTCACGTAGGTAAAAATAAGAAAAATAATAATAAATGAAAATAACACAATTTTGGTTATATTAAATAATTAGAAAATAATAATAATGAAAATAACTAAATTTTGGTTATTTGCATCTATTATTATTCTATTATTAAAATAATAATAAATGAAAATAACAACAATGTAGTTATTTACATTTATTCGTATTTTTACTGACGTGACTTTACCGAAAAAAAAAACCGAAGAGTATGAATCATTGCAGGCACGAAGGCAACAACAAAAACCCGCACAGCCACGGAGTGCTTGAGGGAGGCCATCATCCAGCAGTGGCATGACTACGGCTGCTGATGATGGCGATGACGACGATGATGGTGATGATGATGGTGGTGCTGTTACGAACCTCGTCGTGACTGACAGCAGCAGCAGCCGAGGCCAAATATGATCACAGTCTTTCTCTTCAACGCCTGTCGCCGCGGGCGTCTTCCAACTCGCGTTTAGCGACGAGACGTAGTCGCCCACATTACACACTGAGGCGGGCTGGGTGACGACGGCCGGCTCCGTTACTCACAGACAATAAAATAAACTACTACCACCATCGACAACAACCAAGCGAGCGTCAATTCACCAAAGTTGTTAATGTTCAATTGTCGTACAGAGGACTTGTGCTTTTAATGAACGCGGAGATGTCAGGCGACCCTCGGCTGCCCGCCACCGACTGATGCCCGACGAGCCGCTGCAGAAAGGGGCCCTCACGGCGGTGCCCCCCCCCCCCCCGCAGGACCTCTCGTGATTGGTCGAGGAGCGCGCGCGTCGACATTCGCCAGCCAATGGGAGAGCGCGACACATGCCGAGCTGAAGCGTTGGGAGACTTGGGGAGGGAGTGGGGGGTGCGACTCGCCCCGCCCCGCGTCCCTCTGACCCCTCTCACCCTCCTTCCCCCCCTCCTCTTCCCCCCGCCCCCTCCCCCTCTATCCCCCTATCCCCCGCCCCTCCCCCTCTACCCCCCTACCCCCCGCCCCTCCCCCTCTACCCCCCTACCCCCCGCCCTTTTCCCTCAGCCCCCTTCCGCTTCTCCCCCTCCTTCCCCCGCCCCCCCTCCCCCTCACCCCCCCCCCGCCTCACCCCCCCACCCATCCCCCCCACCCATCCCCCCCCCTCTCACCCACCTACTAATCGCCTGACTTCAATGGATTTCTGAGCTTTCGTCAAATAATTATCATTCCTGCAGCCCCACCTTAGGTCTAACAAAACAAAGCAAACATGCATTTATTAAATTTTGATTTAAAGCTTTCGTGACTGCAGGGATGTATTAGTTAAGCGAGGTTTAATAAATGTGCTGAAATGTCTTCTTGGTTCTTTCGGTAAAGTCACGTAGAAGGGAAGTAATAAAATAATACAAATAAAACATAATAAAATAATATAATAATATTATATAATTCTGAAATGTGTTACAATAGTGTGTTGCAATGTAAATTTTCAACTCGAAAAAAACTCAAATGCAAAAATGGCCATTCAAACTAAGTTTCCACAAAATAATAATCCAATTCTCTCGTGTAATTCTTCATCTGTTTTGTGTTGTTTTAGCAATTGAGTGATACAGAAAACGTAAACACAATCTACGCCCCCCTATTCGGTTTTCTTCGGTGAGTGGCACCATGACCAGCGTGGTGAAGTATGGACAAAATGTATCTCACTGCCCCACAGGAGGCCGTCATACAGCAGTGGATGAAACAAGCGGACTGTACATATACAGTACATTAATTTGGCTAAGCACACATTTACCTCACAATAAAACAAGAACTCACATTGCTCAATCACACCGCCTCAAAAGCAATCACTAATACTATAAAGGCGACATTTTGGCGTTTCTTCAAAGCCCGTGATTTTCAAAGCACATTCCTTTCCATGTGTTCTGAAGAAGGGGCATTGCCCGAAATGTCACCTATTATGCACGTCTCCCTTTTAGGGCCCCAGTGTCATTGACACGGAACGTGTTGGAGAGTTGTTCATTCTTTTTATGTACAACTGCCAAAGCAGCAGAAGCATCTTAACCAAATTGTTAACCTCATTGGATGGATGATGTGGCTGGACAGCTGCATAGGATGGATGGTGTGGCTGAATAGTTCAGGTTTCAAAATGTACTAGCACTGGCAAATTCCTGATTTAAAATCCTGATTTTGACCACTGCGGACGAAACAGGTTTCTGCTTTATAAAGAGTGAGTCAACTCGATTGTCTCGGCTGCGTTCAAGCAATGACTTAACAGAAACGGCCACGTCGCTTTAAACCTTTTTTATCATCTAATTTGGCAAAATTCCAGTTGTAATCATTAAATGTAATTCCAATTGGACATCTAGAATGTGATGATCACTGACAACTCAAGACAATAGGCTTTTTTTTGTTGAACATGAAGAAAATGTGCGAAGAGATGCGCGTATGGTCACCTGAAAACATTTTGAGTCGTTTTCTGCCACAAATTGGCACATTAGGGTAGAAGGAATATTCTCAACACGAGCCACTGAACCACATTTCTAGAATTGTTTCCACTTCCCAGTCCCTCCAACTGTTATTCCTCAAGGCTGACACCACCACACAGCATATTTTCAACTACTGCAACTCGTCCAATTGTACGCAATTTATAGTTCTTTGAACAGAGTTTGAGAGCTGGTGGCATAAAATACCATGCGTTTTCGTTATCGCTTTAAAATAAAGGAAACTATTAAAGTTCAAGACGTTTCATGTGTAGCGAGTCCAACTGAGTCACAGACGTTGTCTTGAGAGCAACACTGTTGATTGACCAACAATACGTAACACAACACAACCTACACTCGGGTCTCGAATGCCCATCTAGCCACGCTACGGCAGAACTAGACACGGTTCGCTATCCCGGTCCGGACCACAAGCTACTGGGTCCCGGACCGCGTGGCTCGAGGCTTCTTTTTCCCGACGTGGATCATCGAACACCAACACTTGAAGAACCCGAGCTCCTCACGGAGCCCTCCTTATATGCTCCCGGGCTGGGGCTGGCTCCGCCCTCAGCCCCGCCCACCTTCCAGGCTCCTCGAGCCCCTTCTCGAATGTTCCCGAGAGCTCTCCGGGACCACGTGGCCCCCTCTAGTTACGTCCAGTCACGTGACGACAGGTCAGCCAGGGTGTCATGCCCCAGAGTGACCCCGGCTGGCTGACACTCTCTCTCGCCCCCTCATTGGGAACCGGCACCCATACTGCTCGTGGTGCCTTTGCGCTAACCAGCGCTCACCCAAACACCGCAAGTGTTGGTACTGGAGCCCACAATCCGGGCTGCCCACAATGACATCATCTGGATTTGAAGCTTTCGTGACTGCAAGGATTCATATTCTTAGGTTTTTTCGGTAAAGTCACGTAGGTAAAACATAAAAATTAATAAAAATAAAATAAAACAAAAATCACGAAGATTACATCTTGAATTATTGCCTCACTTGATGCAGCTAATCCGGCTGTGACGGTCCCACCTGATGACGGAGACTTGTGTTGCCTCCGAAACGTCGTGATTTTTGTTTTATTTTATTTTTATTAATTTTGATGTTTTACCTACTTGACTTTACCGAAAAACCTAAGAAAATGACATCATCGTCCGTGACTTCGCAAGTCCCGGCACCACACAGTGACAAGTACAGTCACTACACATGAAACCAAGAGCACAATAAAACATGCTTTGGTACTTAAGCGCATGCCTACAAAATCATAAAAGCGTGGCTTTCAAATTTTGACCTATCAGTTTTAGATACAAACATAAAAAAGCAGTTCTTAACATGCTAGAGCATGATTTTAAGCTTTCATGACTGCAGGAATTCATACTCTTTGGTTTTGTCGGTAAAGTCACATAGGTATAAAATACAATAAATCTAAACGTCGTGATTTTTTTTATACCTACGTGACTTTACCGACAAAACCAAAGAGTATGCTACGGCATGTTTATGACACCGTTGAGTTCCCTGGGCTTGAGACCGGATTTCAGCAGTCTGCGATTAAACTCAAGTGTAGGGTGTTCATTGCACCATCGTTACGAATGTAAATAAGTAATATTTTTAAAAACTTTTTTAAAACACGCTTTTAATTAAATGTATCCTACTAGCAATGGAAGAACTCCACGACTCCAGGAAGTGGCCCCGAAGCTTTCTATAACGTAAAGGGGACGTGGTGATTTACAGCCAACGTCAGTTGAGCGTGGACAATTAGACCCAAGCTGAAACATAACATATACAAATATTTATCTTATTGTTTATTATTTCTCTTCTACGTGACTTTACCGAAAGAACCAAGAATATAAAAAAATATTGTTTAAATGTTTTATTTTAATGATAGAATATAGTATTGTCAGTATGACATAAGTATACCAAGTTTTGCAGTCGATACCACATTGGGAAGTGGGTAAAATTTTAGTTACAAGATTTGAGGATACAACAACAGAGTGAGTTCAAGAAAGCGTGTAAAAACGAAACTTATTAAATTTTATTTTGATAAATTCAGCTCTGTGAGAATAAAAAATATATCAGTGCTTGACACATCACGTGGCAAAATACCTGTTTAGCAGGCAGGGTAAGGAAGCACAGGCCGTGTCCTTGTGGATCCGAGGTCACTTGAAGATGCTTTCAGAAGCAGTTCTATATTATCGCCTTCTGTGGACCGTTCTCTTAGCACAGCCGTATCCTTGTGGATCAGAGGTCACTTGAAGATGCATTCAGAAGCAGTTCTATATTATCTCCTTCTGTGGACCGTTCTCTTAGCACAGCCGTATCCTTTTGGATCAGAGGTCACTTGAAGATGCTTTCAGAAGCAGTTCTATATTATCTCCTTCTGTGGACCGTTCTCTTAGCACAGCCGTATCCTTGTGGATCAGAGGTCCCTTGAAGATGCATTCAGAAGCAGTTCTATATTATCGCCTGCTGTGGACCGTTCTCTTAGCACGGGGTGATGCAATCCTCTGCGCGAGGAACGAACCCAGCCTTCATCTGGTATCGTGACAATTTCTCTCAAGAGACAGAAAGAAACCAGATTTCCAAATCACTGCCCAAAATTACACATTAATCCAATAATCCGCGTGACGATAACAACCCCTACGTTTCGGTGTTTCAAGGTGGGCATAAGTCCCACGTTAGCGGTGATTGATGTTGTGCTGCGAAAGGGCGTTATGAATCACGGAGGTGTGGCAGCAACACCGGGGCAGAACCAACGAGCTGTTTGTTTTGGGAGACATTGAGCAAGAGGATGACAAATAAGCGTGCGCAATCTGCAGCGGGTTCAGTCAATCGCACAAAGCCCGTCTACTGTGGCGAACAAGAGGACACGGTACAATCGTTCCATAAAACAAAAACAATGCATAGGCAAAGCTGGGGTGCATGGGTTAGCACGTTGTACCAGTCTTCTTGGTTCTTTCGGTAAAGTCACGTAGAATGGAAATACTAGTACTAATCACATACCTGCATTTCCCATAAATATGCTAAATTCCTCTTGATATGCACATTATTTTGTCAAGACGCCCTTCCCCCCCTTTCCAACCCAGCTTAAATATACGCTCCAAGCATGGTGGTGTTTCATTCAGACGCTGTCTCCCCGACAGACCTGGTCTTCACCTGAGGACGGCTGCTTGCGTTGTGGCCGAAACGTCGTGATAATTATTTTATCATGTTTCATTTTGTTATTTTATTATTTCCATTCTACGTGACTTTACCGAAAGAACCAAGAAGATGAATCCCTGCAGTCACGAAAGCTTTAAAAAGTTGTACCAGCTTGAGTCGCATTGCCGGCAAACGGCTAAAATCAGTGGACGAGCGACACCTGACCCCGTACTAAAAGGTAAATTATTCCGTGAGTCTTCGTCGAGATGCACAACACACCACGAGCACAAATAGCTGCAAGCAAAAACATATGAACAACCATCGTAATATTCGATAGACTGTCAATTCACAATTGGCCCGCGGTCGTTGAGCGTCTGCAGTGAACGAATGCTCCACGCAACACACTTTGATCGATAACCCTGTTGATGAAGCGATTTTAGTACGACAGTGGCCGCGTGCGGTTGGAAGAACAAACGAATACCCTTGGGGCCAGGTGGATCATTCACGTCGTGGTATAGCAGGTGCAGACAGCAGGCAGTTAACCGGACGGGGCTTTTAAAAAAAAAAAGCACGTGGGATTTAATTCAGTGGCACGAAAAGCATTGCGTCCTTAAACCCCGCCACCACCCGACACGGCCAATTAGTAAGGTTTGTCACGTAAACAGAACGTGCCAATTCGTAGCTGGCAACACAGCACACCGGTGTGTTGGGGGAGGCAAGCCACAAGATTTACATTCAGAGTCCGACGTTTCGCCAGTAATTACAACCAGCTTCATACTCTTAGTTCTTTCGGTAAAGTCACGTAGGTAAAAAATGAAATTAAAATTAATAAAAATAAAACAATAAAAATCACGACGTTTTGGAGGCAACACAAGTCTCCGTCATCAGGTGGGACCGTCACAGCCAGATTTGCTGCATCAAGTGAGGGAGGGATTCAAGATGTAAGCTCTTAAGTACCAGTTAAGGGGGGACGGAGGGGAGGGGCTTATCAGAATGTGGTAGCCAATGAATGGAACGTATCGGGAGGGGGGGGGGGCGGGGTCGTGGTCAACGACGTGTTTGTGCGCAAGTCACTGTGAATGTACATAGTAGAAAAGGAACGAAAATGCCTATGTTTATACCAGTGTTGGCTGACAATAAAGTACTGTTAAACGTTAGGGATGTAAACACTCGGCAAAGTAAAATATTTCATTTTTTACCGACGTGACTTTACCGAAAGAACTAAGAGTATGAATCCTTGCAGTCACGAAAGCTTCGAATCTAGAAATACAACCAGCTTCATCAGGAGACATCGACATTTACACAATCTAACCCAAAACAAAAAGCTGTATTATTGATATTGGTCGCGAAAGCCCTACTACGTGTTGAACTAAAACTTTGTACATTATTTGTCTTCATGCGCCAATGAGGAGCATCCCCCCCCCCCACGACACCCACACACAGACTAACTTCACCACAACCTGCACAGACCGGCATGGTAAAGAAAAGTCGAAAGTAGAAAACAATCTGCTACCTTCTACCTCGTGTCCGTTCACGAGTCATTATCTTCTGTTTACGTTGGTGTGTTCAACCGAGAAGATGAACACAAGATTTAGCAGTCTTTTGAAATGCGCGGTCAACCAGGTTTAGTGTCCTAACCGTGTTGTTGGCCGACTGGGTTGCATCGCATTATGTTTCTAAGGTTTGCCTAGTTCGCGTCTTCCATCTTCTTGCTGTATTTGCCTACGTGCAGTTTGCCGTTCTCGGTGTGATCTGTGTGTGATGGCTGTGTGTGATGTCTGTGTGTGATGTCCCTCTGTGTTCTAGATTTGAAGCTTTCGTGACTGCAAGGATTCATATTCTTAGGCTTTTTCCGTTCCACCTGAGGACGGGGGCTTGTGTTGCTTCCGAAACGTCGTGATTTTTATCTTATTTTTAATTTACTTTTATTAATTTTACATTTTTACCTACGTGACTTCACCGAAAAAACCTAAGATTATGAGTCCCTCTGTGTGTTCCCTCGCTGTGTGGTTTACACCATTTTCACCTAAAGACGAGCGCTTGTGTTGCGTTCGAAACTTCGTGATCGTATTTTAATTGTATTTCTACATACGTGACTTTACCGAAAGAACCAATGAGTATAGTAATCCCCAACAACCATGGTCAATTTAACACGGAGGCTTTAGCGACCAATATCATCAAAAAAACCTCTTATGAACCCTGCACGCAGGGCAATAATCCCAGGAGTGGACGGACAAAGGGCTTCAAATGATTGAATTTTATTAAACTTTACGGAAATGAATATTAAAAAAAACATTAAATCCACGTGAACGCCCATTGACATTAAACATTCAGTACAGGTATTGGATAAAAACTGCTAAACATTTCGCACCTAAGTTGGACAACCAAATAAATAAATAAAAACATGCATGTGACTCCGAGACCAGTCTGAACATATTGACAGATCAATACCACACTGCACTCGGAAGCGATTCTACGCAGTATTACATTTCATGACTAACCACCCATTCTCCTACGCCGCACCTCCGCATTACTGTACGATCACAAAGGACTTTTGGATTGGCAAACAGGCTGCAATTATCTGCATTTTCTAACTCCCTTTAATCGCAGGGCTTACTTACAACAGGGCGTGTATTTACATGAAAACACCCAAGTGGGATACCGAAAGCTGTACAATGGATTTACCCCCCCCCCCCCCGCTTTCAGACTGCCTGTGAGGGTGTGCTTATATACAGAAGTAAAAAATTTAACCCGTAAAACTAAGTTTTTCACTATAAATCCTTTATATGCGTGGCGGCTAGAGTCCTCTCGTCCTCTGGCTTGAGATGGCTGCCACCTATGGGTCAGATGATTGCCTGCCACCATTAAGCAATTGGTAGTTAAATATAACAAAAAATCCTAAAAAGTGTATAATTTTGGGAAAAAAAAATTCACGAAAATACTCGATTGGACCACTGGAAGTGGGTTAAAAAACGACCGAAAGATTTGCACAGTCGTAAGCGCGCAAGCAAGTGAACTTAATATAAAGGATTTAAAAAATACAAATTAATACAAATAAAATAAAAATCACGACGTTTCGGAGGCAACACAAGCTTCCGTCTTCAGGTGGAACTGTCACAGCACGATAGCTGTATAAAATGAGAGAAATTACAAGAACACGGTATATATATAAATACTGTTTTCTTGGAATTTCTCTCATTTGATACAGCTATCGTGCTGTGACAGTTCCACCTGAAGACGGAAGCTTGTTGCCTCCGAAACGTCGTGATTATTTTATTTTACTTTTATTAATTTAATTTTTTTACCTACGTGACTTTACCGAAAAAACCTAAGAATAAGAATCCTTGCAGTCACGAAAGCTACAGACGGGGTCCTCTAAGAGGGCCTCTCCCTTGAGTCCCCCCCTCTCGTGGAAGCCCCTTTTAATTTTAACAGCAAGCCGTGAGCGAATTGCACTTTACTCTTTGGTTCTTTCGGGAAAGTCACGTAGGTAGAAAAAAAATAGCAAAAAAACTGCTGTGGTTCTCACCTGATGACGATTGCTTTGTGTTGCGATCAAAACGTCGTGATCTATTATTTTTTCTACCTACGTGACTTTACTGAAAGAAGCAAAGAGTATAAATTCCTGCAGTCACGAAAGCTTCAAATCAAGATTGAATTGCACCTTCATTAAAATTATGCAAACCTGAAAAAACACGATTTACTTAAAAATTGAGAAATTTACTTTTTTCAAAATGGAATCTTTGAGACACTAAACGATGCAAAGATTCACCGTTTGATGTATGCGCAGAATGTGCGGCGCATTCTTGATTGCAACCATTGGTAATTGGAGATTTGTGTCAAGTGTGGCGAATTGACTCGAAACGCAAGCACCAAGTCTTAAATATATTTATTAAAAATATAAAACAATAATTTCCATCCGAGACATCAGCAGCATAGTTTGAAGGACATGCATTTCAATCCATCCGACTGCATTTCCCAGTAATATCAAATTAAATAAACAGATCTTAAGGGCCGTCCATAAATGACATCACGCGATTTTGGACGATTTTTTTACCCCCCACCCCTCGTCACAAAAAGTCAGACCCCCCCCTCAAATTACGTCAAAAAGCTCTGCCCCCCCCCCCCCCAAAAAAAATGCTTCAAATCGCTTAGAACTATTGTCATTGTAGTGCGTATTTAATGTGGCGCTGCACTCTGATGTTGTAGGAGAAAACATTTATTAAAAAGTCTATTTAAGTAGAACGTGTTGTCTATATGTATTTAAAGTTGCGCATTTTGATGTGACGTCACATTTCTCACCCCCCCCCCCCCGTCACACATTATCACAAATGTCTGACCCCCCCCCCCCCAGGTGCGTGACGTCATTTATGGACGGCCCCTTATTTAAACACTTTAAATGGGAAAGCGGGAAGTCTTACGTTAACCAAAATATCCATATAGTACACGTCGCATATCTGACCATCACTCACCCACACTGAGCAATGAACAGTCCATAAACCCAATGCCATCATTGTGGATGGTGTGACTGTCATCATCCTCAGATCTTCACAAATCTAACCTCTTCACACAGCCATTCATTCTTATTCTCGCACACAGTCGCTTGTTTGGAAAGCAAAGCCGAGCATTTTTTAAAGCAGTTTGTGCTTTATTTTTATCCAATAACCTATCGTGTGTGATCTGTCATTTTCTATAGATACACCTATATCTGACCTTATCAAATATTGGCCTATAACCAAAGTCAAATGTGATAAAGTAGTGTAGGTGTTTTCACCACAAAGGTCAAGAGCTACCCCCCCCACAGTAGCGACACGTTTGTGCCAGTTCCGGTTGCCATACGGGGGCAGATCCTCCCATCTCCACAAACACGCGTTCAATAATTCAGGTCGGGGCGAGACAGGGTGCGGTCTTACAAATGTGCCGTGCGATAGGACGCAAGACCCCATGTTGTTGTAGAGCCGGCGGACAGACGCAGCAACACTGGAGCACAATTAATGACTCAGGGGTGAGGGGGGGGGGTAGAATTACATCAGAGACAAAGTTGCGCAAGGCCACATTTAGCCCTAAGTCGCTCGCAATGTTGCGTGCTTTCAACAGTTCGGCAATTGGCGAAAGGAACGCAAGATCATCGATTCCCGGTGGTGCGTGTGGATTCACGGGGTGAACTCTGCCACCCAGCCGAAGTCCGATCTACCGAGACGTTTGAGCCGTTTCGCCTCGGACCGACTCAACGTTGGCGTACGTCCCTCCGTCTCTTCGCCACGAAGTTCGTCATTTTGTGGAGTGCGCGACGCGGGTTCATCACTCTCTACATCGGAGTCGACCTCTTTTTTAACTACATCGGTTTCCATCTTCTCCTCATCCGGAAGCTCGCTGAAGAAATTCCAAATGAAAACAAAAATTCACACATTATTATAATAATAATCTTCAGTGCAATCTTCTTTACTGCCATTGAGTTAAGGAAGCATAATGGTATGAACAGTCTCAAACGGCCTGCAAACAAATATTATTATTTAACAAATGAGTTATCTTTCCAGGCGCTCCCGGTTTCCTCTGACATGTAAACATTGTTTTATATTTTTATTATTTTATTGTTTCCCTTCTACGTGACTTTACCGAAAGAACCAAGAAGTGCATAAACTATAATTACTATTATTTCATCCAAGTACAGTTATTGCACCATCTTTCGGCATTCATTTAACTCACGAAGATAATTCTATTTGTATTTTATTATTTACCCCGGGTGAGTCCCTATGTTGACGGGGTTTTCATAATCAGATGTTTTCTGCCAATGAATGAGCGTTTATACGCGTGCGAGGTTAAACCGGAGGCACCTGGAGGGAAAGCACGGCAGTGATTCCCACGGTAGTGTGTGGCGAAAGCTACAGAGAAGACGTGCTAAACGTACCTTTTCTCTTTCTTGGAGATCAGCAGGGAGGTGACAAAGAGGTTGCAAAGGACGGAGGCAGGAGGCAGCACATGCGCTGGGGTACTCAGCATCTGAAAGAGCAGGCCGTGACAACCAAAGTCGAAGATGAAGAGTGCAATTTTGATGCGGTTGTTGCTTAAAGCATCGTTGTCTCCGTTGCTGTGCAACTTGTGAGTAAACAATGTTGCTCACAGCTTCGCAACAAGACAACTTTGTTCAAACTGCGTTCAAATGTTGGTTCGTTGCACTTACAACACACGCACGCGCTGCGATCAGCAGGGTGGGATCGGTTGGTCATCGTGGGAATACTAAATGCAACATGGCATGTATTTTTTCCATGCAATTAAAATCTCTAGACGTTCAAGAAACTAAACGATTTTTTTTATAAAGGCAATGTCACCAACACAAACTATCTGCATTTCCCATAAATATGCTAAATTCCTCTGGATATGCAAATTCCTTTGTCAAGGCGCCCCTTCCCCCCTCCAACCCAGCTTAAATATACGCTGCCAAGCCTGGTGGTGCCCATTCAGACGCTGTCTTTCCGACAGACCTGTTCTTCACCTGAAGACGGCTGCTTGCGTTGTGGCCGAAACGTCGTGAGAATTATTTTAATATGTTTTATTTTTATCATTTTATTATTTCCCTTCTACGTCACTTTACCGAAAGAACCAAGAAGATGAATCCCTGCAGTCACGAAAGCTTACAATCGAAAAATCTGATCAAAGTGGTCAAGTGCGGTAAAATAACCCACCCCATAATCCGCACGGCATGGGCAGGCCCTCATCCAGCAGTGGATCGACAACAATACACGTGTAAAACAGGTAAGTATCAAACTCACCATAGCTATTTTCACAGCATGTTATTATACTCTTTTCAAACATATGGTTGTTGAGGAGGTTTTTTTCTTTCCTGCCCTGTTTACCCCGGGGCAGATGGGAGGTAAAAGGAAGGACCGTCCAAGCCTCTGTGTTATTACAATACAATGGGTGAGAATCGATTTAAAGCTTTCGTGACTGCAGGGATTCATCTTCTTGGTTCTTTCGGTAAAGTCACGTAGAATGGAAATAATAAAATAATAAAACTAAATAAAGTTTGTGGAATCCACTATGGGGTGGGATTCTACAAAACTTTATTATGTTAAAATTTTTTATTTTATTATTTCCATTCTACGTGACTTTACCGAAAGAACCAAGAAGATGAATCCCTGCAGTCACGAAAGCTTTAAATCGAAATTTAACCGCCACTACGGGGTGGGGATTCCACAAAACTTTATTATGCTTTATTTTTATTATTTCCATTCTACGTGACTTTACCGAAAGGACCAAGAAAATGGGTGAGTAATTAACCAAAGTTGAAGGCGCAGCCCTGCAATTGCTTTGCTCACGCCACCGCTGGAAGAAGGGCCTCCACACGAAGGAATTCTAGAGAGCTTTCTCAAGGGCATTCTCGCCCACTCTTCCAGACTGGCCAGTAACGTCTTAGAAAAGAGAGACATGAGAGTGCCCAAACTTTACCCCATCGCACGCGACCTTACACTAATCAACTGACAGTGGTGAACCCATTTACACCGCTGGGTGAACAAAGCCGGAGGGGATTTAAACAAAAACTCTGCCCCCCCCTCCCCATCGTTTCAACCATCGAATTGAACCCGTGACCTCTGGACAGCAAGAAGACAAGTCTGGTGCGCTAACCCATTACACCAGTGGCAGCATTTCCCCCTCCCCCAAGTCACCCATGCATGCGGCCGTGTTGCGCAACAGCGTCAGGGGTATAGGCAATGGTTTAACAATAGGATGGTTGCGCAACATATGAAGAATCAAAGAGCTACACTTGAGGTATGCAACCCCATTCAGCTTCTTTCTTCTCCCGCCGCCGCCTGCGTGGCGAACGTCACCTGACAAAGGCAGGTGACGTTCGCCTCACCACACGTCTCTGTGAATAACTTTGGCAAAAGCACGTCACCGTGCCCTCCGTACTTTCCTTTCGAGTATTTTGTGGTTGATGCTAATTTACGCAAGTATGTATGTGTAGTGCCAACCCTACAGGACAGGGTGTGCGAGTGCCGCCGAAGGATGAGGTTACTCAAGGCCATGGAACACTCTGGTTGACACCGGGAGGACACGTGACCATTTAATTCTACAAAGGGGCCCCAAGTGGGGGCTAGGGGTGGTCACGTGGTTAGCATCCAGATCCTTCCTGAGGATTCTAGAAGGTGGTCGTGGCCAAGGGCAGAGCCGGCCACGCCGTAAAGATTATCAGCCGGGTCCCGAGAGGGACCAGGGTTGTTGTTGTTGTTCATCCTGAAGAAACCTTCGTCTACGTTCTCCAGTTCAATGAGTCTCCAACACGTGGACCCGGACCCAAGCTGTTGGTCCCGGTCCGTATGACCAGTTACGTAGTAACCAGTGTAGTTAGCCTGGTGGTCACCACCTTAGGTTGTTATTCTGTTAAGGGGTAGTTACCCCGTGTGTTGGAGTTGAATAAATGTGTTGCCTCTAAGTCTACGTCTGCGACTCAGGTGAACCCACTGCATGTGTGTGTATGTTTGCGAGTGGAAACAAATGACGAAATTTGCAGTGGACACCTCCAAAGTGCTCCATCACTATAGGTCACGAGAGCTGCAGCATAGCCCCACCCCCCACCACCAGGCTGGCGACAGCAACATGGGCAGACCTTAATCCGGTCAGCGAACAGATCATGCCTGCCACCGCTGCCAATCAATGACGACCACAATCCCGCCTCCCCCACCACCTACCTCCCGGACGGTGAGCGAGCCCGAGAGAGCAGCGGCAGCCTTGTTGTCTCTCTCCACGACGGCGTCCCTGAATGCACCGAGTTCCGCGTTGTTTGCGGTGGCAGCACCATCCTCTCCCTGCTGCTGCTGCTGCCGGTGGTGTTGCAGCAGCATGGAGAACGGAGTGGCTGGGATGTTCTCCGCCAGCACCAACTGGCAGGTCCGAGAGAGAGAAACGAATGTATTAGTATGTAACCAAGTAAATAAAGAGCAGAAGTCACCTTTCATCAGAATCTTTATTCACAGTGGAGGAATCCGTTGAGCTCTAAAGCTCTTTTTCAGGTGTCCAGTAGATGTCCAATTATTATTATTCGTAATAATGATGATACTGGGTTTTTATACAATAGGGTCGTTTATCCCACTACATGACACAACGCGCCGCCGGCAAACACAGAGGTGCGCAAGTTAGACTGGGAATTAACCTGAAAAGACCGCTTACAAGAATATTGGGATTGTTAACAGAACCCTCCAATCTTGGAATCGCGCTCTATCAAAACTAAGTTTGTGCAAAGGGTGTCTACAATGTGTCATACACGTGATATATTCACAGTCCTTCTGCCAATTCACCGCTCGGACCTTCCTACACCGTGCGTGTGGCCTGCCAAGAGGATGATTTGGGCCCCAAACTTCACCGTGCTGGTCAGGGAATGTTCGTGATGAGAGAGGGGTGGGCTGCCCACTACCGGTTCAGAGAACGCTCACCACTGGCATTAGTCGTCACAGCTGTAAATTAATTCGACAGGCCGATTGACGGAGGGACACCACACAGATTTTGTAGCTCAACAGGTGTGTGACTGCTCCCCCAACTGTTTGACTAAAATTATTATAATTAGAGACAGTGGTGGTTCTAGAACCTATTAAGACAAATGGCGATCCTGACATTTCAAGGTTATTAAATCGGACCCTACAATTCAAGAAAAACCCATTAAATGTAACTATTTTTGGTAAATATCAATGAAATGGCAAATTTCGGTGTCCTCACCGAGCATGGATAAGAGGTCACTACACGCACACACTTTATAGTGCGAAGATTTAATTGCACGATTTTCAACCCTTTAAACCACATCTGCCCACGGCGCAGATGTCGCCAACATATTTCCCGGCCACAAACAAAACCCAAAACACCTGTTTTTTTGCTGGCGGACTCCCATTAGTTAAGTACCAAAACAGACTCCACCCCCGCTTTCGAATTCAAAAGGTCTTATGAAATCTGGCACATTCAGGGTAATTTTTAGCCATTTGCCCCTCAGGCCAATGGCTCAAAAAATGGGTAAATGGGACTACCCACGGTGGGGTGGTTAATGCTCGCGCCGATTTATTTTTAGCAATATATTTCCATCGCATATACGCACAGGGGTGGGTGGGGGAGGGGAAGAATGTCACCATGGTAGCCTTCACACAAAACAGAGGAAACATTTTTTAGCATAAAAATGTGTTTTTGGAATATGTAAAAAAAACTGTGTATAGAAAAACAGACAGTGTTTATGGCTTGCTTTCTGCCCACTGGTTGCATTTTATCCACCCCAAGGTGGTACCGAACTACCCCCCCGCCCTCCCTTGGCTCACAGGCTACAGAGGGCAATGCAGCGAATGAAGCGCCACAGCAACGGATAGATACCTGCTTAGTGGTCGGAGTGATGTTAACGTCCAGGTCATCTGCCGTGACCGTCAGCAGCTCCTGTGTGCAGACACATCACAAGGCATTATTACGCCCCTGTTCATCAACCTCTGATAACACAATAATGCCATTCCCATCGTCGCATTGGGTCGTTTCAGTTCGGCTGTTGCAAGCGAGCGGTTGCCACAACAGCCGCGAATTTCACGAAACCAGTCACGAGGGGTGGCTACCAAGTGGCTCTCGGGGTCGGAGTGCCGGGCCAGCGACGATGAGTACCTGGGTTTGAATCTGGAGTTTAAGCCACCCGTGGATTAAGCCTGGATGCTCAAGTGTTGCGAGCAGCTGCGTCATCAGCCAGGGTCACACCAAGGACTGCATAAAAATATATATCGTGGTAATTTAGGTTCTTTTACTTAATTTCACTTTTTCCAGCTACAAAAATGTAAAGAAAAGATTTCAGTTTGACTGCGCTGTGACAAACATCTCGGTACCAGAGCGTGTGAAAAAGCGCGGCACCCAAAGTGTGGATAAGAGGTCATTTGGCGGGAGGGAACTCAGAAGTAGTTCTGTGATGTCCGCGGCGAAAACAAGTTGCTCTGCGAAAGGTCACTTTGTCACACGATGCCAACAGGACAACTGGCATACCATTGGGAGAAACGTGCATTTTTTTTTTTTTACACTTTCCAACTAACGTTGGAAGCTTTTATGGATTCGCTCTGCTCCACCCGTCTGTCAGTCCATCACAGGGTGGGGTGAGCAGGTGGAGGATCGCTATAGCTTTCATAACGATGATCCAAATGTTCACATAACGCGAGTAATATTGTGTTGCTCTTCAGGAATTACCAAGTTTTCCACTCATGGTTTACACCCCCGACTCCCCGCAGGGGGCTTTACAGGTCCGGTTTTACAGGTTGTAAGCAATGGCGGAGCCAGGATTTTTAGGTAGGAGGGGGTCAACCCCTCCAGCAATGAAAAATGATAGGAGTTGTTAGTAAGTAAGGACTTGTCCCTTCACTATGGGGACCTCATTTGCCAGTAAAAATATGATAATTGGTTCTTTACCCTTCTATCTGGCAACAAAACTGACACCTTTTTGCAAGGAGTCATGTTTGCATAGACCGCAATACCTGCAGTCATAATACAAACAAAAGAACATAACTTTTTTTATTCGACGCGTGTGCGGCGATGGCACAGCCATCGATCGAGGGTCGAATTGGAACCGCGTTGTGTGATCGGCATCGCGCTCGCTGAAGGTGAATGCCTTCAGGGAAGTCGTGGACTGTATACACAACTGCGCACAATTCTGAGTCACGTATAACCGCTTTGCCGTTACTTATTGCCAATTATGGACTCAGACTATTGTCCTATCATCTCATAGAGTCCCTGGCACGTAATAATATTTTACACAGTGGCAGTGGGGGTCGCAAAATTCCAATTTCTTACTAATAAACCCCAATGATCCGATCGAAATTAGGGATTTTGATCGGATCATTGGGGGGGCACGTGCCACCCCACCCCCCCCACTGGCTTCGCCAGTGGTTGTAAGCGTCCTTAATTAGAGCCTATTGTTGAGAATTTCACAAGGGTTGGGCCGTTCTTTACTTTTAGTAAACACAAGAGGGGTGAGGGGGAGGCTAAAATGTTGGAGACCAAAGAGCTGCGCATGTGTCAGCATGTTACTACGACCATATGCGGTTGCCCATCTTCCTCGAAGCGTAAACAACCCCCCCCCCTTATCCGCTAATTAAATACTTGTGAAGACAAAACGCACAGTGGAGTAAATGATTCCGTAACTCACGCACGCCCATAATATTTCCCTGTCCTTCACTTTCTTTTATTGAACCCATCGCACTTCCAGACGGTCGGAGGCGAGATGACACTCGGCCGGGGGGGCGGCCTTGCAGGTTGTGTCCTCTGGGCTAAAGAGTCTCCCTGTTACATGTACGTAAGTCGAACTTTTCACGCTGTACGTTACCAACCACGCTATTCGGAGGTGTGGGAAGGATAACAAACTAAACACACGCAAAAATATATATACACATTCCTGGAGGGAAGGGCAAGGGAGGGGGGTACATTATCTGGATAAGGTCGGGGGGGGGGGGGGGAAGACTATACGAGAAAATAAAACACACCAGGGACTTTTCGATTTAAAGCTTTCGTGACTGCAGGGATTCATCTTCTTGGTTCTTTCGGTAAAGTCACATAGAAGGGAAATAATAAAAATAAAACAAAATAATTCTCACGACGTTTCGGCCACAACGCAAGCATCCGTCTTCAGGTGAAGAACAGGTCTGTCTATTTTATTACTTCCCTTCTACGTGACTTTACCGAAAGAACTAAGAAGATGAACACCAGGGACTTGTTTAAATGAAATGCGTCCGGACGAACGTCACAAGCGTTTACAGCTTCACCGCGCCCAGAACTAACTCACGTGGTTGGCGTTGAGGAAGTAGAGCTGCGAGCGGGCGAGCCATCGTGCCGAGTCGGCCGAGAATGCGGTCCGCTCGCTCCCGCGGCACGAACACGGCGGAGGAGACGAGCTGGGGGCACACGCCGCGCTGCGCCAGCACTGGCCTCGCCTCGCTGGGCCGGAACACGAACACTGCGAGGGGCGGCCAGGAAAGAACGCTCCATGTCAGGCCTCCCTCTCCACAACCTTCGGTGTGATGAAGTTTAATCAGGGCACTCCAGGCAGCCTGGAGTGCCCTTCAACCAGCAGCGAATTGGCAAGAGGCTGCAATTGATGAGGTATGAAGAATTCACCCACCACCACCCTCCATGACGCTCAAGACTAATTGTCACGATTTTGGGGTCACGACCTTATTCAAGTTCAAGAATCACATAATTTTTTGTTTACAATTGTGGGGCGTGTAAAATAAATCTCTCGAGGAGTGGCTGCAAACGGTCTCGTTAACCGGTCAATCGGACGCACGGCGATGGCTACGCATGCGGCCTCTCATCCGGCACTGTGGAGTCGAGAAGAGGGTTGGCGGATCACGGCGCGAATGTTGTGCAACTCTCTTCCCGTGGGCATCATACCCTGGCTCTCCGGAAGGCAGGACCAGCAAAGCACAGACGAATATCATCTTTCCCTTCTCTACGGCATAGTGTTGCCCCCACTGCATGCTTGGGTTTTCTCCGGGTGCTCCACTTTACTACCACATGTATAGAAGAAGGCCTGCGGTGCTTGCGGAATTGTTGGTAGCCCCGGCTTAACACCTGGCTGCTGCCTTCAGACCTGCCTCTGGTTCGTCAGCGATTGCGAGATGCAATTTGGATGAATGACGCTCTATAAAACTAAATATTACATGCCATACACCAACATAAAAAATGGATTTTCAGAATACAATTTGAAACCTGCATCTTCAAGAGCATGATTCGATTTAAATAGACTCGTTACAATGTCGCAACGTCCAGGACTTAAAAAAACAACTTCAATGCTATACATCCGCACAGCAGGTACGGCCAGAATGTAAGATAGAGGTCACGGCCAACCTCGGGTTTTCGTATTGCTTCCAGAGAGACGCGAGTAATTTAATCACAGCGGTATTATTCTACGGTCACAAATGCGGCGCGAGGCCTTGTGAAAGATTGCTCGGCACATTTTGCCGACACTCGATGGCGATTGCCGTCAAGATGAACGGCCCCAACACACGGCGCTCGACTTTTGAGCGGTAATCCTAAACAATCGTCTTGATGAAAATCACCCGCATTGGGGGGCGGCGTTGCGTTGTCACCAAATCGGCCTCCCGGCGTGTCGAGCTGCGTCTGTGACGAGCAACGCCGAATCAATCACGGCGCTCGTCGCAATCAGCGCTTCATCAATCTCGCACGTCCACGGAGCTGTCGATGCTGCTGCCGCTACCACTCCTGTCGCTACCACTGATGCTGCTTCTGTGTAGCGTGGCACAAGCTCTCTCTCGAGCTTGCCCTCGTGGAAACAAACGCAGGAATCGATGAAGGGGAGGCGGCGGGGGTTATAACATGAACGCAAAGGCATGGGTGGCCCCAAAAGTGCCTTATGGCATAAGGTCCTGAGACGTTTCGCTTGGAGAGAGTCGGACGCAGCACAACCGCGGAAGCCCACACAAAAGTTTGCAAAAAAGTGAGTTTTCAGAGATAGGTGCGCATTTTTATTACGTGTCTTATTTACGTAAATGATCACCATGATAATGATTTAATTACAAACACATATGAACTAACGATGCAGAGTACAGTACTGCTGATGGCAGAACTTTGCCGGCTGATATGCGGCACTGCCTATGACAAAAAAAAATCACCCAAAATGCATTCAACCCAACGAGATGTCAGGAGCTAAGCAGGCTCGAGTGTGGACATTAAACCCAGTCACACCTCAGAAGTCAAGCGGGGTTGAGCCTGGAAAATCAACCGCCGTCAACACTGGTTGTTCCGGGTTTGAGTCGCGGTGTTGACCATTCCTTACATCAAGGTTTCGCCATGTTTGACTGCAAGCAATGCGATTCATTAACCCCCGACCCATGCCGAGACTAGAGGGTGGGTCTCCAATATCCCCCCCCCCCCTCGCACCGCCTATAAACAAGGCCAGCGGTGAAGCTCAAATCCAGGAGTGGATTGACGCGACGTCGGCTCGCTGGTTACCAAACTGCCGACCTCGCCGGGTCTCCCGGGTGCCGTGGCCTCAGGTAAATCCTTTTGGGGATCACGCCGAGCGGTGGAACCAGCTCGTCATAAGTACACGTCTCATCATCGGCCACGCACCAGAGTAACTTCTCCTCAATTGCCTGCAACTTCGCATTTTCCTGAAATTTCACAATACCCCACAACTTGCCTGCAATTTTTCTACTGCCTGCAAATCCATATTTGCCCGCAATTTCTCAATTGCGTGCAATTTCTCAATTGCCCGCAATTTCTGATCTGTCTGAAATTTATCATCTGTCCGCAATTTACTCTGTATGTGTCCCATAACACCCTGGACACCCTTGCAAAGAAGACGTTCCATCTCAAAACGGATTATCGAGATAAAATACTTGCTAAGAAAAGAAATAAAAACACAGGCGGTCTGCGGTTTACGACCGTCCGGTTAACGACGATTCGCATTCACGACGTTGACGTAATGGCCACCCCCCCCATGGATCTTTCACCGTCTAAAAACTTTATTTGCAGCTTCCGGCAAGACTCCAAACGCGTTTGAACAGAATCGGTCAGATTTTTCCCGATGTGACTTGGTGTGGAGCTTTTGTTATTCTAGAGTGTTTTTGTGGATGTTCACCTACTAAACCCTATGAAATACGTCTCATAAAAAGAGAAAAACACATCCTGCAAATGATGTTTATACCGTTTCTATCATCTACAGTAAACCCTTGTTAATTCGACACATATGGGGGCTCTGGTCTTGCCGAATGATCCAGTATTACGAATTATGTACAACGGTACTCCCCCAGTGCCTCCTGCCAAAATATATTTTTGCTTCCAAATGTTTTCCAAAAATTATTTGACAAAAAATATAACACTTAGCATCAGTAACCGGCACTGCAGACCGAGGAGGAGGATGTGTGGTAGGTTCCATGTGGCAGGTGACAGGTTGTGGAGGGGGGGCTTAATGCGCTTAGTATGCGCTTACTGTATGTACTGTATGCCAGTGCATGCTAAGTGCCCATGACGAATTACTAGTATTTCTGCCGGAGGCGCAGCCGTGCCGAATTACCCCCAATCACGAATGATCAAATACCGAAAAAACGAGGTTTTACTGTAAGGGGAACTAGGGTCCGATTTTACAATGGGGTTTCCAGGAACGCATTGTGCAGGACCGCCTGTATAAACAATTCCTGACGGTGGCATTATAACTCACGTCTGAGTAAATAAAGCACTGCGTGCATTAAAAGGCGGATTGATGGGTCGATTCATCTTCATATTCTTAGGCTGATGGTAACCGCGTCGATTCGCGATGTGTCTTCAAATCAGCATGTGGCGTATGCAAATTGTACAGATCAAACCCAGAAGCCAGTGGAGGAACAACCATTCAATTTGTATGTCGTATGTAAATGGGATCCCATGTCGCCTGCAGCCACTAGAGACATTCACCATTTTCCTTCACCAATAAATAGATTCTTGAATCGAATCCTGATCCATGAATCGCGATAAATCATCGAATTTCCAGGAGGGTGAATCGTTCCACCTCTGTGACCACACATTAACTCAAATCGGCACCTTACTAAAAAGCTCATCAACCAAAATTTTTTTAGTTTCCAAAAAAAAACCCTTATTGCGGAACAGTCAATTTACAGAAGGTAACCGAATGCCCGCACTTAAATATATATTTTGAAATATCAAACAATCCTGAAACTTTGGCTCTCTATTTCATAAGCAAAATTCTAGAAAACTTTTAACTTCCATTCAATTTAATCTCAACGGTTTAAAAACACGAATCCCCCCCCATCCTCAGCACACGGATTAATTTCACATGCTATGCGTCAAATTTCCATTTGCTGTGGCCCTGGGAGCAAAGATCAGCCAACGCGCTTCACACACAGCCACATATGCTGCACAGCTTTGGAGTCAGCGATGGGAAATCACAGATTTTTTTCCCTTGCGTTTGTTTCAAAGTGGGAGCTGTTGTGTTGGTTTGTTTCAAGTTTTGCGCATTACAGTAGATGATGCTTCGAACCATTAACGTCTTTTTACGAAGGTCACGGAGAAACGCCCGTAGAATCTGGCGCGCGTTGATCGATGTTTTTCGAGTGGTTAAACGCAAAACAAAAAATGAATAGCAAACAAAAACAACCGAGTTACTGAATAGCAACAAACTGTCCAATGTGTAAACTTGTATAACAATCTTGACTTGAAGCTTTCATGACTGCAGGAATCCATACTCTTTGGTTCTTTCGGTAAAGTCACGTAGGTATAAATAAAAAAAATCTTCCATGGTGAGTTTTATAGACGGGTGTATGGAAATGATGTAGTTAGGAAATTGGTTCAGTGCTGGCAGGCCATGTGGCCAGATGACAAACGTGTCATCTACGTATCTCTTCCACAAGGACAGAATGGTGGATGTCTGGATGGCATCTGTCTCAAAATTTTCCATGAAAACATTCGCTACCACTGGCGATGAGGGAGAATCCAAGCAGGCTAAACTGGTTCTCTCTGAGAAAGGGGTGCGCCAAAGTACGACAGCACAGACAACAAACTATACCTTTGATAATAGGTTTTCCCCTTTTGTCTGGCAACAAAACAGTTGTTAAGATGTTAAAACACCAAACTGAAACATTTTACAAGGAATCATGTCTGCATTAACCACAATGCTTGTGGTCAGAATGCAAACAAAAACACTGATACTATATGCATTGTCCTTGACACGATTCCTTGTAAAAGGTTTCAGTTTGGTGTTTTAACATCTTGACACCTGTTTTGGTGCCAGAAAAAATGGGAAAAACCAATTATCAGATTTTGGTACTGGCAACAGAGGTCCCATGATGTGCACCTTTGTTGGGGGTTGTTGGCTTAGAAGGCGATTAATTGTGTAATTAAATAAAATATCATAGCATTAGCCCCAGCTGCAAAGCTGCAGGAAACGCTGTCGTCGATTGACTGGTGTTGAGTTGCGAGACGGGACAGCGGTCGAGCAAGTCTCATTAATTACCTCCGGTCGAGGTGGCCGGGTGGCTCGGAGGTCAGAGCGCCAAGCTAGCACGATCCTGGGATGGAATGCGGGCACCAGCTGCCTCCAATTAAAACGCGTTCTTAAGTCCCGCGAAGTTGAGGACCTCGGAATGCTCACGAACTGGTTTAAAAAACAAATAAGTGGCTACAATTTCCAGTTCTGAGAATGACAATATCGGTGTGACCGTCATCATGTGACGAACTCTACCCCCTAACATGCAAAGTGGGTAGGAAAATGCTGCCCTCTACTCCGTGTGTGTGTGTGTACCAGAGGACACTTTGAGGTAGCTCTGTAACATCCGATTTCCGTGTACCATTGTCGGACACGAATAAGGGTCGCAACCGAACTGTTCAGAAACTTTTCAAACAGATTCTGCCCCGTGACGTGCCACCGACAACATAATTGGGATACAATCGGTGGGCGCGGGGGGGGGCCAAGGCACTTAATGGGGGGGGGGGGGGGGGGGAACCAAGCCTAAAAATCTTTACGTACGGTCTGTGGTGGACGAGGGTGTGGTGAAGACCGCCACGTGGTCCGACAGAGGATTGGCGACAAGGACGGCCACAGACAGCTGCACGCTCCACTCCACTGCAGGGCCACATGCACAGACACACCGAGAGCAAACGTGAGAAGAAATCTCCCCCCCCCCCCCGCCGCCCCATATAGCCTTGACAGACTGTTGGGGAGTGTGCTTAGCGAGTTGCACCTATGAAGGCCGGCACGACACACGAAGGGGGGGGGGGGGGGGGTAGTACCCGGCCACATTTGTCTCCAAAGTGGCGGTGTTTCACACAACGCGGCGCGAGGTACTCATTTGAGGCCGAATCGATCTAGGGGCGGCCCAGGACCGTTTTAGATGATCGTCACTGGTGTGGTCGTGAGCAAGAGCCGAACTCGGGTCGCTGGGTTCGTAAGGGGCCATCCATTTAGTACGTACGCATGTAGGGGGGAGGGGGGGGTTAACCCAAATGCGTACGCTTGCGTATGGGGGGGGCTCTACTGACAATGTACGCAGCATAGGAAACGGGGGGGGGGGGGGTGAAGCCTCGATAATAATTTGTCTACATTGGCTTTCAAATGAGTTAGATAGTCCGGCGTTGGACTGTTTGCTTAAAGACGTTAATATTATTAATCCTTGATCGTTTCTGCGTGGATTAAATATCGGTCGTTCTATAGGATTCGGGGGGGGGGGGGGGGGGGGGGGGTGTCAAGTGAACAGGTTTTTGCATACGTACTAAATGGATGGCCCCTAACCGCACTCGTACACACGCGGTGGTTTGCACGCTGCACTGTGAAGCCTGCGGTCCGAGTTCAATTCCCAGCCACGGCGAACTTCAGTAGTGAGCGATCTGTGAAGCGGTCATGGATTTTGCACCCCCCCCCCAACCCGATCTGACAAAAATGGTGAAGTATGGTCAAACAACAACAAGAGCCAATATGGCATGAGAGGCCTTTGTGCAATTGAACCTTACGGGTCCCGAATAAACAGAAAGCGAAATCGCCATATATTTATTTATTTTTGGCAACTCCGTCCCACCGCGCACAAACGCCGCGACCCACCAGACATCAATCCTCTCGTTCTTCACCAAGCACCCGTCGTTGTCAAAATTACCGTAATCATAAACAAAACTTTGAAACTTTGATTATCGCACCGTGTAGAGCTCGTCCAGAATAATAGATTGCCATGTTGTTCGCCTTCAACAGACATAAAATGACGTCGCAACGCAGTTTATGCGAGAACCGGGGGCTTATGGGACCCTGGGGTCCCCGCCATGAGGTTCAATTGTGCATTGAAGAAAGTCTGCAAATCACTATAGACGTGTTTTATATATTAAAAAATATGTCACTTTTTAAAACAGGCCACCATTTTTTTTTAGGCAAGTCAACAAAGAAGATCACATTAATTCGGTGACAACTGATGTTAACTACCTCGCCTGGTTTTCAGGAGGTTGTGGGTTCAATCCCAACCCTGATGCCTGTATAATTGGAGTTGGCATGCTCTCCCTGTGGTCGTTTGGATTTCTGTCCGGGCCCTCCAGTTTTTCCCTCCACATTTAGAATCAACATGCATTTATTTAAGAGTATTTGGCCGCGATACAATTCCACGTGATGAGCCACTTTGTTGAGCGATCATATGCGGTCAGGTCGTTTAAGAAAAATAGCTACAGAGCTCAAGTGGCCCTTACCTGGTAAAATAAATATAACATTACAGTTTAGTTTACCCGATTAATTCCTGGCATGCGTGGCTTGGCCTCAGTTAAATCCTTAAAGTGGTATCATCCCGACAGAAGCCGGTCATGAGTACACATCTCATCACTGGCCAGCCACGCGTGACGGTACACAGAGGGGGGGGTGGGGACAGGGTGGGGGGGGGTGGAAGGTGGGGGGGTTCAGCGCTTACACCAACAGCTGAGCAGGTTCCACACGTGCAGGAAGCCGGTGTCGGTCGCCCCCACCAAGTACTTGCAGGAGTTCTTGTTGCCGAAGCAAAGTTGCCTGAAGGTAAAATATTAAATCAGAATCTACATTTATCCTGGAGGAGGAATCTGACGCCATACAAAACTAAAATGAAGAGCTTCGTGGCATTCATCTTCTTGGTTCTTTCGGGTAAAGTCACGTAGAATGGAAATAATAACATTAAAATAAAACATAATAAAAAAATTAATTCTCACGACGTTTCGGCCACTCGACAGACCTGCTCTCCACCTGAGGACGGCTGCTTGCGTTGTGGCCGAAACGTCGTGAGAATTATTTAATATTTTTATTTATTTCCATTCTACATGACTTTACCGAAAGAACCAAGAAGATGAATCCCTGCAGTCACGAAAGCTTTAAATCGAAAAAGCTTCGTGGGAGTCGGACTCGGCCCACTTTATGTGGAAGTCAACAGTGTTTTTTTTTCCTATGATGAGACTTGCCGCCCCCCCTGACATAGGAATTTCCATCACTGGCTTAGGGCTATAATGAGCACAGTTTAAATTTTTATTTCAGCGGAAAATCCAGTACATGTTCTGTGTGTGCATGTTTGGATATATACGTGTAAGAGACTCACCCTGTTCTTGGTTCTTTCGGTAAAGTCACGTAGAAGAGAAGTAATAAAGTAATAAAAATAAGACATAATAAAATAATTCTCACGACGTTTCGGCCACAACGCAAGCAGCCGTCCTCAGGTGAAGACCAGGTCTGTCGGGGAGACAGCGTCTTCACCTGAGGACGGCTGCTTGCGTTGTGGCCGAAACGTCGTGAGAATTATTTTATTACTTCCCTTCTACGTGACTTTACCGAAAGAACCAAAAAGATGAATCCCTGCAGTGACGAAAGCTTTAAATCGAAATTTAGACTCACCCTGGTCAATGAATTGCCCTCAATAGGGACTACCCAGACCAATCATTGCCCTCTACTGGTAGACTAAATTAACCAACTAAACTATTTTACTCTTAGGTTCTTTCGGTAAAGTCACGTAGAAAGAAAATAAATTAGATAGAATATGACGTTTCAATTGCAACACAAGCAATCATCATGAGGTAGAACTAAATTTGAGAGAAACAAAACACAGACACGGAGACAAACAGACATACACACAGACCCTGTGTGTCTATGCTGTGTGTCTCTGTATTTCCGTGTCTGTCAAATTTAGTTCGACCTGATGACGATTGCTTGTGTTGCAATGGAAACGTCGTATTGTATTATTTTATTTATTTTCTTTCTACGTGACTTTACCGAAAGAACCAAAGAGTAACTCCTGCAGTCATGAAAGCTTCAAATCAAGTTTAAACGATTAGTATTTTACCAGGTAAGGTCCACTCAGCTACACAGCTCTTAAATTCAAAAGTGACCTGGCCACAAATGATAGCTCAAAGAAGTCGCTTATTATCACGTGGAAATTTATATTAGCCAAATAGTCAAAACGCATGTTAATTCTAAATGTGGAGGGAAAAACCGGAGGAGCCGGAGAAAAATCCACACGACCACAGGGAGAGTATGCAAACTCAAAATATACAGGCGTTAGGGTCAGGATCGAACCCACGACCTCCTGCATACCAGGCGAGGTAGTTAACGTCTCTCCACCGCGGCGCTCCAGGCCGCTCTCGAATGCCACCACAGGTCACTCTTAAAAACGAAACTACATCCCCCTGGCCTCCCGAGTTCGCACGTGGCTGAACCAACCGTCAACGCCCCTACCGAACGTGACCCCCCCCCTACCCTCCTTCCCCTACGCTGCAGGTGGTGCGCGGCATGTCGCGTACCGGATGCCCCCTGGCGGCTGGCAGAAGGTGGCCCGCATCTCCCAGCACTCGGGCTCCCACAGCGTGACCACGGAGCCAAAGGCGACGGCCAGCACAGAGCCGTCCTCCGAGAAGCAGCATGTGGTGGCTGGAAGCTTCCGGAAGGAGCCCACGAAGTCGCAGCTCCAGTTTACCCCTCCTCCCTCCTCCTCCTCTTCTTTCCCCTTCTCCCCCTCCTCTAATGAACACACACGCGTGCGCGCCGACACACGGACCGACGGTGCAGGCGAGTGCAGGTCAGTGCGTGTGCTGGAGTGACAGGGTGGCGGCTGCAGATTTACGAGCGGTTTAGATAGTTACTTGCCACTGATGTCAGCCGGGGAATCAAACACGGCCCACTGGGTTCATGACTGTGTTCAGCAAAGTGCGTGTTTTAGGTATGCGTGGTGCTGGCTACCCGTCCGTTCTCACGTGTGCCGTACCGGCCTTTATTAGGTGCTCTCTAACCTAACAGCGCTTGCCCCAAAAAAATCTAAGGATATACAACAGGGGTTCTTTGTCTTTATGTGTACACAGGAAGTCCCCGGGTCACGGACGAATTCAGTTTCTGAGATCGAGCCGTAATCCTATTTTTACGTACGTCAGAAACTGAAAAATCTTCCCCCCAAAATCAACGATAAAATCCCATGGCGTTTCCCCTACCCGATGACCAATTCGGTTTCACTCAATACCGTATCTCGCTGTCGTCCGTCTTTCATAGTTACCGGCAGCGTAACGCTGTACATATGCTCTGCACTTCCTAAAATGATTTCATTTAAATCGAATTACTACCCTAACACTAATCATAATTAAACTAACGGAACATATGCTGTATCCAATTGTTTATGAATACCACGAAACATTTTAATATTAATTGTTAACAAAAAGCAGTCACTTCGCAAATGTTCGTTAACCATGCATTAGGCTAGGCCTGGACTTTTCCGATTGCTGTTGGCTGAAACCACAAGCAATGGATGTACATACGGTTAATAACTAAGTGAAATAAACTTAGAATAAAAATAACTAGCAATAAAAACATGGGGAGAAAAAGACAGGTCTACGCATAGAAAACAATTACGTAATGCAGCAAAGGGAAAATAATTACGTAACACGACAAAAAATTCCATTTACCTTAATCCTAGTGAACATGTCAGTTTTATTTGGGTCCCAGAAAAAAAACTTCCCTTGCTGCTCATCTCAGCTCGTCAGGACAAGACACAACCAACAGGCGCCTGGGGCCAGGCACGGGGCCCGGTTACCTGCGGCCTCTGGGTCCCGCGCAAGCGTCCACACTTTGAAGCGTCCGTCGAGCGAGCAGGTGACAAGGGTCGACTCCGTCTCCCGTCCCGGCGGTTGCCGGCGGAAGCAGACGGCGGTGATGTCGAGGTCGTGCGGGGCCGCCACCGTCGTGTTCAGGACGAAACTGCGAGCGCACGAGCGGTAGCGCAGCAAAGCAAAAGCCCCCCAAAAAAATCAGGGGAATCATCTTCTTGGTTCTTTCGGTAAAGTCACGTAGAAGGGAAGTAATAAAATAATAAAAACACAACATAATAAAATAAAATATTTTAATAATAATAGAAATAAAACGTAATTAAATAAAATATTTTATTACGTTTTATTTTTATTATTTTATTACTTCCCTTCTACGTGACTTTACCGAAAGAACCAAGAAGATGAATCCCTGCAGTCACGAAAGCTTTAAATCGAAATTTAAATCAGGGGAAGCCTGCGACTCCCGAGCCAATGCGGTGGCGCCCCTCGCGGGAGGGGGCTGGCTTCCCACCGTGCCGAGCTGGAACCAAACCTCGATCACCAGGGCTCACGACAACATGCCTCTATCTGGCTCGTTGTACGGCTCTCGAGAGGTTAACGCTCCGATTATCTCGAATTAAAGACTTCGGATGTTGGAGAGCGTGATAGAATCTATGCGTGTGCTTCGTTGGTGCTGTGCATAAAGGTAGCGTCATTGTCGGAGGCGGGCAGGGACAGAGGTAGGCAGGAAGGTAGAGAGGGAGGGAGTGAGGGAGTGGGGGCAGAGATGAATGCCTCGAAGAGAATCCATGCTTATGTACAATTTTTCCTCCTCATTTCAGCAATCAGGAGGAGGAGGAGGGGGGGTGGGGGGGGCTGCATTTGAGGCCTCACCTCTGCTGCTGAACGTCGAAGGCCCAGAACTTGAGCTGGATCTCGGGCTCCGCGTTGAGGCCTCCGGCCCGCTGCTCCACGGTGGCGAGCCAATCGCCCAGCGTGTCAAACGCGGCCTTGTGCAGCTCGGTCTGCACCAGGCCCCGCTGGAAGATGTGCTCCTGTTGCACGATGTCCAGCTGCACGTGATGGGAGGAGAGAACGAGACACAGCTTTGGATTCCAGCTTACACGGGAAAGCCCGCTCGCAGTCAAGACCAGAGCGCTCTCCCGCTCGGCCACGTTACAGCAGAAGTGCAATGTGGCCACGCTGCCGGCGCGTCACAAGCCTTTTGTGCGTCGGCCGCAAATTGAGACCCCCACGGAGTGGCCGGTAAGAGGTGGCCGTGCGGCACGCGCTCACGTCGTAGAGGAGCTCGTCGGTGCCGAGCGAGTAGAACTGCAGGCAGCCGGGTTTCCCGTTGAGCGCCAGAGCCTTGCTGCGCGGGTCCACGATGAGCCCCGTGCTCGCGGAGCCTCCTGCACCCAGAAAAACCGGCGGCACCAGCAGCGTCAGTATCAGCAGAACCAGCAGCATCAGCAGCACCAGCAGCACCAACAGCACCAGCAGAACCAGCAGCACCAGCAGCGTTCGTATTGGCCGTGGCAGCAACAGCAGCATCAAGCAGCTTCAGCAACATCAGCAGCACCAGCAAACATGAGCAGCACCAGGAGCATCAAGTATCAGCAGCATCAGCACCAGGGAGTGTCAGTACCAGCAGAGCAGGTGACAGTAGCCGAGCCAGCAGCAACAGTACCAGCAGCACTGGCAGCACCCGCATCAGATACGAACACAAACAGCAGGGCTCTCTCGCGACTTGCCTCTCACGAGGCCTTGAATGACGCGGACCACGAACAGGTTGCTCTTGACGATCGTTATTTCTGGAAAGAGAAAGACGAGCATGGAGGCGGCGATGATCTGCATTTACGTTGTTTACGATGTCATGTTAACGCCACTGTGGATCGATTTACGACGCATCTCAAGACACGACTCCAAAACACATTCGTGTCGGTCTCTCACAGCTTTTGCCACGCTCGATTGCGAGCAACGCGAAATCATTCGCCCCGACCCGAGGCTAGAGGCTGCTCAAGGATCCTTCAAAAAACACTCCTCCCCCCCTCGCACCGCTGACTAGGGCCAGCGGTGCAGCGCTCAAATCCAGGAGTGGATTCGTGCGACGTCGGCTCGCTGGTTACCAAACTGCCGACCTCGCCGGGTCTCCCGGGTTGCCGTGGCCTCAGGTAAATCCTTTTGGGGATCACGCCGAGCGGTGGAACCAGCTCGTCATAAGTACACGTCTCATCATCGGCCACGCACCAGGGCAACGTCTCTCAGTTGCCTGCAATTTCATTTTCCTGCAATTTCGCAATTGCCTGCAAACCCATATTTGCCCGTAATATCTCAATTGCGTGCATTTTCTCAATTGCGTGCATTTTCTCAATGGCCCGCAATATCTCAATTGCCTGCAATTTCTCATCAATTTACTCTGTATGTGTACCATAACACCAACTCTTATTGGTGGCGCTTTACGGCTCAAAGGTGACCGATGGTGTGAACGAGTGAGCCACGGGTGGGTGGGGGGAGGGATTAAGGGGGGGGGATTCGGGGGGGGGGGGGAGACAAGACACTGGGGGCGCCGTGGCAGTACATACTGTTGTCGACGTGCCCCGTGGCGAGCAGCGCGCCGCACGGGGACGTGCTCACGCTCGAGATGGGCGCCCCCAGGCGCGGCAGGAAGTCCTTCTGCTCCTCGGCGCAGTGGCGCCACTGGACCAGCACAGCCTCGGGGCCGCCCGTGAGCAGGCAAGTGCCTGCAAGACAGAGGTCGCAAACGGGTTTTGATTCCTTACCCGTACCCGGCCGCACCAGGGTCGCAAATGGGTACCCGTACCCGTAACCGGCCGGGTACGGGTAGCCGTTCCCTACCCGTACCCTACCCGAAATGAGTGACAAACGGTGACTCACCAGCGACTCACGGCCTACCCGTACACGGCCGCACCAGGTTCGCAAACGGGTACCCGTACCCGTACCCGGCCGGGTACGGGTAGCCAGGTATCGGGTAGGGTACGGGTATCGGGTACCCGGTTGCGACCTCTGCTGCAGGCCGCACGCAAAAGTCGGGTGTGTCCGGACGGGTCGACTTATACAGAGCCACGGGTCGCTGGCTACAAACGCCGGCTGGTTAACACGAGTCGAAGACATGAGAGGCCGATTTGCGTTGGATCCACCACAGCACGCCATCACTTAAGACTATTTAAACTGAACAATTTTTTTTATTTTACCAGGTAAGGCCATCCGAGCTAATAGAGCTCCTCTTCAGAAACGAGCTGGCTATCACAAATGATAGCTCAATAAAATGGCTCATGTGGAAATGTATAGCAGCCAAATACTCTAAACGCACGTTTCTAAATGCGGAGGGAAAAAAAACAGAAGACCCGGAGAAAAATAAACGTGATCACAGGTAGAGACACACGCAAGCTCCAAAGATACACCAGGCATCAAGGTCGGGATTGAACCCACGAACCTCCCCTATACCTGGCGAGGCAGTTAACATCTCGCCACCGTGCCCCCCCCCCCACCCTCTCCAAGGCTGGTGTCCACCAGGATCATCAAGAAACCCAATCTGAAACAGCAAAATGTTCCTTTACCTTCGGCAGAGTAGGCAAGGTCAGACACCCCCTCGGAGTGCCAGTGATACGTGGAGAACGTGTACTGCTTCTTGTGCCAAAAGTTTCTCCTGAAAAAGACAAGCGAAATAACCACGGTTCATCGAACAATTTCGAATAAGCAAAAAATGCATCCCCCGTCGACCCACTAGCACAGCCGGCTACGTACGGTGCGAAAGAAGTTCAGCGTACACAACAAAGTTCCCTCGTTATCCGCCACATTTGGAATATCCGCAAAATCTTATCTGGAACTCTACACGACCGCATCGAGAGAGAAAGATGCGACAAAGCAATGATGCGCAGCAGCAGCAGCATCATCATAACTTAAGGAAAGTTAATTATTAAAGTATTAAATAATAGTTTATAGTGTACTTTTATTTCCGTAATGTTTATTACCAATTTATAACATTTCGTGTTGATAATTTTCACGTATTTAATCGCTTATTTAAGTTTCAATTTAAGGCTTTCGAGGGCCAATATCATAGACCCACGAAATTTGCCGTTCACACAAGCTTCTCTGGAACATATCCCTCGTGAATAACAAGGGAATACCACCATTAACTCACGGACGAGGGCCTTCCTCACACGGCGTCGGTCGTGGGGCCTTGAAGGACCATACTTCACCGCGCTGGTCAGTGTGGGTTAATGAAGGGGAGCCCCCCCCCCCCCCCCCCCCGGAGTGATTTGGATATCGCTCGCCACAGACGATGGTCCGTGGGGTCCAGGAGACGAACCCGAGTCGCAGGGTTAATCACGCGGCAGTGCACTAACCACAGCGACGTCGACCCACGTAAAGAATAGTTATTGCTCATGCATTTGACGCTACGGGTATGTACTTGCTTTTTCCAGATATAACAAATACCAAAAGAAAAAAAACTCTCGTGCGATATATATCACGGACCCGACGTCCTCCATCAAGGGCCTAGGATAATAATACTTGCTTTCATATTGAGCCCATAACGAGTTATTGTATTTAGTCTAGGGTACGCCCCCTAGTGGCAGTTTGTCTTTATGTGGCACAAGATGAGCACACAGCACTGTCTGGTCGGAAGCAATGTTGTTCTTGGTTGTTCCAGAAAAAAATACTTGGCAAATTTGGACCATGACACTGACACAAAGTGGCTTACTATACGCCTTATAATCACATCACGGGGGATCTTTAACACCTTTTGGCGTCATCTGGTCCAACCCATGTGAGACTAGGCTCTAAGCAAAGCTGTCTCGGGTGTGGACCAATCAACTTCAAGGACAGTGCATATATGATCAGAGTTATGTTTTTTGTTTGCATTATGGCTGCAGGTATTGTGGTCTATGCAAACATGACTCCTTGTAAAAAAGTTGGCAGTTTTGTTGCCAGATAGAAGGGTAAAAAAGCAATTATCATATTTTTTTTACTGGCAAATGAGGTTCCAATGGTGTGTGGCACCTTACGGTTAATACACACACACCGCAGTATTAACCAGGGCTGCCGGCGAGGAGCGTGTAGGGTAGCACCTTGAACCGTAAAACTCTCAGCTGTGCGGCGAACGCGCCACTGCTCCTGCACCGCATCCCTGAACAACCACACCAACCCCCCACCCCCTCCCACCACCGATTTAGTTTCGCGTCTCCACTCACCACAGGCGAATCCTGCCGTCGACGTGGCCCGTCGCTATGCAGTCCTCCGTGGGGTGGCACGCCACCACGACGAACGTGTTGTCCGTCTTCTTCTTCATGTTCGACTTTAGCGTCAGCCTGCGGCCCACCCCCCCACCCCGCAGACCCAACGACCGATTACAGCGCAGTTCCATTTCTTTGACGGTGTATGTGCGTACACGATCAACCCCCTTTAGTCGATTGTAAACTATTTTTATTTTACCAAGTAGGGCCCACTGAGCGATATAGCGCTTTTTCAGAAGTAATCTGGGCTACAAATGATAGCTCAACAAAGTGGCTTATAGCGTGGAAATTTATTGCAGTCAGATACTCTAAAAGAACCCCCGACCTCAAAGATAAACAATGAATACGTTTTTAGTGGCTCATTAACATGATTGCCATTAATCGTATTTTTGTTCTGTCGAGGCCACTGCTCCCCAAATTACTCAGAGGGTTGCCGCCGCCCTACACTTTGCATAATCGACGTGACATTTACTTTCATCTCACCAATTCCACTTCTTTTTCTTGAGGTGGAACACCCCGAGCATGTCGTTTTGTACAAACGCCAAGTACTCCCCCTGCAACAAAATGAAGATGACAACAAGCCGATGTAAACAGCGTAGTCAACACAAATTATTATGGCGGTGCACGAGCTGAATGAGTGCCATAGCCCGAAACGCCACCAATTATATATTTTAATATTATTTTTAAGGCCACAGTACTATTGACAAATACGTTGTGATTTTTTGTTTGTTCAACTACGTAAGACCTTCACACAACGACGACAGATTTTATATGCTGGCTTCCACGACCACTATTATTTTGGGTTAGATCACCGTCTAAGATGTCAATTTCTAACTGTAACCTTCCACCGTCTCAAATAGCCAATAAAATCAAGTTTTCAGGACATAGACAAATACACCAATTGATTTGTTTTATGAGCAGAAATGTTGAAAGCAAGCTAAATTCAACACTTTGGCACAACGTTCCTCCTGCATCACCATCAGGTGGTAACAAAATCTCAGCTCTCGCGTGAACGAGCGTCCTAATTTGGGGTCCACAAAAGCAACGGAGCTGTAATTTCTGATTTATTAAACAGTTTCCGTGTCATTCCGACTGCGTGGCAAGATAATCGTCTGCAGGGAGAATACAAACAACAGAAGACAGACGGATAAAGAGAACTCGAGGCAACAGCCACGATCATCACGATGACCCAACGGGGAGGGGGGGGTTGGGGAGGGGGGGCTGTGGCGCAGGTGGGCGAGGCACTCACGTGGCAGCTGAACGAGATGGATTTTTCAGAGCACTCCGACGTCTCCACGACCTCATCGGACTCCGTCACCTCTACCTCCACCTCCGGCGACTTGGGAACGGCGAGCGCCAACAACTGGAACCTCCCTGCTCAAGGCGACACGGGCCGTTGTTTAAGGGCTTCGAGATTACTTTATTTGACCAGGGGTGGTGTCAACGTCAACGAGACCAAGATAGGTTTAATTTGCAAGGAGCGACGCGGGTACAGCATTATTATTAAAGCTAAACGAATTAAAACGAGAACAAAAAGTTACCGCATCTATGACGTGACGACTTGAAAAAAACGCAAAAGTTACTTCCCTCCAGACTGAATGCAGCACAAATTAAGAAACTAAGCTCCAGGAATATGAACATTAAACAGATCTAGGGTGACTTTCGTCCTGATATGTAAACAAACAAGGGTATATGTCTTTTATAAGTAGGGTCGCTGCGATACTATGATACAATTCTAGATTTGAAGCTTTCGTGACTGCAAGGATTCATATTCTTAGGTTTTCGGTAAAGTCACGTAGGTAAAAAATTAAAATTAATAAAAATAAAATAAACATCACGACGTTTCGGAGGCAACACAAGCTTCCATCTTCAGGTGGAACCGTCACAGCACGATAGCTCTATCAAGTAAGAGAAATTCCAAGAAAACAGTCCTTGTACATATACTGGTTGAGGGTGGGAGGAGCCAAGGCAGGCCCTGAATATTATTTTTTACTTTAATTAATTTAAATTTTTTACCTACGTGATTATGATACAAGTCAGCGAATATTCCGTTTGGCAAATATTGTTCAATGCCACTTTGTGACTTGGCCTCAGGTAAATCCTTAAAGTGGTTTCATCCCGACCGAAGCCGGTCATGAGTACACATCTCATCACAGGCCAGTCACGTGTGGCCCACTGGCGCCACGGTTTCAGCGTAAGGGTTGCGCCTCCTCCAAACGACAGGCACTACCAAGTCTCATACAGCTTAAGGTCCGCGATAATATCGTCCAATTTTGCCAAAACAGATTTCCATCGTGATTTTCGCTCGTTTTATTCACAGAAAATTAGAATTTTCCTGACGATCTATTTCTGAAAGAACACTAGTTCAAGATCACGAAAATAATATTTAATTAAAAAACATGCTTTTTCCCATTAAAGGCGTACTATGTACAGCGCTGTCCATAGGGGGGTGCGGGGTATGGGGCAAATTGCACTGTGCCTATAACGTTATAACGCGGAAAGATCAACTCGTTATAACGCTGTGTCCGAGCGGCCGCTGACGAACTACTTACTCGAGCTGCATGGCCAAGCGGTACGATACGGTACGCGGAATGATATAGCAATGCGGCGGCGTAACCTCAGGTATTTGTCCCGCCATCTAACCTTGTGCTGTGCGTAGTAGTAGTACATCGTATCCCGGCAAACTTTATCGCGAAATTATTTCATGGGGAAATAGTTTTCGCCGAACGCGGGCGACACTTTTCAGAAACGAATCTACTACCGTGTTAAACGGCGACTCGCTGTGTAAGTGGGAGTGTGTGAGGAGTTGGAAAGTTGGTAAAAACCTGGTACAGCTGTGCCAGAGCCGTTGGTCTCTTTGGTGCTGAAGACGTAGAGGCGGCTGGGGGTGGTGACACAGGTGAAGAGCGCCTAGCAGGGGACGATGCACCAGGAACGTCTGGTAAAAAGAGAGACGTTCGACTCAAATCGTAAACCATCACACGCGAGTTCTGGGTCATCCTCGCTCGCCATCGAACAAAGACGGTCACTGCATCGCGTGCTTTCAAATGTGCTTCTGCAGCAGTCTGGAACTGCTCTTCCTTCCGATATTCAGAAGCCACTGGAGCCATGCACTTTTAGATCGAGATGGAAAACTAACTTCTTTAAAACAGCTTTTTGTGTTCAATTTGTTACCCTTCCCCCCACCTCAGATGAGCACGGTGATTTGACCTCTGACCAAAGTTCTTAAGAGACCCATATCAACAACTGCTTAGAAGCTGCAGCATTTATCAAAAGGTGACTAACTTTCATAATATTTAGCAAATAGTATGCATGAAAGTGTACACAATGATAAAATATAACTGAGTGTTTCCTATACCTTAATCAGGATGCCATCCATGTAATCCCAGAGCTTAATTGTGCCATCTTCAGAGCTGGAGTAAGCCTGCAAAGCACAGCATATATTTTAAAACACGTTAAGAGACTTGACGAGAAAACAATGAGTGCCAACAAAGTGCGAGCATTCACGTGATAATAGGGGGCGGTTGCGCTTTCGCCGCATGTGCACAGACTCGCGGTTCGAATCTGGCAGGCCTGGTTAATACTGCGGTGTGTGTCAACTATGAAATAAGCGCCATCTGCTTTAATTTCACGTCAAAGATCCCAAGATGTAATTCATGGTCCAAATTTTACAATGTACCAGCAAAAGAGTCAACTGGTACTATGTCTGTGAAAATTGGTGCCTTTTTTTTATAGCCATGGCTGTTAAGAACTGCACAAATACCGAATGTACAAATTATTTGATTGAACAAAGTACCAATTAGGTGATCAGGTTAAAACGAGCTGAGGGACCTGAAGGTAGTTGTTGGGGTTGAGTTGGATTCCTGTGACGAGTTGTCCATGTCCTGTGAGCTCGTGCAAGGTCTCGCCCGTTGCAGTGTTGAACACCTTGATGAGGTCTCCCGATGCGCACAGCAAATACCTACACACATGGCGCGATCCAGACACGTGCTACTCTTAATATACAAAATACGAATGTCCAACAATATATCCTTAACACTGTTGGGGCAAGCACTGCTAGAGCACCGAAAAACTAAACTTTTATTTATTTTACCAGGTAAGACCCACTGACCTATACAACTCTTTTTCAGAAGCGACCTGGCCACAAATGATAGCTCAACGAAGTGGCCGATTACGTGCACCATTTATAACAGCCAAATCGTCTAAACGCGTGATGTTGATTCTAAATGGCAATCGAAAAACCCAGGGACCTGGAGAAGCATCCACACGACCACGGGAAGAGAGACGCGCAAACTCCAAACAGAGGCATCAGAGTCGGGATCTGCTGTACACCTCCTAGATACACCAGGCAAGGTAGTAAACACATCTCGCCACCGTGGCGAGATGTGTTAACACCACACCCAGCCGGCCACCCCGGTCTCTCCAAGACTAATCTTTACACATCGCACCAGGCACTCAGCGACGGCCGAGTTGACCTCGGATAGGGTTCTGGACCGGTACAGAAATTCATCACCGATGTTGGTCGCAAGCGGGAATTAAAATTCGCGTCCCTGAGTTCGTAGCACAGTGCGCTAATACTCCTAATGTACTTGCGCACGCACAGTGAACAGAAGGCACTATGGTTAATGCTGTGGTGGACAGCTGGTCATACAGCCCATGCACTTCATGCACCAAGAGGTTTCTAGAGGGGCTGTTTTGAGCTCCTCGTGGAGACGATTCTGCCAGCAGTGACACAAGCAATTGCAGGGCTGCGCCTTTGATCTTCTATGAATAATATTATTAACTAGTCCATGGTCAATTCAACTGCCGGACGAGGGCCCTCACCACCAACAACGTCATAACCTCGTTATAACGAAATCGATTCATCTAATGATTGTTCTTACATGCCATGTCACCTTATTTTTAAATCCTTTATATTAAGTTCGCTTGCTTGCTTGCGTGCTTGCTTGCGTGCTTGCTTGCTTACGACCGTGCAAATCTTTCGGTCGTTTTTGAACCCACTTCCCGTGATCCAATCGAGCTGACATTTTCCACACAGATTCGTTGTGCGAGACAATTAGTGTTCGTGAAAAAAAATTCCCAAAATTTTACACTGTTTAGGGAAAACAAATTAAATATTTAATTACCAATTGCTTAATACTGGCAATCATCTATAAGTGGCAGCCATCTCAAGCCAGAGGACGAGAAGACTATAGCCGCCACGGATATAAAGGATTTATAGTGAAAAACTTTGTTTTTACGGGTTTACTTGTTCAAGGGTGTGTGTGTTTTACAGCCTGAAACGGCTGCGAACTGCTCTTGATCCAGCACTTTGGAGGACGAGGGTTGGCGGATCGGAGATTTGGAAGCGAGGGTTTTGGTGCATCAGTGATCTGTGGCAATATCTCGATTGTGGCAATATCCCCAAAACCTGCCTGGGCTTCAAAGGTGCTTGAGAGGAGGCCTTGAACACCGTCGTCACAAAGATTACGTGGGGCGCATTAAATCCAACAGGAGAAAAACGGCTAGATGATGATCATCTACGACGATGAGTCGTTCGTTCAGCAAAACAAGATAAGGTGCCATCCATTTAGTACGTACGCATGGAGGGGGGGAGGTGGGTTAACCTAAATGTGTACGCTTGCGTATGGGGGGGCTCTACTAACAATGTAAGTACGCATAAGAAACGGGGGGGGGGGGGTGAAGACTCGATAATAATTTGTCTACATTAGCCTTCAACTGAGTTAGATAGTCTGGCGGTGGACTGTTTGCTTAATATTATTAATCGTTGATCGTTTCTGCGTGGATTAAATATCGGCCGTTCTATAGGATTCGGGGGGGGGGGGGGGGGGGAGTACAGGGAGGGGGGGGTACGGGGAGGGGGGGGTACAGGTGGGGGGGGGTACAGGGAGGGGGGGGGGGAGTACGGGGAGGGGGAGGAGTACGGGGAGGGGGGGGGAGTACGGGGGGGGGGGGTACAGGGAAGGGGGGTACAGGGAGGGGGGGGGGAGTACGGGGAGGGGGGGGTACGGGGGGGGTACAGGGAGGGGGGGAGTACAGGGAGGGGTGGAGGTACAGGGAGGGGTGGAGGTACAGGGAGGGGGGGTGTACAGGGAGGGGGGGTGTACAGGGAGGGGGGGGGGTACAGGGAGGGGGGGGGGTACAGGGAGGGGGGGTGTACAGGGAGGGAGGGGTCAAGTTGACAGATTTTTGCGTACTTACTAAATGGATGGCTCCCAATGGCTCGTGATTTTTTAATTAAGATTTCATCTACTCGTGTGTCAATTGATGATTTAAAAAAAAACCCGCACCGTGTAGCGGCCTTCATCAACAGTAGACTGGTTTCCGACGGAAAGGCCTTCAGCCAGCAGTGAATAACCCATATTATGATGAAGAGGGCCTTAATCCAGCGGCAGACCATAGCTCCTGATAAACAAATATATACCGAGGCATTCATCCAGCAGTGGATAGATTACAGCTTCTGATAAAAAATGGTGAGGCCTTCATCCAGGGAGTGGCAATCGGATAGACCGTAGCTTAAGATACTAATATTAACAGAGGCCTTAATTCATCAGTGGAGTGACCATAACGTACAATACAAATGACGGGAAGAATAAATTCTGGATTGGTTACCGTGCTAGACCACAGCTCGAAATAACGCCGAGTAGGCCTTCGTTCAGCGGTAGACATACTAAATTATTGGTAGGCCTTCATGCAGAAGTAGCGGATGGCTTACGACGATAATGGGTTCACATGGCACCGGATAGCCCCTGGCTTCCAATTATATTATTAGTATTTATTTGACGAAATTTAATCTGAACGTGAGTAAACCCGCCACGGCACAGACACTGCAACGAGCTATATCACGCACGGCGCACGTGTTCTCAAAAGCCTCGCCGCTCAACCGGATCCCGTGCAAACTTAAAACACACAGACAAGTAAAACAATAAAACCATTATCGTTAATTTTGCAAAGGCGCTCACTTTCCGTCGTTCGTGAAGACGGGCCTCCTGAAGACGAGCCTGCTGCCGCCGCTTCTCGCCACGCGAACTCCACTCGGCTCCTCGTCCACGCTCATCACCCCCATGGCCTCCGTTTCTCTAACCCTGCTGCTGCTGCCTCTCTCGCTCGCTCGCTCCCGGCAAATGGAACTCCCCACCCAGCACCACCACCCACCACCACGTGTCTCTCACTACCCCCCCACCACCACCACGCTGCCGACACGTGGTTAGGAACGTGTGCAGCGCGCCGCCATCTTACCAAGGGAGAGGGGTATTAAATAACGTTGGATGACGTCATCGACACGGGACGATCTCTCGCCCCCCTCCCCCGCCCCGCCACAACGTTGTAGACACACCCGCCCCCCACGTAAGATGGCCGCCGTTATATGTTGTGCTGATGGCGTCACAGAAATTGGCTTCACTTCACCAATCAAGCGGCGTCTTGCGGCTCGGTCACGTTGTTGTTTGGAAGCGTTAACACTGCGAGGTTGTTGTTGTTGTTGGTGGTGGGGGTGGTGTCACGCGCGTGAAGACGCTGCGTTGAGTTTGTCAAGAGCGTAGCGTTCGTTGAGCAACGTCGCGGCACATTTGGCCATCGTTCGCGTCCAATTTGGGAACGGGCATGCGGGCGATAAAGCAACGCGGCTTGTCGCCGCCACTCGTGTGTGCGACGGCACGCGGGAACTTCCGCGGGTTTCTAATCCCGCGTTGCATCTGGTGTTGGCACGGGTCCCGTGTCATCGACACGTGCTGCCGCGGATTTCTGAGAACTTCCACGGATTTCTAATCCCGTGTTTCCGGGATTGCCACCGGGCCTGTGTCTACACGTGCTTGCGCGGATTTCTGAAGACTTCCGCGAGTTTCTAATCTCGCGTTGTGTCCGTGTTGGCACGGGGCTTGTGTCATCGACACGTGCTGCCGCGGATTTCTAAAGACTTCCGCGGGTTTCTAATCCCGCGTTGTGCCCGTGTTGGCACGGGGCTTGTGTCATCGACAGATGCTGCCACGGAGTTCTAAAGACTAATGCGGATTTCTAAAGACTTCCGCGGATTTCTAAAGACTTCCGCGTATTTCTAAAGACTTCAGCGTGTTTCTAATCCCGCGTTGTACCCGGGATTGGCACCGGGCTTGTGTAATCGACACGTGCTGCCGCGGGTTTCTAAAGACTTCCGCGGATTTCTAAAGACTTCCGCGTGTTTCTAATCCCGCGTTGTATCCGGGATTGGCACGGGGCTTGTGTCATCGACACGTGCTGCCGCGGGTTTCTATGTCACGCATCACGCTTGAGTTTGATTTGTGTGTTTCACCACCGTCATTCGCCGTGTTCAATCCACTGCTGGATTAAGACCTCCACCGCCAACCAACCAACAAGCCGTCACGGCGCCACCACCACGCTGCCGCACACCAGGTGAACCCCATCGCTCCCTCTTAACTCGCTTGGAATATATATCTCCCCTAAGAACGCGTTTCGTGAGTGGACTGCCGTGCCACTCGCGTTATTCATTCCTTGACTGCCCTGCCACTCACGTTATTCATTCCTTGACTGCCCTGCCACTCACGTTATTCATTCCTTGACTGCCCTGCCACTCATGTTATTCATTCCTTGACTGCCCTGCCACTCACGTTATTCATTCCTTGACTGCCCTGCCACTCGCGTTATTCATTCCTTGACTGCCCTGCCACTCACGTTATTCATTCCTTGACTGCCCTGCCACTCACGTTATTCATTCCTTGACTGCCCTGCCACTCGCGTTATTCATTCCTTGACTGCCCTGCCACTCACGTTATTCATTCCTTGACTGCCCTGCCACTCACGTTATTCATTCCTTGACTGCCCTGCCACTCACGTTATTCATTCCTTGACTGCCCTGTCACTCACGTTATTCATTCCCCGACTGCTGTGCCACTCACGTTATTCATTCCTTGACTGCCCTGCCACTCACGTTATTCATTCCTCGACTGCTGTGCCACTCACGTTATTCATTCCCCGACTGCCCTGCCACTCACGTTATTCATTCCTTGACTGCCCTGCCACTCACGTTATTCATTCCTTGACTGCCCTGCCACTCACGTTATTCATTCCTTGACTGCCCTGCCACTCACGTTATTCATTCCTTGACTGCCCTGCCACTCACGTTATTCATTCCTTGACTGCCCTGCCACTCACGTTATTCATTCCTTGACTGCCCTGCCACTCACGTTATTCATTCCTTGACTGCCCTGCCACTCACGTTATTCATTCCTTGACTGCCCTGTCACTCACGTTATTCATTCCTCTACTGCTGTGCCACTCACGTTATTCATTCCCCGACTGTGTCACTCACGTTATTCATTCCTCGACTGTGTCGACTGTGTCACTCACGTTGTTATTCATTCCCCGACTGCTCTGCAGCTCACGTTGTTATCTGCTGTGCCACTCACGTTATTCATTCCCCGACTGCTGTGCCACTCACGTTGTTATTCATTCCTCGACTGATCTGCCACTCACGTTGTTATTCATTCCTCGACTGCTCTCCCACTCACGTTATTCATTCCCCGACTGTGTCACTCACGTTATTCATTCCTCGACTGCCCTGTCACTCACGTTATTCATTCCTTGACTGCCCTGCCACTCACGTTATTCATTCCTTGACTGCCCTGCCACTCACGTTATTCATTCCTCGACTGCCCTGCCACTCACGTTATTCATTCCTCCACTGCTGTGCCACTCACGTTGTTATTCATTCCCCGACTGCTGTGCCACTCACGTTGTTATTCATTCCCCGACTGCTGTGCCACTCACGTTGTTATTCATTCCTCGACTGCTCTCCCACTCACGTTGTTATTCATTCCTCGACTGTCGACTGTGTCACGTTATTCATTCCCCGACTGCTCTGCAGCTCACGTTATTCATTCCTCCACTGCTGTTCCACTCACGTTGTTATTCATTCCCCGACTGCTCTTCCACTCACGTTATTCATTCCTCGACTGCTGTGTCACTCACGTTGTTATTCATTCCCCGACTGCTGCCACGACCACGTCAAGCCACGTGTCCACGAGTTCCGATTCTCAACATGTCCTGCAGTGTCCCCAGACCTCGCGCCGTCTTCTCCAATACACGCGATCATCTTCCCCGTCTCTGCATTTGTTTTATCCCTTTGATCCTCGGGATCGATTTGCACAATCGAACAACCCTCGAGTCTCCGCGACAAATCGTACATTTCACCTTTGATTTCATAATTATCACGAGTTCAACTTTTTTTTTTACACTGCCCGTTTTTTTTCTTCCTTGTTAATTACTAATATCGATACGTGCGGCTAAATCGATGATAAATAATCGATGTGCCATCGGGAGCGTTTGGTTTGTTGCGTTGCGTTAAGGATAATGCTACAAAATAAACCAGATTTTGAGATTTCTTCACGTTGATCATAAAAATACCTCTGCGTGCTCCCTCTTTGTTACTGGCTTACCACTGTGAAGAATGATTTATTTTTGCTCGGATTAATTCTGTTGAATTCATTGTTGTACAGTACTTGAAAAGTGTTCTTGCACTTTGTGATCATGTTGGTGCCACAGATCACGCTGGCAAATGCCACATACACAAAGAAGTTGTTTAAGACATACATCCTGCCACTCTGACCCTTCTTAACGATTGCCCTGCTAGGGCCCCTTTTCAAGGTCATAACACAAAGACATCTTCTTGGTTCTTTCGGTAAAGTCACGTAGAAGGAAAATAATAAAATAATAAAATAAAACATAATAAAATAATTCTGACGACGTTTCGGCCACAACGCAAGCAGCCGTCTTCAGGTGGAGAACAGGTCGACACGGGGATATTGGTACAATGTGGACTGTGTGAACTCTTTTTTGTATTTTTACACGCTTTTATTTAACTCACTCTATATTCTTGGTTCTTTCGGTAAAGTCACGTAGAAGGGAAATAATAAAATAATAAAAATATCAATAATAAAAATTATCACGACGTTCCGGCTGCAACACAAGCAATCATCATCAGGTGTGAAATCCACAGCAAGAAAATTTCAAATTTTCTGCCACTTTTTCTAATTTTCTTGCTGTGGATTTCACACCTGATGATGATTGCTTGTGTTGCAATCGAAACGTCGTGATTATTTTTATTCTTTTATATTTTTATTATTTCCCTTCTCCGTGACTTTACCGAAAGAACCAAGAATATAAATCCCTGCAGTCATGAAAGCTTTAAATCAAAATTTAACTCACTCTGTCTGTTGTTGTCGTATCCTCAATCTTGTAACTCAATTTTAACCCACTTCCCAATGTGCTATCGACCGAAAACTTGGTATACTTATGTCATACTGATGACAATAGTATATTCTATCATAAAAAATAAAATAATAGATTTTTAAACAATCTTTTTAAACGCTTCCTATTAACTCAGTCTGTTGTTGTTGAATCCTCAAATATTGTAACTCAAGTTTAACCCACTTCCCAATGTGGTATCGACTGCAAACTTCGTATACTCATGTCTTACTGATGACAATACTATATTCTATCATAAAAATAAATATTTGTAAACAATCTTTTAACACGCTTTTATTTAACTCATTCTGTCTGTTGTTGTCGTATCCTCAAATCTTGTAACTCAATTTTAACCCACTTCCCAATGTGGTATCGACTGCAAACTTGGTATACTTATGTCATACTGATGACAATACTATATTCTATCATTTAAAAATAATAATTTTAAACCATATTTTTTATATGTTATGTAAAGCCTTGGGTCTAATTGTCCACGCTCAACTGACGTTGGCTGTAAATCACCACTGTCCCTTACGTTATGGAAAGCTTCGGGGCCACTTCCTGGAGTCGTGGAGTTCTGCCATTACTAGTACGGTACATTTCATTAAAGCGTGTTTTAAAAAAAATATTTTTAATTACCAGCTGAGGTCCACTGTGTTATATGGTGCTTTTCAGAAACGACCTGGCTACCCACAAATGATAGCTCAACGGAGTGGCTTCTCGTCGCGTGGAAATGTATAGCAGCCAAATACTCTTCAACGCGTGATGTTGATTCTTCTAAATGTGGTATTTGGAATGAAAAACCCAAATGACCCGGAGAAAAATCCACCACCACCACGGGGAGAACACGCAAACTCCAAATATACAGCAGGCGTCACGGGGTCGGTATCGAAACCACGACCTCCTGCATACCCGGCAAGGTAGTTAACATCTCGCCATTGTGGAGCACCAAGCAGCTTGCAGGGAGAGAGACCCATATTTGAAATCGATAGGGAAGCTTGGTTGCTATACAAGAGTTGATTTGGTCCGGAACTGCCCTTTGCTCACCAATGAGGTGGCTCAGAAACCTGCTTAGCTTACGAGATCGAGGATTTTCCTGGGCAATTGAGTCACATGCTACGGCTTAATTGTGGTACGCTAATAATAACCCTGTGGGTATCGTTACCCAGGCAACCATCACCACGCTTCATTGCAGAGGGCTTTACACTTGGCTAAATCAAGGTAAAGCCATGCTGTTGTATTTTTGCAACATCTAAAGTAGCTCGGAGGTGCATTCTAAAGTTGGTATGATGTTAAAACCTAAAACATTGCATCACCTTCTGCTATTAATAGCGGGGTGAGTGGGCATATTTGAGACAAAAAATGCCAGACCTGTGGTTCAAACAAAGATCTGTCCGATAATTCTGTATCTCATTGTAAACTAAATAATGCAAAGATATAATTTTAGGCAGCAGGGAAGGATGGATTGGAATGTTTCTCCTACTACTCTTAGGCTTTTCGATGAGTTGTTCTGGTTGTTGAACCTTTTGATCTTTTACACTGTTAGTTCATAATCATGGTCTCGTGTAACTTGGGCAACTTGTATTGGTGCTGCGCTCTTCTGCCATTTACAGCCCTGAGTTACTCGTGGAAATTCCACATTCCTATGGCAGGTGCGAGTAATATACATCGGGCAAGCAGTGGTAACTGCTCATTTTAATAACCCCAGAGAGTAATGATGGGCTGAGTGAACGCCCAAGCAGGATTTGAACTCGCCACCTTCGCATTCTGAGCCTGCCCTCCTGGTCTCTAATTCATTTACAGTTTGCTACAGGGATAATTACTCAAATCAGAATTACTCGAGAGATTAACTCGCGTGATTGGAGTGTTACATTTCGGATAGTTGCGTTATACTGGTAGGAACCCACTGGTTCCACCAGCCCACAGGGGATTATTGTGTCCGTCCGTCGTGCAGGGAGGGGATGGGTGGGGAGGGTGGGGAGGGGCAGGGAGGGGCTGGGTGGGGCTGGGTGGGGAGGGTGGGGAGGGCTGGATGGGGAGAGGCTGGTGGGGAGGGTGGGGAGGGGCTGGGTGGGGAGGGTGGGGCTGGGTGGGAAGGGTGGGGAGGGGCTGGGTGGGGAGGGGCTGGGTGGGGGTGGGAGGGGTGGGGCTGGGTGGGGAGGGGCTGGTCACCCCGTGGTGCCCTTATAAAACTCAACGTTTAACCTACTCACGCCGGCTTGTGCCCGGCCTCACAGTCGGGCATATTTGCGGAATACACCACGCCGCCGTTGACCCTGCAGGCCATTGACCGAGCAACCCAACGTTCCTACCAGCTCCCTCCGCAGGAGGAATGTGTTAATGCGCAATTCATTTCATGGGCATTTAATTAATATGCCGAGTTGAAATGAAAACGTCTTATTGTAATTTGAACTCGCATACCAGGATTGTAGTTATGATTATTTCCTTGTTTAGATTTATTTCCATGAATGTCATTCATTCACAGGGTATTTTCGTTCATTTAAAAACACTGCCATGTGCAATAATACTGTTGTTTGCGTATGGTGGTGTAATGCATTTGCTATTTCATACTTCGTGAAGTAAACAAGCGGTTAATTGTGAAATGTGCCATGCAGTTGTTCTGCGTGAACACACAAACTTGCAATTTAACGTACACGGCGATACTGTGGAACTCTGTTGAGAAATGCTCTGTTATCCAATGATTTTTGTTCATCTTTTCATTGACATTGTAAAAAATCGAGCATTTCATCGATGCACTACTGGGCGTTGCATATATGTAGTGTTTTTATTTCACGCGGACAACTTATTTTTCTCATGTGTCACTTTTAATTGAACAGAACTCCTCGCGTCCAACACCCCGTAACTCCATCGCAACTCGCCCGCTTAGCTCATTTCGCTCTTTCCACTGCTAACCTGTTCTCTCTCTCACTCTCCTAGCCTCTCCACTGCTAGCCTGCTCTCTCACTCACTCTCCTAGCCTCTCCACTGCTAGCCTGCTCTCTCACTCACTCTCCTAGCCTCTCTACTGCTTGCCAACTCTCTCACTCACTCTCCTAGCCTCTCCACTACTTGCCTGCTCTCTCTCTCCTAGCTTCTCCACTGCTAGCCTGCCTGCCACGCTCCGCTCGCTTCGCTCTCTCTGCTGCTGGCCTATCACTACACCCCTCTGGTAGCGTCCCACCGTACACTCTGCTAGCTTCTCCACTGCTAGCCTGTTACCGTACACTCTGCTAGCTTCTCCACTGCGAGCCTTCCACTATACCCTCTGCTAGCTTCTCCACTGCAAGCCTTCCGCTATGTACTCTGCTTGCCTCTCTACTGCAAGCCTTCCGCTATGTACTCTGCTTGCCTCTCTACTGCTAGTCTTCGCGCACTCACACTTAGGATTCCGCTAGCCTCTCTACTGCTAGCCTCTCTACTGCTCGCCTCTCTACTGCTAGCTTCTCTACTGCTCGCCTCTCTACTGCTAGCCTTCCGCTATGTACTCTGCTTGCCTCTCTACTGCTAGTCTTCGCGCACTCACACTTAGGATTCCGCTAGCCTCTCTACTGCTAGCCTCTCTACTGCTAGCCTCTCTACTGCTAGCTTCTCTACTGCTCGCCTCTCTACTGCTAGCCTTCCGCTATGTACTCTGCTTGCCTCTCTACTGCTAGTCTTCGCGCACTCACACTTAGGATTCCGCTAGCCTCTCTACTGCTAGCCTCTCTACTGCTCGCCTCTCTACTGCTAGCTTGTCTGCCCTCGCCTCTCCAACCTCGCCCTTGCCTCCAGTGGGGGATCAGCCATCACCGCTGGAGAGGACGAGGTGTGGCGCGTGGGCCCCGGACTTCTCTCGTCTCTCCTCTTCTCTTCACTCCGACCAACGCAACTCCACTGCCTCACCCGTTCCGTATTTATCCTCCTCATTAAACGCCCAAATTAAGCTGGCGTCCTCCTCCCGCACGTGGCACGTCCGCTGCTATCGCCTCAATCTGCAGACTCCGAGGTGCCTACTCCGCACCTGCATTTGCAGCCAACCAATCACGGCTCTGCATCTTAATTGGCCCTGTCTTTCTCGCTAGCAGAGGTCGCAATCGGGGACCCGATACCCGTACCCTACCCGATACCCGGCTGGGTACGGGTACTTGTTTGCGACCCTGGTGCGGCCGGGTACGGGTAGGCCGTGAGTCACTGGTGAGTCACCGTTTGTCACTCATTTCCCAACGTCTTGTCTCTTCTCACAATTCAAGTTCCTAGAATCAACCCACCCGCGCCTGCAACATGGCTTCATCCCAGAGGTCGTCCCTGGTGTTCGCCATGAGCGGGAATCGAACTCGGGTCACCGGGTTCTCCGGTCTTCACCTTTAGAAGCAACTTGCGTTTCGAGTGTTTTGCTGCAATAAATTACCACGTGACAATCCACTTCGTCGGGCTATCATTTGTGGCCCAGGTCGCTTATGAAAAAGAGAGCTGCTATAGCTCAGTAGGTCTTACCTAGTCAAAAAATAATAATCGTACATCGCGCTAACCACTGCGCCACCACTCCCCATTAGACTCGTCAAACGAGCCTGGACCGCGTTGTTTCCCCCATCTGCAGGCGGTAATAAAGCGAACTGCAACATTTGGAAAATGTAAGAGGGTCGGAGACCCCGATGCGCACTTTGGCACCAGTCGGCGCCAGTCAGCGCTGGTTGAAACGGTTGTTTGTGTGTTGTTTGTGTGTGTGGGTGCACCTATGTGGGGAGCGGTGGTGTAGCGGTTAGCGCACCGTGCTGCGAACCTGGCCACCCGAGTTCGATCCCTGCTCACGGCCAACACCGGTGACGATTGCCTGAACCGGTCCTGGGGCTTGCCTTAGGTCGACTCAGCCTCAAATGAGTGTGTAAACGTCGCCACTGGGGAGACAAAGGCGGCCGGGCGTGGTGCTGGCCAACCACCCCCTCCGTGTTCCGTCCCATGCCCAACCTCAACACCCGACGAGTGCACACCAACAACAACCAAAACACACACAATGTTCACGTTGTGCGGCCTCAAAAGTGCGTGTGTTGGATAGCGCCCTGCCGTGGTTACACCATTGACTGCTGTGCAAGTGAAATGTGAGCCGCTTGCCATAGGTTGAAAGCAACACCCCCTCCCCGTCTGCTTCAGGGCATCATCACCTGAACACGAGGGGTGGCGGCCGAGGAGACTTAAATGCTTTGCGTTTTTTTTTTTATCCTCCTCCACACCCTCAACCCGCGTCTCCACACTTCACTTGCTCTGCAGGAATCGCAAATGCCACGACGCGCACAGAGCTCGCCACGCCAATCACCGCTTGGTCAGTAACGACAGGAGGAGGAGGACGACGAAGCTTGTCAGGTGAGCCACGAGCAGAAGCAGAATGTGTATTTATACTGGGTGAATCCGATCAGAAGCAGAATGTGTATTTATACTAGATGGATCTGATCAGAAGCAGAATATGTATTTATACTGGATGAATTCGATGCGAGCCAGGATCATAAGCAGAATATGTATTTATACTGGGTGAATCCGATCAGAAGCAGAATATGTATTTATACTGGGTGAATCCGATCAGAAGCAGAATATGTATTTATACTGGGTGAATTCGATCAGAAGCAGAATATGTATTTATACTGGGTGAATCCGATCAGAAGCAGAATATGTATTTATACTGGATGAATCCGATCAGAAGCAGAATATGTATTTATACTGGGTGAATCTGATGGGAGCCAGGATCAGAAGCAAAATATGTATTTATACTGGGTGAATCCGATCAGAAGCAGAATATGTATTTATACTGTGGGAATCCGATCAGAAGCAGAATATGTATTTATACTGGGTGAATCCGATCAGAAGCAGAATATGTATTTATACTGGGTGAATCCGATCAGAAGCAGAATATGTATTTATACTGGGTGAATCCGATCATAAGCAAAATATGTATTTATACTGGGTGAATCCCACCAGAAGCAGAATATGTATTTATACTGGGTGAATCCGATCAGAAGCAGAATATGTATTTATACTGGGTGAATCCGATCAGAAGCAGAATGTGTATTTATACTGGGTGAATCCGATCAGGAGCAGAATGTGTATTTATACTGGGTGAATCCGATCAGGAGCAGAATATGTATTTATACTGGGTGAATCCGATCAGAAGCAGAATATGTATTTATACTGGGTGACTCCGATCAGAAGCAGAATATGTATTTATACTGGGTGAATCTGATGGGAGCCATGATCAGAAGCAGAATATGTATTTATACTGGGTGAATCCGATCAGAAGCAGAATGTGTATTTATACTGGGTGACTCCGATCAGAAGCAGAATATGTATTTATACTGGGTGAATCTGATGGGAGCCATGATCAGGAGCAGAATATGTATTTATACTGGGTGAATCCGATCAGAAGCAGAATGTGTATTTATACTGGGTGAATCCGATCAGAAACAGAATGTGTATTTATACTGGGTGAATCCGATCAGAAGCAGAATGTGTATTTATACTGGGTGAATCCGATCAGAAGCAGAATGTGTATTTATACTGGGTGAATCCGATCAGAAGCAGAATGTGTATTTATACTGGGTGAATCCGATCAGAAGCAGAATGTGTATTTATACTGGGTGAATCCGATCAGAAGCAGAATGTGTATTTATACTGGGTGAATCCGATCAGAAGCAGAATATGTATTTATACTGGGTGAATCCGATCAGAAGCAGAATGTGTATTTATACAGGGTGAATCCGATCAGAAGCAGAATGTGTATTTATACTGGGTGAATCCGATCAGAAGCAGAATGTGTATGTATACTGGGTGAATCCGATCAGAAGCAGAATATGTATTTATACTGGGTGAATCCGATCAGAAGCAGAATATGTATTTATACTGGGTGAATCCGATCAGAAGCAGAATATGTATTTATACTGGGTGAATCCGATCAGAAGCAGAATGTGTATTTATACTGAGTGAATCCGATCAGGAGCAGAATATGTATTTATACTGGGTGAATCCGATCAGAAGCAGAATATGTATTTATACTGGGTGACTCCGATCAGAAGCAGAATATGTATTTATACTGGGTGAATCTGATGGGAGCCATGATCAGAAGCAGAATATGTATTTATACTGGATGAATCCGATCAGAAGCAGAATATGTATTTATACTGGGTGAATCCGATCAGAAGCAGAATGTGTATTTATACTGGGTGAATCCGATCAGAAACAGAATGTGTATTTATACTGGGTGAATCCGATCAGAAGCAGAATGTGTATTTATACTGGGTGAATCCGATCAGAAGCAGAATGTGTATTTATACTGGGTGAATCCGATCAGAAGCAGAATGTGTATTTATACTGGGTGAATCCGATCAGAAGCAGAATGTGTATTTATACTGGGTGAATCCGATCAGAAGCAGAATTTGTATTTATACTGGGTGAATCCGATCAGAAGCAGAATATGTATTTATACTGGGTGAATCCGATCAGAAGCAGAATGTGTATTTATACTGGGTGAATCCGATCAGAAACAGAATGTGTATTTATACTGGGTGAATCCGATCAGAAGCAGAATGTGTATTTATACTGGGTGAATCCGATCAGAAGCAGAATGTGTATTTATACTGGGAGAATCCGATCAGAAGCAGAATGTGTATTTATACTGGGTGAATTCGATCAGGAGCAGAATGTGTATTTATACTGGGTGAATCCGATCAGAAGCAGAATATGTATTTATACTGGGTGAATCCGATCAGAAGCAGAATGTGTATTTATACTGGGTGAATCCGATCAGAAGCAGAATGTGTATTTATACTGGGTGAATCCGATCAGAAGCAGAATGTGTATTTATACTGGGTGAATCCGATCAGAAACAGAATGTGTATTTATACTGGGTGAATCCGATCAGAAGCAGAATGTGTATTTATACTGGGTGAATTCGATCAGAAGCAGAATGTGTATTTATACTGGGTGAATCCGATCAGAAGCAGAATGTGTATTTATACTGGGTGAATCCGATCAGAAGCAGAATGTGTATTTATACTGGGTGAATCCGATCAGAAGCAGAATATGTATTTATACTGGGTGAATCCGATCAGAAGCAGAATATGTATTTATACTGAGTGAATCCGATCAGAAGCAGAATGTGTATTTATACTGGGTGAATCCGATCAGAAACAGAATGTGTATTTATACTGGGTGAATCGGATCAGAAGCAGAATATGTATTTATACTGGGTGAATCCGATCAGAAGCAGAATGTGTATTTATACTGGGTGAATCCGATCAGAAGCAGAATGTGTATTTATACTGGGTGAATCCGATCAGAAGCAGAATGTGTATTTATACTGGGTGAATCCGATCAGAAGCAGAATATGTATTTATACTGGGTGAATCCGATCAGAAGCAGAATGTGTATTTATACTGGGTGAATCCGATCAGAAGCAGAATGTGTATTTATACTGGGTGAATCCGATCAGAAGCAGAATGTGTATTTATACTGGGTGAATCCGATCAGAAGCAGAATATGTATTTATACTGGGTGAATCCGATCAGAAGCAGAATATGTATTTATACTGGGTGAATCCGATCAGAAGCAGAATATGTATTTATACTGGGTGAATCCGATCAGAAGCAGAATGTGTATTTATACTGGGTGAATCCGATCAGAAGCAGAATGTGTATTTATACTGGGTGAATCCGATCAGAAACAGAATGTGTATTTATACTGGGTGAATCCGATCAGAAGCAGAATGTGTATTTATACTGGGTGAATCCGATCAGAAACAGAATGTGTATTTATACTGGGTGAATCCGATCAGAAGCAGAATGTGTATTTATACTGGGTGAATCCGATCAGAAGCAGAATGTGTATTTATACTGGGTGAATCCGATCAGAAGCAGAATGTGTATTTATACTGGGTGAATTCGATCAGGAGCAGAATGTGTATTTATACTGGGTGAATCCGATCAGAAGCAGAATATGTATTTATACTGGGTGAATCCGATCAGAAGCAGAATGTGTATTTATACTGGGTGAATCCGATCAGAAGCAGAATTTGTATTTATACTGGGTGAATCCGATCAGAAGCAGAATGTGTATTTATACTGGGTGAATCCGATCAGAAACAGAATGTGTATTTATACTGGGTGAATCCGATCAGAAGCAGAATGTGTATTTATACTGGGTGAATCCGATCAGAAGCAGAATGTGTATTTATACTGGGTGAATCCGATCAGAAGCAGAATGTGTATTTATACTGGGTGAATCCGATCAGAAGCAGAATGTGTATTTATACTGGGTGAATCCGATCAGAAGCAGAATGTGTATTTATACTGGGTGAATTCGATCAGGAGCAGAATGTGTATTTATACTTGGTGAATCCGATCAGAAGCAGAATGTGTATTTATACTGGGTGAATCCGATCAGAAACAGAATGTGTATTTATACTGGGTGAATCCGATCAGAAGCAGAATGTGTATTTATACTGGGTGAATCCGATCAGAAGCAGAATGTGTATTTATACTGGGTGAATCCGATCAGAAGCAGAATGTGTATTTATACTGGGTGAATCCGATCAGAAGCAGAATGTGTATTTATACTGGGTGAATCCGATCAGAAGCAGAATATGTATTTATACTGGGTGAATCCGATCAGAAGCAGAATATGTATTTATACTGAGTGAATCCGATCAGAAGCAGAATGTGTATTTATACTGGGTGAATCCGATCAGAAACAGAATGTGTATTTATACTGGGTGAATCGGATCAGAAGCAGAATATGTATTTATACTGGGTGAATCCGATCAGAAGCAGAATGTGTATTTATACTGGGTGAATCCGATCAGAAGCAGAATGTGTATTTATACTGGGTGAATCCGATCAGAAGCAGAATGTGTATTTATACTGGGTGAATCCGATCAGAAGCAGAATATGTATTTATACTGGGTGAATCCGATCAGAAGCAGAATGTGTATTTATACTGGGTGAATCCGATCAGAAGCAGAATGTGTATTTATACTGGGTGAATCCGATCAGAAGCAGAATGTGTATTTATACTGGGTGAATCCGATCAGAAGCAGAATATGTATTTATACTGGGTGAATCCGATCAGAAGCAGAATATGTATTTATACTGGGTGAATCCGATCAGAAGCAGAATATGTATTTATACTGGGTGAATCCGATCAGAAGCAGAATATGTATTTATACTGTGGGAATCCGATCAGAAGCAGAATATGTATTTATACTGGGTGAATCCGATCAGAAGCAGAATATGTATTTATACTGGGTGAATCCGATCAGAAGCAGAATATGTATTTATACTGGGTGAATCCGATCAGAAGCAGAATGTGTATTTATACTCGGTGAATCCGATCAGAAGCAGAATATATATTTATACTGTGTGAATCCGATGAGCTATAAAGCTCTTTCGCAGATGTCCAGTAGGGGTAGGTTGCAGAGCGTAACGACAGCAAACAATACATAAAGTACTGTCTAGGAAAGGTAAACAAATTACTTGAAAATAAACAAATACAATTTAACTTTTTATCTCGCCACATAAATAGCCAGGAAACGGGCGCGTCCATTTGAAATCGGCGATGATTGATTGTTGGGGCTCAGGATAATTTGTGCGTCATGTCGCATGTGTAAGAAGATGCATTGACGTGAAGAAAGGTCGTTGCCCGAAACATTGCCCATTGTGCTTTTGCTTTCAATGCCCAACAGTGCTATTGCCGAACGTGTTGAGTTGATTTGTGCGTGCGTAAGAACAGTAGATTCGTAAACTGGCATAAAAAAACGAATCTGTTGAACTCACCGAATATAACTTGCAAATGGCTTGCGTAGCGTTTGTGCGTGATAACAATTAAATGAATTCATTCATGACTCGAAATGTTACGTATAAAATAGCTCAAGGCGCAACGATGCATGCACGACATTTCCAGATGAATGTCGACTCTTAACGTTTGTGACACGTGCATCGAATCACGCGCGTGTGATGTGTTTTTTAAAGCTTTGTAATTATAACAATTACCGTATTGTGTGCTGTGGGCTTCACGTGGTAGCCACCTGTAGCCACTAGAGGTGCAATATTTTCTGCAGCGTAATAGCATAACGACAGCAGCGTGTCGTCTAGTTATCCCTCGCGATACGGTCTGTTCTCTTATAATGGGTAGCTGCGTTCCTGAAGAACACCGCGTTAAGGGGAAAATTGCTTCATTATGAACAATATATAATAAGGGGTAAAGCACAGTCCGTGATAAACGCGTGAGATGCATACGCAGGCCGAACAAAGACCGAGGCGCGTGGGTAGCATCCAGCAGCATCCCAATGCCTTGTGTGAATCTACGCCGAAGCAGCCGTACAACCACTTATTGCTACACGCGTGAAGTAATTCTGTTCACTCGATCGCGTTAAGGGGAGCCCCCCCGTTGGTGAATTATGGTGAAACGCCTCTACATAACATTAGCGACTCAGAGGGTATGCAGCTTAGCAGGAGTGCACGCTCATAGGACTCTGCTGTGCAGCACCACAGCAGTTAATAGTGCACAACAATGGATTCATATTTATTTAGCATCTTAAATGCAACTGCTTCTCAAGACGCTTTACACAAAATCGAGGGAATACATTCGTAAAGCTTGTGGTTGTTTGAGGCGGATCAACAACGGGAGAGAGCTGAGAGATGGCAACAGCGTTGAGGGCACAGCGCGAGACCATGCAACGGGCCCCAGGGGCTTCCGATAACTCCGAGGGCAGCCTCGGGGTGAAGGCGGCAGGGCCGCCAGCCTATCAAGCGCAATGCCATTGCGGTAAATCCCAAACCATCGAACGCATCGCCGACGATCGCACCATCCCTACGCACACCCTGGCGGCATTGCTGCAATCAGTAAAGTCTGTCGCCGTGGATTGATTGAACGCCCGTAATGTTCAACTATGACATCTATTTATAATGGTTTTTTTGGGGGGTTAGATCACGTAAATATATAAATGTGTCGTTAAACCCGCCACCACCCGACACAGCCAATTAGTAAGGTTGGTCAGGTAAACAGAACATGCCAATTCGTTACTAGTACATCACACCGGTGTGTTGGAGAGCAAAGCGCAAATATTGCTGTCGCCTGATGAAGCTAGTTGTATTTTTCGATTTAAAGCTTTCGTGACTGCAGGGATTCATCTTCTTGGTTCTTTCGGTAAAGTCACGTAGAAGGGAAGTAATAAAATAATAAAAATAAAACATAATAAAACAATTCTCACGACGTTTCGGCCACAACGCAAGCAGCCGTCCTCAGGTGAAGAATGAGACAATGCCAAGCTAGGAGCTTATATATAAGCTGCGTTGGAGGTGGAAGAAAGAGCACCTTAACAATATATGTAGTGACAGAGCGGTCACTGCTGTATTGGCCCGTACGAGGGCTGGGGGCCCCAAGGGGGTGCCTGGGGGGTCACCTGCTGGAGGGATCCGGACCTTCCCAGAGGTGGGGGAAGTGAGGCGTGGCCTGGGAAGGGAGGCGTGGCCTGGGAAGGGAGGCGTGGCCTGGGCGGAGCCGGCCACGCCAGAGAGACGAGATATAAGCGTGGTGTGAAGGCAGAGCAGGGCTGTTCCTGAGAAGAATGAAGACACCTCGTGAAGATGCCAGAAGAGAAGACCTACAGTGAGCGGACTGCCAGCAACCACCTGGCTGGGTCACGCTGGAGCGGCTAAAATACAATTGTGTGTTAGCTAGTGTAGGTCGGTGGTCACCACCCTATGTGTAGAGTAAGAATAACTGTTGAGTAAACGTTGTGTTAATTAATAAATGAGTGTTGCCTCCCAAGAAGTGTGTGCGCCTAAATTGAACCCATTACATTTGGTGTCAGAAGTTGTGGAAAAATAAATATTGCTAGGTGTTATCCTAGGGAAGTAAAATGGGCACACGAAAAACAAATACAAAACTCATCTGGACTTCTTCGTACGACGGGGATGGTGTGACGACCGTCCTTCGGACAGCCCCGGGGATGGCAGCCCCGGTGACAGAGAGAGAGAGAGATGGCGCTGCACGCGGAGTGGCGGGACTTGCATCGCACTGCTGCTTCGCCGCCATCGGCGAAGCAGCAGTGCGATGCGGCATTTCGGCAGCAGGAGCGGTGTTTTGGCGGGAACAGCGCCCCGACCAGCCGCCGAAATGGCGGGAACGGCGTTTTGGCGGGAACCGCGCCCCGACCAGCCGCCGAAATGGCGGGCCCACCGCGTGGCCCGCATGCCCGGGCCTCCCCCGCCAGCCACCGCAGCGACGATGGTGTCCTCTCGCCGCGGCTCCGTCGCTCCGTTCCCGATGGCGGCGAAGCAGCTCTGTCACTACATATATGCTAAATTCCTCTTCATATGCACATTCTTTTGTTAAGGCGCTCTTTCTTCCACCTCCAACGCAGCTTATATATAAGCTCCTAGCTTGGCATTGTCTCATTCTTCACCTGAGGACGGCTGCTTGCGTTGTGGCCGAAACGTCGTGAGAATTGTTTTATTATGTTTTATTTTTATTATTTTATTACTTCCCTTCTACGTGACTTTACCGAAAGAACCAAGAAGCTAGTTGTAATTACTGGCGAAACGACGTACTCAGATTGTAAATGTTGTGGCTTGGCTCTCCAACACACAACCGGTGTGCTGTACTAGTGACGAATTGGCCACGTTCTGTTTATGTGACAACCCTTACTAGTTGGCTATATCGGGTGGTGGCGGGTTTAACGACACATTTATATATTTACGCGATCTAACCCAAAGGAAACCTGTATTATGGATGATATTGGTCGCGACAGCCGAGTATGACATCTATAAAAACTGTTGCTTTCCACCGCCCCCTTCCCCTTGCATGCCGTGCCAAAGAAGATCTGCACAATGTCCATCCTACAAATTCCCTTTGGTTTTTTCGGTAAAGTCACGTAGGTAAAAAATTAAATTCAATAAAATGAATTTGATTTTATTTTTTACCTACGTGATGAATTTTTTTCATTTTAATTTATTTAATTTTTTACTTACGTGACTTTACCGAAAAACCAAAGAGTATGGATCCTTGCAGTCACGAAAACTTCAAATCTAGAACTACATATTCCCGCTGTGTATTTTGTGGAGGGAATGGTGTAATGGATGCACACTGGTCTCGATTAAATCTTCCTACGCGGCAGTTGAAACAATGGTACAAGTTGCTTGAATGCATGCCCTCTGCCTCTGTTTCGCCAAGCAGCGTTAATGGGTACACCCACGGTCAGTTGATCGGCAGGTCGTGTGCGGTGGGGTCAAATGTGGGTACCCTCACACCTCTTTCAAGAAGGCTGGTAGCAAAACTACACAAACCGTCTCCTGAAGCCCTCTCTCGTCTTCGCTAACAGACCTCAACGTTGGCACTTTAGCGTAGAAGAGTAGGCCAGTTACCCTCCAGAAGGGCTCTCTAGAGCCCTTCCGCCAGCAGTGGTGTGAGCGAGCAATTGCAGGGCTGCACCTTTACCCTCTTTACCGTGTTGTTTGTGTTCAGTGTTGGTAACCAACACTTTGGCAATGCCCTGCGTTTTGCGGCTCTTTCTAGACAGTCTACGTACACTTGTTTATTTTAAAAAAAAATCAGGTTTCAATCCAAAATTGGTCCAAAGCCGCGAATGAAAATCGGCTGAAATATTTGTGTGGTGATTATTTTGGAAGCTTGTGGTGCAGATATTTTGAGTGCAAAATAACCCCATTGTAAACCCGGCACTTGGGTTGCAAGTGCAAGCTGAAAACGATCCTGGTATGAACATTTTACACATCACGGCGGTAAATTATACACTCTGAATATATAATTAGGTATGTGTGCGACTCAATAAATTGCCATGATTCTGCATCATGTTTTGACCCAAAAATATGTATTTTTTGGCTCGTTTGTACCGTCTCACTTGTATTGTGTCTCGTATGTTCTTTCCTTCTGTCACTTTCTACAGGGCGGTTCCACATTGTGGTCATCAAATGGCAATTGTGTACTGCACGTTTATACTCCCACACAGATATGCTGCTTTGCCTTCACCAAACCACACAGACACAACTTGCACATCCTAGGGAAGCACTCATCCAGCCACGGTGGTGTGATGTTGACTACTTCACCTGGTATGCAGGAGGGCATGGGATCGATCCCAACCTTGACGTCTGTATTTTTGGAGTTTGCATGTTCTCCCCGTGGTCGTGCAGATTTTTCTCCGGGTCATCCGGTTTTTCCCCCCACATTTAGAATCAACATGTTTTTAGAGCACTTGGCTGCTATCAATTTCCACATGATAGCCACTTCGTTGAGCTATCACTTGTGGCCAGGTCGCTTATGAAAAAGAGCTACATAACTCAGTGGGCCTTACATGGTAAAATTGAAAAGTTAAAACAGTTAATACTTAATTGATTAACGGTCTATACAAGCACTTTAGCTTCATGAATCGTTGAAGTGTTCCACGCCTAATGGTCAGAGAGAGCGCGCACCTGTGGCGTGTGTGCATTACGTGTGCACGCCTGTTGAACCTTCGCCTAAAACACCCACAACCGAGGTGTTGTTTACAGTCGATGTGCGCTCGCGTTACCGATCGCCGGCGCCTGTCGCCACAGTGATGCGTTCTACCCCGTTCATTCACCGCGACGACAGCTGTGTTGTGAGCCGAGCCACCAAAGCGAAAAACCCAACGAGGACGAGCGAGGATGGACGACGCCGAGGCCGCCAATGCCGACAAAGAACCGGATCGCGATGGGATGGCAGATGCTGAACCGGATCGCGATGGGATGGCAGATGCGGAGGCTTCCCCGCCCAAGAAAAACCGATGTGGTATCGACTTCATGATGTGGCGCTCATTTTTATTGTTTTTGGTCAATTCGCCCCACAATGCTGGAATGCCTAAGGCGGCATGAGCCTGGTTTGGTATGGTACGGTTTTCACTCTCGAATATCCGTGGGTAGCAGATAAAAAAAAAATTGGATTGGACATTAACCGTGCTTGCGCAAAAAGAAAGTCTTTGTGCGCGTTGGTTTAATTACTGGCTGCTCCTCAATCGTCGAGAGTCAGCGACTAGTTCCCCACGTGACCGCAAACGCGTCGGCGGGTCACTGGACTGCTTTACAAACCCGCAAAAACAGACTCGTGCGTTCAACCGTCTTCTCCCCTTTTCTGCATAGGTAATCAATTCGGTACGTGTTCATAGCCTAATCTTTACACGCTTTGCTTTATCCATGTCTTATCTGAACCACCCCTCCACTACCCCGGATAATCGAGAGTTTATTGGATTTGTGATGTGGGGTTTACCCCTGAATGTGCCCAATCCCGGGCGATTTCAAAGGCCAAGTAGAGTTGAGCCTGGTTAGTATCAGCATTTGTTTACTGAAACTGGAGGGATTTGATGAGCTATAAAGCTATTTTTCACAGATGTCCAGTAGTATTTATTTAGCGTGTGCGTTTGAAACTAGGATACCGAGAGTTGCAGCTCGCAACATTTGGATCATAAAAAAAAAAGATTTAAAACTATTAACATTTTTCCAGAAGTCACCTGCTCACAAATTATAGCTCAACGACACGGCTTATCACGTGGAAATTTATAGGAACCAAAGACTCAATAAGCATGTCGATTCTAAATGTGGAGGGAAAAACCGGAGGACCCAGAGACAAATCCACGTGACCACGGGGAGAGATGCAAACTCTAAATATAAAGCAGGTGTCAGGGTCGGGATCGAACCCACAACCTCCTGCATGCCAGGCGAGGTAGTTAACATCTCACCGCCACCATGACGCCTGTGGCCAAGGTCACTTCTGAATCATGAACTGGGCTTGCCAGGCGTTGTACGCAGAGCGGTGGCCAGGGAGATGGGAGTACAGGAACAGGTTTTTTCCAAAGATGAATTGCATAGATTGCGTCTGTGGATTTAATGCACATGCGCAGAGCTTTGAGAGTTATCCCCTCTTATGGTTAGGACCCGAATGGGAGACTGGGAAGACGAGCTATTGTTGGAGTGGCTGGCCAGGTGTCCTGGACATATCGGCACAGTAAATGGATTCGTCAATCTGTCCATGCGGATTATTCGAGGAGAACACCCATACACGCTTGATGGATTTTCTCCAGGTCCTCTGGTTTACTCCCGTGTACCAAATATAGGGTGCTTAAAAAAATGTTACAACTTCTGAGAATTTGCAACAATACCACAAGAAATGTGCCACTGGGCTCTGGAGACCACCTGGATAATATTCCAGGCACACGTTGACAATGATGGCGAACAATTGGAGACTCTGACTTTTTGAAGCGATTAACGTACATTTGTTATCATGTTACAGTGTATTATCCGCTCTTTGTCCATTAAAAACGATAGTCTCAAATAAGTTTTTTTGAAGCACCCTGTACTTTTCGATTTAAAGCTTTCGTGACTGCAGGGATTCATCTTCTTGGTTCTTTCGGTAAAGTCACGTAGAAGGAAAATAATAAAATTATAAAACATAATAAAACATAATAAAATAATTCTCACGACGTTTCGGCCACAACGCAAGCAGCCGTCTTCAGGTTGAGAGCAGGTCTCTCGACAGGCAAGCAGCCGTCTTCAGGTGGAGAACAGGTCTCTCGACAGACCTGTTCTCCACTTGAAGACGGCTGCTTGCGTTGTGGCCGAAACGTCGTGAGAATTATTTTATTATGTTTTATTATTTTCCTTCTACGTGACTTTACCAAAAGAACCAAGAACACCCTGTACTCGTAAATGAAAATGGCCAAACAATCCAAGGCAGCAGGACCCTCGAGAAAAAGAACCTCGATGCTCGGCGAGGCCTTTCCAAGGTGACAAATGGACATTATTAAGACGATGTATTTGTCGCGCAAACTCTCACGCTAACCCAGTCATAGCACTCGCATGCTTTACATTTTTCAGTCGTTTTTTCTTTCTTTTCTTTGCAGCCTCATTTCGGAAATTTGTCAAATCTCCCCGGTTTTACATATTCCTCAGCCACTCCATGTCCACGTGGGTAAGACTATTCATGAATGTGGAGAAAGCACACTTGACACAACTGAAATGTTTGCGAGTTCAAATACTGACGGAGTGATCGGGCAGACTTCACTCGGACAGATCAAATGGTTAGCCACTTTGTGGGACGCCACCATTTCCACCTGTTGCGTTCGAAACGTCGTGATTTATTTTAATTTAATTTTATTTAGTTAAATTTTATTTTATTTCTACACACGTGACTTTACCGAAAATACCAATGAGTATAGTCATTTCTGCAGTCACGAAAGCTTCAATTCTAGATTAATTGAATCTCTTTCACATATATATCTTGATTTAGCCCCATTTTAAATCAAGGTCATATTAAATAATTGTGTAAAAATATCACGGTGGTTATCTTATGGATAATCTGGCCCCTGCTATACGAATGCGGACTTTCTCCTGCTGGGCTCAGAGCAATAGTTGTCGCCGTCCAATACGGACGCTGGTCGCCATGTTTACATACTCGCTGGTGCGTCAAGAAGCATGGATAGGTGCCACCTCGAAATGTACACACCGAGCCACAGAAATAGAAGCAAGTATCGATCAGAAGCAAGTGAGAGACGTCATTTTGAGGACTCGGAGAAGTGGCTCTGGAATAAAAAAAAACTTTATTTGACCAGGTAAGGCCCACTGAACTACATAGCTCTTTTTCAGAAGCGACCTCGCCACAAATGATAGCTCAGCAAAGTGACTTATGTGAAAATGTATAGTGGCGGAATACTCTAAACGCACGTTTATAAATGTGGCAAGAAAAACTGGAGGAAAATCCATGCGACTACAGGGAGAACATGCAGACTCCAAATATACGGGCGTCAGGGTCGGGATTGAACTCACGATCTTCTGTGTACCAGGCGAGGCGGTTAACATCTCACCACCGCAGTGCCTGTTAAGATATCACTCTCCATTAACGTTAGTCGTGGCCGGGAATCCATGTCGGGTCACCGGGTTCATCGCGCACTTGACGGACCCGCACACCACCGCCGGTCCATCCCTTTGGAATCAAACATCAAGATGTTATCACGACCTACCACCACACTTCGTTGCCAAAAAAGATCACATTCCACTCTCCTGCCAGATCCCGCAGCTGCCGCACAGTCAGCACATTCGCAAAATTAAATTTAAACAAAAATCGCCGTCCATCTCTCGTCGGCGGAGCGTCGGTTGAGCGCGTCCGAGCGCGCTCGCGATCTGCTGTCGTTTGCAGGGCGACCGCATGTGGCACTTCGCCATGAGCCTCTTCCTGGTGGAGCTCTACGACAAGTCCCTCTTCCTGGCGGCAGTCTACGGCCTCACGGCGTCCGGGTCCCACATCCTCCTGGGGGCCCTGGTGGGCGACTGGGTGGACAAAAACCCACGCATGCGCGGTGCGGCCCCCCCCCCCCCCTCTTTTACCCTCATTGCCGCACTCCACAACGCCACCTCGCCTTATAGTTGCTAAAAAACAAATGCAAGGCTGTGTGATACACCGCGGCAGTGGCGGCGGTTGCACGAGCACATATTGCAACGTCTTAAACGTAAAACACATTGCTCGGTCAATGGCCAGGGTCAACGGCGGCGTGGTGTATTCCGCAAATATGGCCGACTGTGAGGACGGGCACAAGCCGGCGTGAGTAGATTAAACGTTGAGTTTTATAAGGGCACCATGGGGCAACCAGCCCCTCCCCACCCAGCCCCACCCCTCCCACCCCCCACCCAGCCCCACCCTCCCCACCCAGCCCCTCCCCACCCTCCCCTCCCCACCCAGCCCCTCCTCACCCCCTCCACCCAACCCCACCCCTCCCATTTTTGGATGCACAACGGACGGACGAACACAATAATCCCCTGTGGGCTGGTGTAACCAGGAGGTTCCTACCAGTATAACGCTGCCCTATACAGGAAAAAAATAATAACGACATTTTGGCCAGTGGGCCTTCTTTGCCCTGCTACGAGTGCCAATTCCTCACAATTCACGTTTTTCTAGCAGCAAACGTTTGACATTTTTTCTCGCCAAAAAAAATATTCTAATTTTATCCCCGTTGTGCTATCCCGCAGTTGTGCGCCTGTCCTTGAGCATCCAGAACGCATCGGTGATTCTCTGCGCCTTGGTGCTGCTCGCGATCTTCCTGTGCAAAGTCCAGATCAGCCCCGTGTGGAACGGCTGGCTCATGGTGAGTTCGCGTTCGTGGCGGGCGGTGACAAACCCAGCGACGTGACACGAGAGCAGATCCACGCATAGTGGCCAATAATTCTGCCTCGTCACCCCCCCCCCCACCACCCCCCCCCCCTTTCTGCGGACACCTTTGACGAGCAAATACGATTCCGCACGCCCATATCCAGTTACCTTAGCTTCGGCGAATTTCTCACCTGGCCTCGGTTGCTGCCGATCTTGGGCTCAACAATGGAGAGATGTTAACTTTCTCGCCTGGTATACAGGAGGTTGTGGGTTTGATCCTGACCTCCGGCACCTTTATATTTGGAGTTTGCATGTTCTCCCCGTGGTCACGTGGATGATAAGCCACTTTGTTGAGCTATCATTTGTGGCCAGGTCGCTTACAAAAAGAGCTAATCGCTCAGTGGGCCTTACCTGGTAAAATAAAAATAGTTTTAGTAGTTTAGTTTTAATTATGAAGGTGCAACTGAACGAATGTCCTGTGGGTGGCTCTCAAGTGGCTTACAAAATCGGAAGGTTTGCGAAGTCTATAAAATAATTACCACATTTGGGGGACATTCATCCTATGTAGATGCCGTCGCCATGGGACGACTGATTAAAAAAAGTTTGCACGGCACAACCCGAAAATGCTAGACGCTACAATTATTGTGGATCCCGCGCCGCGAGACGCGTCGTAGTTTTTGCGAAGTCGCCGCAGCCCTGCAAAGAAGGGGAACGGCAGACGCCTCCTGCGCTCGCCTCCACTGCCACAGGTGGCGTGCTACGTGGTGGTGATCACAATCGGGGTCGTGGCGCAGCTGGCCGGCACGGCCATGACCATCGCCATCCAGCGCGACTGGATCGTCGTGGTGGCTGACAGCAAGGAGAAGCTGGCAGGTCAGCGGGTGCACGTCTCTCCTGGGTCAGCAGGGTGGGCTCACGCACGCAGGATTTTGGGCAGTGGCCAATTAATCCTTTCCCGTTCCGAGACATCGCAGGGTGGGTCCCCGTTCACCACCGAATCTCGGAACGCACGGGCAGTTCAGTGTCAATTTTATTCATAGGAGGCGCAGCGCCGTTGTTTTTAAAGACATTGTACTCACAGCAGAGAACTGTAGCGACACGACCGCACTCTACGAAAGCTGGCGCCAAGCTGTGCCACACGCCCTCCCCGCATGGCCTTGTGGGAGCCGCCCCTCAGTACCGATACAGTTATTTTATTTTATTCCAAATTGGATGAAAAACTGATGACGTACACTTACTTACGCGTACTTCATCGGAACGGGAAAAGGGTTAAGCACAGCTCTTGCCCGCAACGACAGTCTGCTGTATATATTTTATTTTTGTATTTTTTACATATATATTTTTAAAGAAAGACAGTGTCCACGACAAACATGGGTCGAGACTTTCTTGGTGCATGTGTGCGAGCACCACTGCCAGTGCAATTTGCTGAAAAGAATGTTTTCTAGTACCAATATCAAATCGGCCTTTCATCACCCTTGTCCAAACAAAGGGGGGGGGGGGGGGGTCAACGCCTCTCTCCAGCCTCTCGCCTGGCTAAATTGCAGACGACGGATTGAAATGTTTATCGAGTGTAAATACGAACGCCTTTAAAATTTGGACCCAAGTGTAGAAAAAAAATATGAAAAAATAAATCGCTCGCACTGCTGTTTTACCATGTGTTTGGCAGAGAATGTGGAACCCCCCCTCAATGGAGCCATTTAAAAAGGCGATTTTTAAAGTCGCCCTTTCTTCCAGCGTCCCTGGACACAACTTCGCCTTTGTAACCCGCCATGCCGAGACTGCCCATTAATAAAACGTATATGTTCGTCTCCTTATATTTTATTCCCCCCCCCCCCCAAAAGGTGGAATGTTGTAGCGGTAAGTCACTAAAACTCCCGTCTTGTTCTTTAGCAGCATAGATTCATGCCAGAGGGCTCTAACCCAGCCAGACTGCAGGATAAACATTCGGAGGACTCTTTGCTTAAGCTTGCTGGACCACCTTTCCTATTGTTTTGGCTTTTCCCCCACAATTACGGGACATTAAAAATAAAGTGCCATCTTTGTCTCATCTCAGGAGAAGAAAGACAATTCCATCAGGAACCCTGCAACTAGCAGTGCGCCCTCACCCTGTGTAAGAATTTGGCCTACGGAAGATGACCTCACTGAATTACTTTCTCAGATCATTTCGATTTGGCCCCTTTCCACAGTTGCTGATGCACTGCAGCCGTTATGGCACAAACGTTGTGGCGCAAACGCCAAGGCTAATCTATCTAGCGCTGTTTTTCATCTACTACTTTTGGCCAATATATATATTTTTATCAATTTGTCCATTATTCTCAAGGGGAGGTCGCCAATAGCAACTCATCTTTAGTCCATACTGCATCATCTTTACGGGAGTTATCACACCGCCCATTTACATCGACAGGCAGAGCTCACGTTTTAACACTTTGAACCTTCGTTTAGAAAGCATTAAAAACAAAACGTTGCCCCCCCGCCCCCCATCGCGCAGGCATGAACGCGACCATGCGGCAGATAGACCAGCTCAGCAAGCTGCTGGCGCCCATGACGGTGGGGCAGGTGATGACCTTCCTCAGCCTGGAGTTCAGCTGCGGCGTCATCGCCGCTTGGAACCTCTTCTCCATGGTGGTGGAGTACTGGCTGCTGCGGCACGTGTTTCGCAGCGTGCCCGCGCTCGCTACCAAAGGAGCCGCCGTGGCCGACGCCAAGCGAGCGGGGGAGACCGAGGCCGCCGCTTGCGAACTGCATCCGCTGGCGGCAGGAGAAGGTAAGCGACGCGTCGCTGCTTCGTACCTCCGATCTGGCACACACGGTTGGCTACGTACGGCTGCATGGCCTGCCTTCCTGGCAGGCCTGGGTCTGGACTTCCTACAATGACGGTGTTGGCATTTCATGAGAAGTGCGGTGGAAGGGCAAACTAAAATACAAAAAGCAGTTCTAAAGAAATTTGTTTCGTTTCCCTGCCTACGTCTGTGCACTGTCAGCGCAGGAATTTTCGTTTCTCTACAAAGCGATGCAGATGCGGAGGTGGGGGAAGGGGGGCGGTTTAGCGGTTGTGCCCGTGCTGCTCTGCTCTGTGTTTTCGGGTTGTACCGTATCACCCCCCGCCCCCCCGCGACGTTTCGCTCCACATGATGGGAGCTTCGTCGGGAACGGAATGATTCAGCTCATCTGTTGTATTTAAACAGCATTGTGCTACTTTAATTGCCTGCTGTGTAACTTCTCCCTGAACCAGAAATCGGATTACTTAACATTGTGAACAATCACTACTTATCCAAAACCTATGGTAATTGATTTTTTTGTTATTATGTGGATTTAAATAAAATATTTTTACCCTCCACAAATGTCATTTGTTTTGGGCGTTTAACTAAATCAAATGCGTGATATATTATTACCATTGGATCATGAGACATTACGACGGTTTGGAAGTGGGGGGGGGGGGGGGGGGCCTTCATTCAGCAGTGGATTGACCATGGCTGAAGATGATGAGAATAAATTATCCGCTTGCAAAGCCACACAAAGCACAACAGTGTCTGGTAGGAGGACGCAACGCTTGCACGAGGATCCGCGGAAGCCGTTTCCGCGATTTAGCCTCGGGAACGACGCCGCCCTCCCCACCCCTGCCTGTCCGTTTTGTCCTCAGATAACGAGGCCAACAACACCGAAGAAAAGCCTGCCATCGACAAGAGCTCCAAACCTCAAGTCGTTCCAAACACCAAGTCTGGCAGTTGGCTGGCGATTCTGGGGAAGCCCCTACGCACGCTTCGCTATGGATGGGTGGCGTACTACCGACAGTCGGCCTTCCTGCCAGGCCTGGGCCTCGCCTTCCTCTACATGACTGTGTTGGGATTTGACGGCATCACCACGGGTTACGCGTACGCGCAGGTGAGGTCACGCAGTAGCAGAGGCAGAATTGGTATTGCTTTCGTAATGTAGGTTTTTGGGTTATATCGCCTAACTATAAATGTGTTGTTAAACCTGCCAACACCGAACACAGGCAATGAATAAGGTTTGTAAGCAAAACATGCCAATTAGTTGCTAGTTCAGCACACCGGTGTGTTGGAGACAACTGCTGACGTAGGAGTTCTCCTGCTGTGTTTGTTTCATCTGACGACGGTTGCTTGTGTTGCGATCGAAACGTCGTGATCTATTAATTTTTTATCTACGTGACTTTACCGAAAGAGTACCTATTAGTCATATTAATACATTAATATTGCTTAAGATTTTGCTACCTTAGGTGGTACCAATTTCTGCTCTGCCTCCTGGCCTATATAGAAAGCATGGCCCCACATTTCTCTATATGAGCCCACGCAAGAGGGTGGGTGGGTGTGTCGTGTCATGGAACCATACTGATTTTTCCGCACGGGTGCATTCCTACCATGTCAGGAGCTGTGAAACCGGTCCGACCCAAAATCTAAAAGTGGACAAACAGCATGGACAAAAATTGCTGCAGACGCCAAACTGGGTAACGGCCGAAACGCCCGATTAAAAAAAAACGGCAAAGATAAAGACCGAGAAAGTGTCAATTTATGACTGGGTGAAAAGTAAAAAAATTAAAAAATCAAACGTTAACTTAAACATTTAACAACCTTGCAAGTAAGCTCCGGAATTTGCGGAATTAAAATCTCGCGGCTGCCATCGTTAAATCTTGCGCCTATATTCCAGCGAGACAATGTGGCTTTACCGAGCAGCACGATTTGATCGTGGCTGCCGACGGTGATTATGATGATGACGACGCCGACGGTGATTATGATGATGACGACGACGACGACGGTGAACATTGATGAACGTTATTGCTGTTCTCGTCCCGCCACCTCGCCTGCGCCCCCGCCGGGGGCAGGGCGTGAGCACCTCGGTGCTGAGCATCATGGTGGGGCTATCGGCCACGCTGGGGCTGGTGGGCACCGTGCTCTACCTGCGTGCGCGACGCCGCTGCGGCCTGGTGCGCACCGGCGCCCTCTTCAGCCTGGCGCAGGTCTGCTGCCTCCTGCTGTGCGTTGCGTCCGTGTTCGCGCCGGGCAGCCCGCTCGACCTGACTGCCCCACTGCACAAGCCGCACCTGGTGAGACTGGTCAGGTCACCGCCGCCGCCGCCGCCACCACCACGATGATGATGACGACGACGATGAAGATGACGTCGCTGTTAACAGCGCCATCACTGTTAGTAGCGCTATTTGCCCGCACCTCCGATTCGCACGGTTGGCTACGTGCGGTGCGAAAGAAATTCAACATACATAGGCCCACACACACACACAAAGACAATGAATGATGGCATTGTGAGGGCTGTTGTCATCTATCAAGACAGAGATCAGCCCCCCCTCCCCTCCCATAAAGCCTCAAACAGACTGTTGGGCCTATGGAGGCCAACACGGCACAAGAGGGCGCAGTGTTGGGCAATACTACGTCTGGCCGCACAAGGTACTTTATTCAAGGCTGAGTCGACCTAGGGGAGGCCCGTGGCAGGTTCAGATATTCGTCACCGAGCGGGAACGGAACTCAGGTCACCAGGTTCGTAGCGCAGTGCGCTGACCACTACATTACGGCCCACACGCAAATTCACGTGGATTGGCTGCTGGGGCTGCGGTCATCCCTGTAAATAGGCATATACCAATACCAAGGGGTGGAATGTTGCTTTTGTCTATTGTGCATTTTGCTCGAGCTCCCACCCACCCCGCCCTGAAACTCCTCTCCGACGGGGCTATTGTAGCTTCTCCATCCCGGGTCTGACAGCCACCCTCGCGCGCCACGCCGTGCGACTTTCTGTGTGTGTACGACAGGATCATCACGCAGCAGAGCCCACGGTTGCTTACGAGGCAAACGGGACCTGGTTTCAAAACGTCACGACAAACGGCACCGCCACCGTTCAGCCACAGATCCTCGACTACACCTCGATTTCGCTCTTCTTTGCCGGAGCCATCCTGTCCAGAGTTGGTACGTTGAGCAACGCTTGAATGTACGTATGTCGAAGCTTCTTTCGCACCGTACGTAGCCAAGCGCCCCAATCGGAGGTGCTGGCCGAAGGACGACTAAACATAAGAAGCAGTTCTAAAGACGTGAGCTTTCAAATTAGATTTAAGTGCATGTCTCCAGTGGCTTCCCAATATCGGAATGAAGCGCAATCGAGACGGCTGCAGAAGCGTGTCTGAAAGCGCGTGATAGCCAGCCAAAATGTGCTGCTGCGAGGATGACCGGAGTTCGCGTGATGGTTTATGCTCCTTGACGAGATCATCCAAAATTGTTGGCAAGGCTCGCTTAAAAGCTAAAATAACGACAACAAATGGTGTAAAACCCTTGGATATAATCGCTCCAAGGGAATAGGTCTGCTGCGAGAGTTAAACATCCAGGCCACAAATGGACAATTCAACCTCATTGCGGGACCCCGGGGTCCCATGAGCCCCCGGCTCTCGCATAAACTGCGTTGCGACGTCACTTTACGTCTGTTGAAGGCGAACGACACGGCAATCTATTCCTCTCGACGAGCTCTACACGATGCGCTAATCAAAGTTTCAAAGTTTTGTTTCTTCTGCGCATTTGTCCTTGCCGCTGCGCTTGGACATGACATGACAACAGAATGATCTGCGCCGGGTGGGTCGCGGCTTTTATGTGCGCGATGGGACAGAGTCACCAAAAATAAAGAAATTACGATTTTTTTTCATTTATTCGGGACCCCGAGGTCCCGCCATAACGACTGGACGTTGGTGCAAGGAACGTGTGTTGTATGCATTGTGTCTGCGTGGCCACTAGAGGCCGCCATAGCGTAACAAACACAATTCTCATACTGAATTACGACAATGACATTGTGATGTGGGGTGGGGAGTATGAATCATTACTCCCTTGAAAAAATCAATAAACAATCGGACCGGCCTCATTTCGTTCCTCAGTACAGAACTGAACTTTCGTCTGCGTTGTCCTTCTTGACCGAACAAAAACCAAGGTGCAGTGGCTGTACCTTTGTTTTCCCAGACCATGAGAACTCTTTATCAGCCAGGAGAGAATGTTACCTTGATACGCAATTTCAACCTCTGCGGAGGTGGCCGGATAGCTCAGGAGGTCAAGGACTCTGAACGGGCACCGCTTAGATCGTGGCTTAAATTAGTTTTTATAGTTTTTGGGCCACTCGTCATTAAACTGGGCTTTCTATTGTCACGAGTCGAGTCTCAGCCCGGGTCACCAGCGACTTGCACGCTTATAAAACAACCCCCTCACTCCCTCCCTGTTACATTCGAGTTTTGATCTTTCACTCAATTTCGGAAGATTGCAACTCGGAAAATATTAAATGTTGGTTCGATTGCCATTTTGGGTTTTGACTGCCACGTGGCATTTCCATTGCAGAGCATCTGGAGAACTTGCAGTGCTCCCAAGTGTGACTGAGAGGTCACTTTAAAAAAGTGATTTCAAAAAGTAGTTATGAGATGCCATCGTCTTCTGCAGGCACGTTATCTAACACGAGGCGATCCGCTGCACTGCTTTGCAAGAGTTCCCGATGGACACTTGATAATCGATTATCCAACGACATGATGCTCAATGCATAATTTGGAGAGATAGAAAAGTTATAGACTTTAAATTTCGACTTAAAGCTTTCGTGACTGCAGGGATTCATCTTCTTGGTTCTTTCGGTAAAGTCACGTAGAAGGGAAATAATAAAAAAAAAACGTGCTTGCGGTGTGGCCGAAACGTCGTGAGAATTATTTTATTACGTTTTTATTTTTATTTACAAACTAATTATTATTTTACCACGAAAAATACCACAGAGAGCACGTGGCGGCTAGGGATCAGCTGGCTATTCTAACCCTCAAGAGGCACTGAATTAAGCAGGGAGGGATGCTTTTCTTTATTCTCCATTACCCTGATAGTCATCCAGGACGTGTCCAAGAAGATGCTCATGTGGCTCAAGAATTACCATTTAACATTACTGCTCTGCTGCCACAGCGCAACGACGCAGGTGAAAACCATTTCAAGAGAGCACGTGGTTGTGCTTAAGAATTTATTCGTAACGGCTTTGGAATCCTTTGAAGTGTTGACCCAAGCAGTACCGCAGTTCGTCCGCTGGACGATGGCTTGTGTGGAGATCCAGGCTTGTGGTTCCACTCAGGTGCAGCAGTTGGCGGGCCAAGTGGTCAGACTGTGCGACTTGTGATCGGCTTGCAGTGCGTGTTCTTCGGCACGATGTTCGACGGTTCGCTGGGAGATTTTTCAGGAACCGAACCCACATGATCAGCACAACCTTCGTGAACCTATTGCAAAAGTGGGCACTTTTAGTAATAACCCAAACGAGGGACCACCTTCCTTGGTAAGACTTGGGTTGAGCGGCGGTGGTTTCGTGGTTATCGCACTGCACTGTGAACCCAGAGACCTGAGTTTGATTCCCAGTCATGGCTAACAGCACCGATGAGTGATAGCTGAACCTTGGACGCCCGCCCGCACTTCACCAACCTTCACCGACCAACGTGGTGAAGTATGGTCAAACCCCCACGATATTTGGTCAACCAAATAATTTCTCATTTTACTCAAAAACTCCTGTGATTATGTTCTTGAGAGAGTGTTCTTGATGTGCAAATAATGGGGTCAAGAAGCCACTCCTGCTGGTGCTTTGACGATTTCCAAAACAAAACAAGGGGCATAGCAGGTTAAGCGGAAAGGTTTTGAGGGTGGCACTGTTCGTTCATGTTCCGGAAGGATATGGGGCCAGAACCCAGGCCTATCAATCATTCATTAAATCACAAAATATGGTGAGACACGACGTTAGCAGCGCATACAAAAGACAAAAACATCTCACATTTGTCAAAAACACTGTGGCCTTAAAAAGTATTCAATGGGTGACGTTTCGGGCAATGGGCAACGTTTCGGGCAATGGCCCTTCTTCACAGCACACGTGAAGAAGCCAGAGGGGTAGTTGCATCAGTCATCAAAGTACACCATCTGCACCCGGCTGGGCCGTGTACACCGCGTGGCATCGGAGAGAGGGGCGCTGCAGGCCTTCACCGTGGGGTGCCACGGTGGCGAGATGTTAACTACCTCACCTGGTATACAGGAGGTCGTAGGTTCCATTCCAGCCCACATTTAGAATCAACAACATGTACTTAACAGTATGTGGCTGCTATACATTTCCACTATGATGAACCGCTTCGTTAGGCCATGTTTTGTGGCCATGTCGCTTCTGAAAGAGCTATATTATAGCTCAGTGGGGCCTGGCAAAAAAAAAAAAAGTTTAGTTTTTAATAGTTTATAGTTTAAACGATTTGGTATGTGCCCATGGAACAGAGGCGCAATAGTGTCTCTGAACTCGCTTCAGATCTCTCACCTATTTTTGCCCGCCCTCGCACGCAGGCCTGTGGGGCTTCGACCTGTCGGTGACGCAGATCTTCCAGGAGACAGTGGCGGAGAGCGAGCGCGGCGTCGTCACGGGCGTGCAAAGCTCGCTCAATAGCCTCCTCAACGTGCTGCGCTTCATCATGGTCATGGTGGCGCCCAGCGTGCACCATTTCGGCGCTCTCATCCTCGTCTCCGTGGCGTTCGTCACTGCCGGCGGCCTCCTCTACACGCACTACGCCGTGCGCACACTGGGCCCCGGCGGCCTCTGCACCTGCGGCACGCCGCCGCCGGAGCTCGACGGGCCGAGCAGCGGGCCGGCGGCCGAGCGGGACAGCGGGGAGAGGGGCGAGCGGCGCGGCGAGGACGACGGGAAGAAGCGGATGTGAGGGGCCGTTGCCCGCGGTCACCGGGAACGCGTTGCCGGCGGGAGCATTGCCTTTTGGCGGTTGAGAGGAATGCCGATCGTCGGTGAGATCGTTGCCTGTGGCCTCTGGGAGTTGCTAGCGACGTTTGCGTGAAGTCAGTAAGAGCGCTGCCTTTGGCCGGTTGGGGACTGTTGGCTGTGGCCGTCGTAAGCGTTGGCCCCATGTGCTTGCCGGGAGCGTTTCCTGCGGTCGTTGCCTTTGGCCAGGGAAAGTGTTGCCTGCGGCACGTGGCGATTTTGCTTGTAGCAACCGGGGGAAGTCGAGTGGGATCGTTCCCTGTGGCCGATGGGAGCGTTGCCTCGGACTGGTGGGGAAGTGTTGCCACCTTTAGCAGGCATCAGCAGCATTACTTGAGCCTGTGGCGGGTGGCAGTGGTTTCCTTCACCTCATGGGAACATTGCCAATGGACAGTCGGAGCCTTGCCAGGGGCCGGTAAGAGGTGTTGCCTACGTTCACGACAGGAGTCGTTCCTTGCCAGTTGCTGGTGGGTCGTGTGGTTAAGCGGCCACCGTCACTACTTGACCCTGCGAAATGCATTTGCACATGCCACCATGCCACCCTTGCCAGTGAGGTCACCCTGCTCTCATCCGGGTGTCAACTAAATACAACTTAAGAGTCAGTTGGGTATTGTAAGCCTGTGTGGCCTGATTTATACAGAGCAGAGGCATACTTTAAATAGCACTGAGCAGGTAGCAAGCATTAGGTTTGGCCGTTTAAAGCGCTAGATGACTTGTAAGTATTACTTTTTTTTACGTTATCCCCAACATCCGTGCACTTGTCGAGGGGAAAGTTGGTCGACACTTGACCACGCCGGTCGGTCTGGGTTTGTGACGTAGACATTTGGGGCATTGCAACTTGTTTTGGGTCAGCGGTGTTCTTTTTCCAGAGGTTTGTCCCAATAAGTAGACTCTGCTGTCTGAGTACTCTCTCTCTCTCTCCACGGTCTTCGCGTCATCGCCATTTCTCTTTCCACCAATGCTGTCTTCCGACCCTCCTGGCCACATGTCCGAAACATCTCGGTCTCTTCTCACCCCCACCTTCTCCTCTGTCCACGATGTCATCGAGTCACATCATTGGAAAGCGTGGAGCCTCATCGTCGTCGTCATCCTCTTCATTCAAGTTCTCTCCTTTGACAACCTTTTTGTGTGCGTCCTGTCCAATCTCGCGGACTCTTCACGACTGTCATTTTAACGTCTCCAATTTGGGTTTATTTGTTCCCAGATCCACGTGCAACTCGTCCTGTCAGTGCACTCGTAGTGGTGCGCTTCTCCAAGCTTCTGTGCCCAATTTGAGCTTTTGTCCCATTCGGAAACTTCGCCCATGGTCTGGGTGAGGGGCTCTCTGGTGTTCCCTTTTAGTGGAGGCCCTCCTGCCCAGCAGTGACGCGATCAGGGCTGTTGCCTCGACTTGCAATCGACAACCCGTGGCTCACTCTCGCTCGGCTGCCTTTGACCACTGTGCCCACTCGCACGCTAACTAGCCAGGCGACTCACAGGCCGAACTGTCGATACAATTACCTCGCTTGTTTAGCCTTGTGGCTCGGATAATTTTGGCAAAAAAATGACGGTGCTCAAGTCTGAAAAATTCTGCTGCTAATCCGATCATGCCAGTGTCGAAGAGATCAGTGCTGGCGTGAGGTGCTCAATCGCTCCTACGCAGGGGTGACAATACCCGTCGATTGATATCGATTTAAGCTCACGACGCGTAGAAATATATTTCTATTCGGATATTTTGTTTCGCGTATAAAATGGGGTCATGTGATCCTTCCAGCCACTAGAGGCCACTGCGTTAACAATAAGAGAATCGATTCTTGATTTGAATAACGTCCCTGAATTATAATTCATTGAATTGTCAGGGGGCGGGGGGGGGGGGCTGGGGGGGATTGTGGCTGCCCTACTCATAAGAATATATTATTTAGTTGGAGGTGGCTCGGTGACTCAAGAGGTCAAAGCACTGAGCAGGCACTGCCGAGGTTATGGGTTCCCATCCAGGCAGTCGTCGAAAATTCCATCATTTGAGAATTAAAATAATCATTGTGCTACCCTCCTCCGACTTGAGATCACTCGGAGGGATCTCGCCGGGTAGCTCTGCGACATCCACTTCTGTGGGCCGTTCTCGAACACGAAAAGAGGGGGGCTGCACCGCTGTGCGAGAGATCCGAATGATTCCTCGGCTCGTGGCGTGACAGCCAAGAGCACAATCAGGGTGAAATAGTAACGGGAGGTGGGGGGGGGGAATAACACTCACAAAAATAGGAAAAGGTGTATTAAATCAAGAATGATTCTTGCGTACTTTTTTTTCATTTGTTTTCTTTTTACTGCTGTTATTACTGTATGTAGATTGATAACGTGTTGTTTTTTTAAGTGGGACCAGTGGAACCAAAGCAAACACTGCAGGATGGATTTGTTTAAAACGCACAATACGGTATACGTTTGTTGGTTTTGTTGATACAATACGAACGTTTCCGTGATCATATGTTTGTGAGCTTTCCAGCGCTGCTAGTGTGGAAGCTGTCCGGACTTGTTACTCTTTTAAACATCGTACTTCCAGGCATGACTGCACTGACATTTGTTAGCGGATATGCAATGCAGCCCTTGCTATTACTGCGGATGCAATAACTATAAATACTTCGCACTGTCTGCTTCAAACAGCGGACGTTAAAAATCCCGTGACATTATGAATACTTTATTTTTAAAGAGCAGGCCGTGTGCACGCGCGCGTGCCCGTCATGGAGCAAATTTCGGAAACATTAAAAAAATACTGCAAAGTTATTAATTGGCGAAACCCTCATTGCGTCATCGCCCCCTTTCTGGGGGACTGTTCTACGTCTGTGAAGCACATCGCCCTTTCCACTTTAGCCTCGTGCTGTCAACAGCGGTGGCCAATGGATGACTCCGTAGGTGTGGCTTTCCAAAAAGATTTGTTGTGAATCCCAGGACAAAACGGAACGAAAACTATCATAAGCATACATACGTACGTACAAACAATGTTTATTATGGCCGATGGGAAATATAAAAAAAAATCCCCGAATAAAAAAATAAAAAAATATCTCCTTGCCAATCGAAGATGCAGGAGAACTTTGGTGCAAAGTATATTGCAGTCAAATCCTTCCAGCAATTGTTGGTCAAAAATGGATCACAGTGCCTGGTGTATTGGCCACTGCTGTACTATACGAAGGGTGGAAATACTGAATACTGTTTTATAACAGAATAGTTTTTCATGAATGTATTCACGTGTTATCGATGCTGGAATGTGAATGTATTGTTTATTATCTATAGGGGTGTAACGATGCATGGTTTAAATTTACGATTGTCGAATCTTTAAGACTGACGATAGGCGGTTCTCGAACCACGCATGCAAAAATCAAAGTTGTAATTTTGCGCGTGTCGTCCGTAATGGGATCACATGACACCCCCGCAGCCACGAGAGGCCGCTACTTTCACCATCACGTAAAAAAACTAATCTAATCGTGCCCTGTATCGCAATAATCAAATCACAACATGGGGCTCTAAGTAATTAATTCTAGATTTGAAGCTTTCGTGACTGCAAGGATTCATATTCTTAGTTCTTTCGGTAAAGTCACGTAGGTAAAAAATGAAATAAAAATTAATAAAAATAAAATAAAAATCACGACGTTTCGGAGGCAACACAAAATGACGGAGACTTGTGTTGCCTCCGAAACGTCGTGATTTTTATTTTATTTTTATTAATTTTAATTTTTAATTTCATTTTTTACCTACATGACTTTACCGAAAGAACTAAGAATATATAAGTAATTAGTACACTTATCATGACAAATAACATCAGTAGCCGTGTGTGTGTGCGCGTAAGTGATGTTCTCATCAACGCAATCTGAACGCTACCTCGCTGTGTAATACATGTAGCGGAGGATGTTGACCGTTTTTGAAAACTTGGAGTAAAATAATGTGGGGCCCCCGAAACAAAAAGCTGCCGGGTTGGTTTAAAGACACCAAAATCCAAGCCACGGAATGCAATCATGGGACAGTCCAACGAAGTTACATCTCAAAAGTTGTGGAAACCACGTGGTACAACCCACCCCCACATTTGTCCCCGTCCGCAGGATAAAACACGCGTGGAAAAAAAAATCAAAGGTCGTGTTGGTTCTGCGCAAGTCAAAAAGCACTGCGTCCTGTGTGATATACACACACACACGCACCGCTGGAACGAAGCATGCCCAGGAGCGAGAGCGGTTTAACCAATGCCCGATTGCAGCCGTGTCTGGGGCTTTGGTGGTGTTCATTCAGACGCTGTCTTTCCGACAGACCTGTTCTTCACCTGAGGACGGCTGCTTGCGTTGTGGCCGAAACGTCGTGAGAATTATTTTATAATGTTTTATTTTTATTATTTTATTATTTCCCTTCTACGTGACTTTACCGAAAGAACCAAGAAGGTGTCTGGGGCTCTTTTTGACATGTTCCCACCCGGCACACCGCATCCAGAATACCTCCTGCTGTGGCTGTTAATGAACGTGCCACCTACTCCAAGTCTACCAGTGATCCAGGACCCTGGGTGTCACACAGGCTAGACACTACCTACCTGCACTCGACTGAGTTGTGGGCTTTATGACAGTGCCTAGCTACACAGTTAATGTTGGACAGGTGTCTTAACAGTTTCGTGTTCAAGGATTGGAATGCAAAGACGCCGCCACTGTACTGCAGTGGTACACGAGGGCATTGTCGGGATTTCCGTGGCTAAACATAAACAGTGGCATCAACACTGTCTGTCGGGTTGGAATGATTTTCTATTTGCTTTCATTGCTGTACTTTGTGTTTTTGTAATTTCGATTAACCGGGTGGATGTTGAAAAATGTTAAGTATTCTGGTCACTCGTTCTCACCTGGTTACACAAAAAGAAACAAATACTTCGCGTATGCTGCATTGGTTGTGGCATACAAGCACAAACAAAACAACTCACACGTTCGTTGTGGCCTTAAAAGTAAAAAAAAGTACATAATAAGCAACATTTTTGGCAACGGTTCCTCATTTATATGCAAAGAAAGCCCCTTTGCCACAGTGTTAGTGACGAACGAATGTGTTGACTTTTTTGGTTTGATAGAATTGGTTTGACCTCCACAGCCACCAGAGATGTTTATGTAAATGTAAAAAAAGAATAAACAATTATCGGTTTGAATCATAACCATGAATAGACAAGTGAACCTTATGGCGGTACCCTGGGCTACCATAGAACCTCGGCTCTCGCATAATGTCCATGATGCAGTCACTTTTAGTCTGTTGATGGTCCGCTATGTGGCAATCGACTCATCTCGACGAGCTGTACACTACAATGCACCACCACTACGGTGCCACGTACGAGCGTTCAGGGTTTCAGCGCAATTGTCCTCGCTGCGTTTCGGATTGATTGGTTCCCCAGTCGTGGAGTTAAGTACACCCCTAGGAAAAATTGTGTCCCAGAAATAAAATATGTAACTGCCTCGGCTATTTAGTATTATTTGGTCACCCCGGGGTACCGCCATAAGGATCATATGAATCCTCTGTGACCTCGCAATTCCAATAAGACCTGAGAGAAATTCTTGAATTGCACCCGCCCAATGCCACGCAATTTGGCAGCCTGGCCCGAGAGTGAGAGGCCGGTTTGACGGCATGTTTCAGAGGTACGTTGTGCGTCGGCATTTTTTGTGTGTGTGGGTGCGCGCATTCCACTGGGCATTAGATGTTTTAAATTATGGATTTGGGAGTGTGTATATTAAAAAAAGTGAATTGTATGCATTGATAACCTGAAGGCCGTCACCAATTTAGCACACTTCTGATCCTTTTTAAATCAATTGTCAAGCACAGCCCCAAACTGCAAAGTGCACAGCTGCAAACAATACTAATTGAGGCGTAATTACCTGCAAGTTTAACACAAACCGAGTTCATCAAATTAAAGTGTGCTGCTCTGTGGAAAGGCTTACAGTGGTCGTCCTATGGACAACAGGCGCTCGTCCCCTGCGAATTAGGAATGTGGATTTGTCCACCGCCGTAAACGGGAGCTGAATACTACCACTGCAAGAAGGAACACAGAGGGGGGCTTAACACACGGGGAAGCCCCCCCCCCCCCCTCCTTTATTGCCACGTGCAGCCTCCCAGTCTCGGCCTGTCTCTCTCTCTGAAATGTTCCCACACCTTGTCCGTAGATGTGACAAGCTCTGCTGTGATGCTATTTTGCTAGGGGTGCTTATAAACAACACCCTTACACTACACCACTGCGTGCTCCTTTGAGCGGGAGAACACTAAAAGCAACAGACTACAGCACTTATGACCCCACGGGGTTTCATCAAGTACTGTGCTTTCCCACAGGGCACTTTGCCGTGTGCTGGTGGCAACCTGACCGCGCAGTATAATCATCATCTGATTTACAGCCCGGTTTGTTAATCCAGGCCGTGTCTGCTTAACCATACTTCAGGCTGGTCACTCACCACTGGACCTTAGCCGTGACCGGGTATGGAACTCAGGCCACCGGGCTCGTAGCACAGCAGCGTGTGACATCCACGACGCCACCGCTCTGCCGGATGCGGTCATACTCACACCCCGGGCAGCATTTAGCGATTTTTTTTTCTCAAATTTCAAAACGGAATTTGAACTTGACGAACCGAATTGGAATGCCCATGCGTTCGAGGCTCACAATTCGCGTGGGCGAATTGTGAGCCTAACGTCACATTGCAATGCTTGCAGTAACCCAGTAAGAGTTGTGTTTCTGTGCCTTCTTCCCTCGTCAGTTACGCAATTAAACAAAACCTCGCTTGCCCGTGGACAAGTAGAGTTGCTAGCTGCACAGTGTCACTTCCGACGCGTACGGGTCACAGCACGTGTCGATACATCTACGATGGCTGTTGCCGCGGTGGAACGGGCCAAGGTCGACAGTTCCACCATTCCACCTCCTGGTGTGGAAGTTGAAAAAAATTGAAACGTTCCATAAACCACCCGCCCCCGGCTGTGTCCACCCACCAGTATAAACTGGTACATCAGTCTCATGATCGGTGGGTCGTGCGTGGTAAAATGTGGGTATCCCCACCTCTTCCGAGATAGTGTGTCCAGCGTGGAAGAGGAGACCAAAATGCCTGATCGGTGGAGCTCCCTCGTGGAGGCTTGTTCTGCCAACATTGGGCATTAGCGAGTACTTGCAGGGCTGCACCTTCATGAACAATCGTTTAGAATGAGTTTTGTGGTTGGAGTGTTTTTGGTTGGTTGCTGTTTTTATAATGTTTTTTGCAAGAAAATTTATATCAGTTTTTTTTTAGATGACCGAGTCAGGATTGTCGAATTATATTTCCATTCAATGTCATCGTTTATTTTCCAACTGTGCAATGATTTAAGTGACGAAACGTCTGTTTTGCAGTACCAATCTGTAATTAGGATTACTTTCCCCTTGGCCACTTATTTTTTTGATTACTTAAAAAGCACGCCGTTTTGGCATGTAAAAGCTGTATGTTGGTCCTGCCACACTGATTGTGCAGGTATAATTTGCAAGTGTGCAATTTTTTTCGTCACCGCTCTAGGTGCGTCAGTCAAATAATTATTTTCTAAACGTCCATTGAATAAAATGAACATTTGCGTGCGGTGCCGTTTGCAAAATCGCCACCATAAAAAATAAAGTTTTTTTCCATGGTTGTATCCTAATATTTTCTTGTACATCATTATGTCACATTACAGATTTGTCACAGTCCACTGCTGGATAAGGGCCTCCCCCATACACCTTACAAGTCCTGAACTGTGTGTTGAACTTCTTTCGCACTGTACGTAGCCAACCGTACTAATCTGAGGTGTGGGTCGGCAAGATGTCTGTAAACGGGACATGAAGAGCTGCGACATCAACCCAAATGACTGGGAGAAAACTGCCGGTGACCGACTCAGCTGGCAGCAGGCTGTGAAAACAGGCCTCATGAGAGGCGAGGAGAAAAGACACACCGCTTTGTAGACAAAGAGGAAGCGACGTAAAGAACAAGCAACAAACACCTCTAGAGCTGCCACCGCATTCACTTTCAATTGTTGTGGCAAGGATTACCACTCAAGGATCGTCCTACTAAGTCATTCTAGGCGCTGCACAACTTACAGCTGACCTCGTAAGGCGCAAAAGAAATTGTCTCTCGAGACACAAAGGCCTATGATGATGGGTCGGGAAGGACGACAGATACTCGCTGACCGCATCGCTTCATCTTCATGTGGATCATCATCTCGGGCAGGTTCTCTCCTGTGATTGCTACTCCATAAGCAGAAATGAAGTTGAGTATAATCTGGATTCAACATTCGAAACCATAAGTGCCTGCAAATGAGCTCACTTGTCGAGATGCCATACAATGGCGTGCAAGGAAATGGCAATGCAGCAAAAGTTGACCCCTAATTCTAGATGTAGGACAGGTCGTCACCTCACCAGCTTATACCCCCCCCCACGGCCCATCCTGGCTCCTCCCCCCTCCCCTTAACCAGTATTTAAGGTCTCTCTTCACTTGATACAGTAATTGTGCTGTGACGGTTCCACCTGAAGGCGGAAGCTTGTGTTGCCTCCGAAACGTCGTGATTTAATTTATGTTTTCTTTTTTAACCTACGTGACTTTACCATCCGTATGGGATAAAGTGTGGCCCTCTCGCACACGTGGTTTCTCTCTCCGGGTCTGCGGTTCCCTCCCACATGCAAACCAATGAATTGGCTGGTAACACCTGAATACATATAGAGGACCGCAGAGCTTGGGCAATTGTTGGTAGTGCCGGTTCCCCCGCGCGGTTGCTGCCTTTCCTGGTTGTCTGTGGTTCATCACACCTCTTGAGAGTGAGCAAATACTGCGCACGTCGCAAACTGAAATTACTACTTTGATCAGGTTTTTCGTTCCATAAAACCATCCCCACTTGTCTTGGCAACCTCGTGAGAGCACCTTGCCCTGCCGATCGCTCTATTGTAAAGATAAAGAGATATCGTAATAATGGAGTTGCCAAAGATGTTACAGCTCGGAAGCACATTCTACTCGACAAGGTGCGGCAATTTGTAAAATCGAGCCAAGTCAGTCTCCCTCGACCTCAAAGAGCGCGCGTGGAGTGTATTTGGTCGCCTCTATTCAGAGGTGAAAGTTCCACATTCCTCTGGTGGAGACTCGTTATCTTTATTACAGAGCAGACAGTTATTGGACTTAAGCAATCACAGTTTACAGAATGTATTGCCGATTCCAATAGGCAGGAACAGTCAATCGTTTATAGATACATTTTTTGAATGGTGAATGCACCGATTTGGCACGTACAACCCGCACGGCGACAGACTGGACTTAAGAGTAAATAAAAACAAGTTAAAGGTGCAGGTCTGCAACTGCTTTGCGCCATTGCTGGCAGAAGAGCTTCAACTGTAGGGGGGTAGTGGGTATTTGTTCTGCTCAATCTTGATTTGAAGCTTTCGTGACTGCAGGAATTCATAATCTTTAGTTCTTTCGGTGAAGTCACATAGATAGAAATAAGTATAACCCGTAAAAACAAAGTTTTTCACTCTAAATCCTTTATATGCGTGGCGGCTAGAGTCCTCTCGTCCTCTGGCTTGAGATGGCTGCCACCTATGGGTCAGATGATTGTCTGCCAGTATTAAGCAATTGGTAATTAAATATTAAATTTGTTTTCCCTAAACAGTGTAAAATTTTGGAAAAAAAAATTCACGAACATTAATTGTCACGCACAACGAGTCTGTGTGCAAAATGTCAGCTCGATTGGATCACGGGAAGTGGGTTAAAAAACGACCAAAAGATTTGCACGGTCATAAGCAAGCACGCAAGCAAGCAAGCAAGCGAACTTAATATAAAGGATTTAAAAATAATAACTAACGGGCGGGAGGGTGGGGTGAAACCTACAGAGGGAAAAAGGTGATGGAGAGAAAAGAAAAAAGATATAAAACTTAGCAAACTTAGAAATGTAATGTAACTTTGGTGTGCTCTTACACGCGCCCAGACGTGTGTTGGTAAGAGGGTGGTGTACCCACATTTCTACCCCTCCACACGCGACCAGCCGATCGACGAACTGTTGTGGCGGGAGGCGAGGTGGGAATAGGATTTAGAAATATGCCCCATTGTTTCAACTTCCGCGCCAGAAGATGGAATCAAACCGGCCGGGTCGTCAATAGGGTGGTGGGTGTGCGGGGCCCGGGGCAAAACAGAAACGATCACCCATCGTGTGTGTTACCCCCAACACCATCAAACTAAACATATGACAGCGTGACGACTAAGCGCACCCCCCCCCCCCCCCCAAAGCGCCGGGCCCGGGGCGGTCGTTCCGACTGTAAAGTCGGCCGGCTCTGCGAACCGGCCAACTCTGGGACTGTAAAGTCCAGCATGGGAAAGTGTTATACGACGACTGCGGAAGCTCTTTAACGTCTATTGTTTATTGCTAGACCAGACACCTATCCATAAATGTGCGGAAAACCGGTAACAATGTTATATTTTTCTCAAGTGTTTACCGGTAATAAAAAATGATTTTAACAACCCTACTCTTGAGCGTCGTTAATCACTCATTATGCATGCCATCTTGGAATGATTGTGGACATCCGCGAAAAATATCTTCATAGCTCATCGGATTCCTCCACTATAAACACATTCTGATTCTTATTCACGTTGCTTAAATGTTGTTATTAACAAAATTACGTGCGATGCTGCTGCTGCTGCTGCAGGGGTACACAAACACCAACACAACCCCTCCCCCCCCCCCCACATCAACATTTGTAAATAACAGTGGCGCCTCCAAGAAAAACAAGTATAACCCGTAAAAACAAAGTTTTTCACTATAAATCCTTTATATGCGTGGCGGCTAGAGTCCTCTCGTCCTCTGGCTTGAGATGGCTGCCACCTATGGGTCAGATGATTGTCTGGCAGCATTAAACAATTGGTAATTAAATATTTTAAAATTTTCCCTACACAGTGTAAAATTTTGGAAACATTTTTTCACGAAAATGCATTGTCACGCACAACGATTCTGTGTGCAAAATGTCAGCTCGATTGGATCACGGGAAGTGGGTTAAAAAACGACCGAAAGATTTGCACGGTCGTAAGCGCGCAAGCAAGCAAGCAAGTGAACTTAAAATAAAGGATTTAAAAATAGGCGACGTTTCGGGCAATGGCCCATTCCCCATAGCAACGTCAAACCCCGCAGTTGCCCCCCAGCGCCCCCCCCCAAAGGTTTGCGGCGACGGCTCTTGCACGTGGCACTCCGGCGACGTCACCGCCAGACCACGCGTCACGGTGACGTCACGCACGCGCCGCGGTGACGTCACGGTGACGTCGCGCACGCACCGCGGTGACGTCACGGTGACGTCGCGCGCGCGCCGCGGTGACGTCGCGTGCGTGCCTCGGTGACGTCACCGCGTCGCGTGCGCGGATTCGCGAAAGGCGCGCACGCGATTACAACTTCCACGCAACGTTGAGGAGCAGGGGAAGTTGTTAAAGAAAACTTATCTTTGGCGTTGTTCAAGTCGTCGAGTGTCTTGCGAGGAGAGGAGTTGCGGCCGCAGGGTTCGAACGTCTAAAGTCTTGCGACGAGGTGGGTGGTACAACGCTTGTTTACGTACAGTGCATACTGCATATACTGTCGAGCCATTACGCGGCGTTCAATCTAAAGTAATATAATGTTTATTGATTGTAGACGCGTCTCCAAACACGCCTTGTGTTGTGCATTGAAGACATCTCGGCGCGTGTGTTGTGTGCATAGCAGTCGTCGTGTAGGGGAGCGGTGGTGCAGCGGTTAGCGCAGCGCTGCGCTACGAACCTGGTGACACGAGTTCGATTCCCCCTCACTGCCAAACACCAACAGTGACGATTATCTGAACCCGTCCTGGGCATCCCCCTAGGTCGACTCAGCCTCAAATGAGTACCTGGCGCGATGTGTAAACATCGCCACGAGGGAGACGAAAGCGGCCGGGCGTGGTGTTGGCCACCCACCCCCTCGTGTGTCCCGTGGTCGGCCTTTATATGTGCTGCTCGCTAACAGCACTTGCCCCTACAGTCTGTTAAGGCTACACGGGGGACCTTTGTCTGCAGAATGCACGTTGAGCGTTCCTGTGCTGAACGCATGCTCCTCGGTACAGTGCAGTCTCACTTTGGCGTGGAGCGGTGGCGCAGCGGTTAGCGCTGGACCCGGCGCCTCTGACAGCGCCCCCCCCCCCCCCCCCCCGAGTTCGATTAACTCAAAGATAAACACTATTCATTAACAGTCGGCGTCGCTGTGGAGAATCCACAAGTAACAGCGAGGCGGACAGCAAGCACATCTTGTCCTGGGACAGTCTCGGAGACACCGCTCGTGGCCGATGTTCGCAGTGGCACGAACGTCATTTAAATCAAGTGGCCACTGACCGGTGGCTTTCGTGAGATATTCTTCTGGAATGGGGGGGGGGGAGGTGTTTGATTAAAAGTCTGCGTAGGTTGTCAACCCCCCGCCCAGACCTAAACGAACCCACGCTTTGACAAGAGTGGTGAAGTATCGACGGACAATCTTCATGCCCGACATGGTTAAGGCACCTTCTTGGTTCTTTCGGTAAAGTCATGTAGAAGGGAAATAATAAAAATAGAACAATAATAAAATAATTCTCACGACGTTTCGTCCACAACGCAAGCAGCCGTCCTCAGGTGAACAGACAGACCTGGTCTTCACCTGAGGACGGCTGCTTGCGTTGTGGCCGAAACGTCGTGAGAATTATTGTATTTTTTTATTTTTATTATTTTATTATTTCCCTTCTACGTGACTTTACCGAAAGAACCAAGAAGATGAATCCCTGCAGTCACGAAAGCTTTAAATCGAAATGGTTAGGCACGGCAATTGGGAATTCCCCACCACCACCACCCATGGCTGTCGAGGATGAACGCCTTTCGTAATCGTAGCGCAGCACCGCGGACGAAACGTGGCCCAAACTTTTGACCGCGCAAGCGCCACCGGACCGCGCTGTCAATCCACTGCTAGATGATGGATGGGGGTGGGGGGCTCGACACGCCGTGCAGATCGTGGCTGGGGGGGGGGGGGTGTTTGGCCGTGCTTAGTGCGAATTGGTTTAAGCTGGGGGGGGGGGTCAGTAACCTGCAGCTCTGGATCCGATGCATCGTGGCGCTCCGTACGCGCGCATTTATTCACGTGCGCATTGTCGGCTGTTGAAATGCTGCAAAGTCCTTTTTACACTATGGGAACCTCATTTGCCAGTAAAAATATGATAATTGGTTTTTTACCCTTCTATCTGGCAACAAAACTGACACCTTTTTACAAGGAGTCATGTTTGTATAGACCGCAATACCTGCAGTCATAATACAAACAAAAGAACATAACTCTGATAATGTGCACTGTCCTTGAAGTTGATTGGTCCACACCCGAGACAGCTTTCCTTCGAGCCTAGTCTCACATGGGTTGGACCAGATGACGCCAAAAGGCGCACAACTCAAAGACAATGCACCATCAGAGTATGAGAGCTCGGGGCAAGCATCTACACTATGGGAACCTCATTTGCCAGTAAAAATATGATAATTGGTTTTTTACCCTTCTATCTGGCAACAAAACTGACACCTTTTTACAAGGAGTCATGTTTGTATAAACCGCAATACCTGCAGTCATAATACAAACAAAAGAACATAACTCTGATAATGTGCACTGTCCTTGAAGTTGATTGGTCCACACCCGAGACAGCTTTCCTTCGAGCCTAGTCTCACATGGGTTGGACCAGATGACGCCAAAAGGCGCACAACTCAAAGACAATGCACCATCAGAGTATGAGAGCTCGGGGCAAGCATCTACACTATGGGAACCTCATTTGCCAGTAAAAATATGATAATTGGTTTTTTACCCTTCTATCTGGCAACAAAACTGACACCTTTTTACAAGGAGTCATGTTTGTATAGACCGCAATACCTGCAGTCATAATACAAACAAAAGAACATAACTCTGATAATGTGCACTGTCCTTGAAGTTGATTGGTCCACACCCGAGACAGCTTTCCTTCGAGCCTAGTCTCACATGGGTTGGACCAGATGACGCCAAAAGGCGCACAACTCAAAGACAATGCACCATCAGAGTATGAGAGCTTGGGGCAAGCATCTACACTATGGGAACCTCATTTGCCAGTAAAAATATGATAATTGGTTTTTTACCCTTCTATCTGGCAACAAAACTGACACCTTTTTACAAGGAGTCATGTTTGTATAGACCGCAATACCTGCAGTCATAATACAAACAAAAGAACATAACTCTGATAATGTGCACTGTCCTTGAAGTTGATTGGTCCACACCCGAGACAGCTTTCCTTCGAGCCTAGTCTCACATGGGTTGGACCAGATGACGCCAAAAGGCGCACAACTCAAAGACAATGCACCATCAGAGTATGAGAGCTTGGGGCAAGCATCTACACTATGGGAACCTCATTTGCCAGTAAAAATATGATAATTGGTTTTTTACCCTTCTATCTGGCAACAAAACTGACACCTTTTTACAAGGAGTCATGTTTGTATAGACCGCAATACCTGCAGTCATAATACAAACAAAAGAACATAACTCTGATAATGTGCACTGTCCTTGAAGTTGATTGGTCCACACCCGAGACAGCTTTCCTTCGAGCCTAGTCTCACATGGGTTGGACCAGATGACGCCAAAAGGCGCACAACTCTTGTCTTTGAGTTGTGCGCCTTTTGGCGTCATCTGGTCCAACCCATGTGAGACTAGGCTCGAAGGAAAGCTGTCTCGGGTGTGGACCAATCAACTTCAAGGACAGTGCACATTATCAGAGTTATGTTCTTTTGTTTGTATTATGACTGCAGGTATTGCGGTCTATACAAACATGACTCCTTGTAAAAAGGTGTCAGTTTTGTTGCCAGATAGAAGGGTAAAAAACCAATTATCATATTTTTACTGGCAAATGAGGTTCCCATAGTGTAGATGCTTGCCCCAAGCTCTCATACTCTGATGGTGCATTGTCTTTGAGTTGTGCGCCTTTTGGCGTCATCTGGTCCAACCCATGTGAGACTAGGCTCGAAGGAAAGCTGTCTCGGGTGTGGACCAATCAACTTCAAGGACAGTGCACATTATCAGAGTTATGTTCTTTTGTTTGTATTATGACTGCAGGTATTGCGGTCTATACAAACATGACTCCTTGTAAAAAGGTGTCAGTTTTGTTGCCAGATAGAAGGGTAAAAAACCAATTATCATATTTTTACTGGCAAATGAGGTTCCCATAGTGTAGATGCTTGCCCCAAGCTCTCATACTCTGATGGTGCATTGTCTTTGAGTTGTGCGCCTTTTGGCGTCATCTGGTCCAACCCATGTGAGACTAGGCTCGAAGGAAAGCTGTCTCGGGTGTGGACCAATCAACTTCAAGGACAGTGCACATTATCAGAGTTATGTTCTTTTGTTTGTATTATGACTGCAGGTATTGCGGTCTATACAAACATGACTCCTTGTAAAAAGGTGTCAGTTTTGTTGCCAGATAGAAGGGTAAAAAACCAATTATCAAAGTCCTTTTTGTTTGTAACAAATTCGAACGAACATTGCTGCATCTTCTTATATTGCTAGCTACCCCCCCCACTCCCCCCCGTGGTTTAGGCGGAGAGCATTGGCCGTGTGGAAGTGCGTGGTTGTATTTTCCCCATCTGATTTTTTTTGCCCAACACATGGTTTAGGTAGGAGACCATTGGATGTGTGGAAGTACGTGGTTGCATTTTCCCCCATCTGATTTTCTTTGCCCAACTCATGGTTTAGGCGGAGAGCATTGGATGTGTCGAAGTACGCGTTGCATTTTTTGCACAAACCCCTCTGCTGCCCCCACCACGTAGCCCCCACCGCAGCCTATAACGCCTGTAATGATGTATGCAGGTCACTAAACCAAAAAATATCCTCGCTGAATGCGGCTTGGTCACAGAACATTGGTGTATAGCTTTCACATATTCCGCACATTTGTTTAAGATTGACCGATTTTGTTTATGGCCTCTTAAAACGATGTTATGACCTTACGCTTTAAAAAAAAAGAGACGCGCCCCGTCTGACGTCACCTGGATTAATTTTGTTCGGGGCCGTCCATAAATGACGTCACAAAGTCAGACCCCCCCTCAAATATGACGTCACAAAGCTCTGCCCATCCCCCCCCCCCACAAATAAAACATGCTTCAAATCGCTTTAAACTATTGTCATTGTAGTGCGTATTTAATGTGGCGCTGCACTCTGATGTTGGAGAAAACATTTATTAAAAAGTATATTTAATGAAGTAGAACGTGTTGTCTATATTTATTTAAAGTTGCGCATTTTGATGTGACGTCACATTTCTCAAATCCCCCCCCCCCTCGTCACAAATGTCTGACCCCCCCCCCCAGGTGCGTGACGTCATTTATGGACGGCCCCTTATGATATTGCGGTGTCCAGTTTCATAATATACCTTAACTGTGGTTCTTTCTACCACTTCAGTGAAAATCCACAGCCCTCTTATCATTAACCCATCATCATCGGTCGTGCGGGATTGTTGACCATACCTCACCATGCTGTGTCAGTGCTGGTCGGTAGTCATGGGGGCCGTGTCCGACACATCTCATCCCTCGACCGTTAAAGGACTCTATATAATAATGGGAACATGTGTGTAGAACCCATTTCTCACCGTAAGTAGCCAAACGTGCTAATCGGAGGTTCTGGGGAAGGACAACAAACAACACAGTTCTAAAGACATGAATTTTCAAGCTAGATTTAAAAGTGCACAGTTCCAATGGCTTCCTAATATCGGAAGGAAGAGCGTTCCAGACGGCCCCAGAAGCACATCAGAAAGTGCGCTATGCAGTGGCCGTCTTTGTTCGATGGTTAGCCAAAGGCCGCTGCGAGGATGACCGGAGTTGTGCAACAGGCTATTGCTATACGAATGCATAACCTGGCAGCATTTCTTATTTAATATCTCCACTAAACTATGTTCGTATGTGATCTATTTTCCTCCAAAATCACCTGGAATTTGCCGATCTCGTCAGATATCGGAAGCCAAGCAGGATTCCGGCATGGATAGTGCTTGGATGGGCGATCATCATGAATGACCGACTCGAAACTGAAATAGCTTCTTAGCTCAGTGGGCCTTACCCAAAAAATAAACCGGCTGCCTATCGGCAAGCAGAGGATGGTGAAAAACAGTTCTCATTGTACTCTACATCATTGCTACCCATGGCCAAACCCCCCCCCCACGATTGACTTTATTCTTTCATCCATCAGTGGATTGGCAGAGGCACCGCAAACGTGCATTTGTTATACATTTAACAATTTCGGTTAATTTAGAGTATTCTACAAAAACTTCATCCTACTGCCGTTGCATAGCAACTGTGGCTGTTCTGTGGAATTACTTTTCCCTGCCATGGGAATGCTGAATTTCTCCACTGGCTCAGGCGAGGATCACCATCCCACCGTTTTCGAGTTTGAGCCAGGCAGGCATGGTGGTGCTGTAAACCAGCAAGGGGGTTGGTAGATCAGACATTTGTGAAACTTGCAAGCCTGCTGTGCAGCTAGGTGACCAGTACAGCAATGGATTATCCAATCCATCCATGGATCTTTGACTGTTATTCACTAGTATGCGTAGGTTTGTGGCTGCTCTGGTTTCCTCCCACATGAAGTCAAACTTGAAGTTGCTAAATATTCCAATGGAGGGTTCTCTTTAAATTGTCTTTGAGACTCACGGAGGCTTTCGTGGATAAGCAAAGGGAATTTTATATGGACTCTGATGCAAAGTTATTTACCTTCTTCCACTATACTTGTATCGTGAACAAATATCCAGAGTTGCAGACACTTTCATATATTTGCTTTGGAGGGATGGCAGGTGCATTTGGACTCCCTTATGCATCGAAAGCGTACCATTGTATTGTACATGTTCTATAGCCTAATTTTCTTACATAGCCTGTACACGTGTGCACTGTGGGCTGGGGCTGTGTAACCGAGCATCGCATGGTTGGGGTACAGTATTATGGTGATTACGAGTACAGTATTATGGTGAATACTACCAACACACATGGAGGCTTTGGGGACCTTTGTTTCTTAAAATAGTTCGCTTGGGCAATGTAACATCTACGATAATGCTAGTCGCAACAGGATTTAGAGGTGGGAAGTAAAGCAGGCGTGAGTCAAGTCTGTCCCAGTAACCTAATTCTTGAGATAATGATTCATTCTTGCTATTTCAGTGCACACTTCCTTTCCCGCTTGGCAATTCACATCAGCTTTGCGGTGTGAATTGCAACTGCGTTGGTACGAGAAGGTAACATTAATCACCTTCGCATTTTCATTTCATGCGACATTTTTACGTGTTTATTTTTTTATATTATTAACTATTTATTCAGGAAGTCTCGGGACATTTTTTCTGGAAGGTTCTGCGAAGTTTTTCAGTGGGGGGGTGGGAGGGCGATGATTGTTATGTTTTTCCCAACTTTATTGATCGTTGGAATGCCACGGCAATGTGTGATAACTTAATAAACGCGTCAGTGCTTTGGGCTTGCCCAGGCACGTTCTCCTGGGAAGCTGCTTATGCCCGTCTGGTGGAGAGAGCCTCAAAGCGGCCACTTTCCATTCACTCAATATACCTGCATGCGTCACCAAAGACTGGAAAACTCGAAATGAAGTGTACAGCCTCTTAAACTGGAGCTTAACGGTGGTGGGGTAAAATAAATATAATTTTATTTTACAGTGGGTATGGCATTGCCCTATGAACCAGGCTACCTACGTTTTTCTTGACCTCAGCTAACGTAAGTGGTGATATCAGAACCAGTCATTAGTCTCACCTTCACCGACCTGTGTAAAGTATGGTCAAACAATCTCCACGACATACGCGGTGTGTGGGGGGAGGCCTTGATCCAACAGCGGATTGGCAGCTGTAGAAACGATTTACAGGACGCTTAGACGCACGGAGTTTGAGTTTTAATGTGCGTTCTCACAACCAGGTAACGCCATCGCTTGTCATGAGGGATGGCCCACCCGCCGGCGCTCAAAGCTCATGAGTCATCTACGGACATGTCAATATGGGGGACAGAGGGAGAGGAGGGGGGGGGATAAACACATCCGCTCACTTGAAGCACACTGTTGAACGGCGTCCACTTTCCGTCGCTATATAAAGGCTTGTTGCGTAACCTCTTGCTGAATGTATTCGTTGAACCCAACCCTTAACGTGTTTAACAGCAATCAACGTGCACTTTCGCCGCCGCCGCGGTTTTCGACAGCCGCGCACGCGTGGCGGTGCCTTGCCCTGCTGTTGGAACGTCGCGCTCCGGGCAGGATGGCGGGCAGCGTGCCGGCGTTCGTGCGCGTCGCCTTCTCCGACCTGGAGTTCTACGAGCACTGCGGCGGCGGCAGCTTTGGCAGCGTGTACCGCGCGCAGTGGCTCTCTCAGCGGCGCGAAGTCGCCGTCAAGAAACTGCTCAAGATCGAGAATGAGGTGACGGGACCACATTGGACGAGGTGTTAATTACCTTGTCGCCTGGTACGCGCAGGTGGCCGTGGTTTCAATCCCGACCCAGATGCCTGTATATTTGGAGTTTACATGTTGTTCCTGTGGTCGCGTGGATTTTTCCTACGGGTCCTCCGCTTTTTCCCTTCACATTTAGAAACGTACGTTTAGAGTTTTTAGCTGCTGCTATAAATGTCCACAATCCACTTAGTTTAGCTATCATTTGTGGCCAGCTCACTTCTGAAAGAGAGCTATATAGCTCAGCGAGTCTTGCCCGAAAAAAATTGTTCATTACCTGGTGGCTCGAATGGCTCTGTCGGGTCTCGTTACATTTGCACACAGACGATTGTTGTCACATACTGTATACCACGTAATCGTATGTGAGAGTCGTTAGCAGTGGTGCAATCGTGAGCACACTGCGCTGTGCTACAGACCCAGCGACGCAAATCTTTGTTTGTGGCCAAGGGCCAACATCAGTTGTAAATGGTATCTGTATCTCTCTGGGGCCCGTCCTTAAATCAGTATCTGGTGTTTCTCTAAACGCGTCAACGATTCCCTCGAAACGGACAACCTGGTTCTGGGTGTGAATGCAAGCGCCGTGGGGCAAGGGCAAACAGCTGTGGTTCTGACCACATCATCTTCACGCGCACCTTGCCGACCTTAAGTGCTCCTTTCGCAACATTTACCCCAGCAGTTTATAAAACAACGATAGATCTTTGCGTGGGATGCATGTACTGTATATGCTTGATACATGACATCATCCGTATTTGCTTCAGAGTACCGAAAAACTCGTTATGATTGGCGAACAAACCATTCAAAACTTGTAATTTTGTAAAGTTGCTTGTTTATTACATACATTGAGATAGCGGTTTCATTTTGATATGACGACTGCCAAGGTGGCGAGGCTGCAGTGCAATTCATATTAAAATGTGGCAACGTAATTACACCACGCTTGCCCCGAAATGCAGTGTTTACTTTCAATTTCATACCCTTGCAAATGTACTGCTTTGACATTCTGGACCAGACAAAGTACATTGTCAATGAGAATGGGTTATTATCGTGTGGTCACATTTGGAAAGCTGAGCAAGCTAATGAATAACCCAAGAATGACCCTTGCTGCGACCGAGTGTGCCTGCCTTGATCTAGCAAGGGGAATTCGTCTTGGCTCAAATCACACGTTATTGCCGATAGAATCGATCGTAAAAACAGCTCGGCTCACACGCAAGTGCCTAGTGAACGTTTACGTCGCAGAACCGTGGGAGATGCCGATGTATCGCAATTAACGTTGCCCTCGTTGTGGCGTTTTGTTTTTGTTGATAAACGCAGGCCGAAATACTGAGCATTCTCAGTCACAAGAATGTGATCAAGTTTTTCGGCGCTGTAACGGATCCACCAAACTATTGTATCGTTACTGGTGAGTCTTAACGGACGGGTTTAACGTGTAAATGCATTACTGTTAATTAAAAAAACACGAATATCTTATTACTGTAGTTGACGGATCTTTGTTAAAAAATTCAAACATTTAGCAGAGCATGTTATGGCGATGATCTCTTAAAAGCCGTTCAACCTCAAACATTGGAAGGCATCCATTTTTTCGAAAGCATGGAGAATTAAAAATATAAATAGACCACTAAGCCGTGACATGCTATTCCTGGAACAGAGTTTGCGGCCAAGGGGTCCCTGTTTGAGTTCTTGGCAAAGAAGGAAAGCGACAACATGGAGATTGACCAGATTTTTGCCTGGACTACGGACATCGCGAGAGGTGACGGTTTTGCATCCCTTACTAACACACACGGATTACATGCCGCTTTTGTACCGAACCCCTGTGCTCCCACTCACGTGCTCCTCAGCTTCACCAAACAAACACTGACTATTGTGGTGAAGTATACGTCACTCAAATAATTCCCCCCCCCCCCCCCTTGTGACCCACACAGCCAGAGGTCCCCATCTAGCAGTGGCTTGAAGAGCTGTACTTTTAACTTGCTTCTCTTAATGCATCTATGTTCAACTTCTTTCGCAATGTTCGTGGTCAACTGTGCTTGACACGTGGCATTTCAGCACTCCCAGAATATAATTACACGTGCTCGGATTGACATTTTGCAATTTGCACATGTATCGAGTTCACATGCCCCAGCAGCCACATTTGGCTGCTACACTTCAAGGTATGTTCTTGAAAAAACCCGACTACCCATTATACATACATGCTCGATAAGCTATTTTACCTTAATAAAAACCAGACCACAACTTGCCATCGTTGCTAGTGCATTATTTCCCCCCACAATTGACACCGTGTTTCCCTGGGGTCAGTGCCATGGCCCTATCGGCGGCGCGTTGGCCGCTTGTTGAGAAGGTTCACGGTTCGAATCGAGCAGCTGCCCTCTTTGGCGATTATCGCCGGCCGTTATCACCGTAAACGGTGGACATTAAAGATCCCGTTGACGTGCATATCAGTAGGCCACAGTGATGTGGTGCCATGGTCCAAATGTTATTTAGGCTGTGTATATATAGCAACCATTGCCCGCCCACCCCCCACCGACCCATCCACCCCACCGACCCCTTCCCCACCCTACCGTAAAAACTTGGCAGGATCCTCCTGACAGTCATGAGGCTCTCCTGAGTAAAGGAGCACAATGATGGTAATACGATTAACAATTCACTCACTGCATCTGCTTAATTGAGCAATTCTCAACAATACCCCGCTTAGCGGATAATGATCACGTGTGGGTTATCAAGTTTTTCCAAGACAATTTTTACAAGCAAATTGTGACCGTGGATTGCAACATTTGGGTGGGGGGGTGGGCAGCAAATCATGACACTTCTGTTTGAAGTGCAGTATTTTACCTTTCTTCTACCTGCATAGCCAAACTGAAACAAACCACACATCCCACCAGACTGTCATGAAAGAAATTGTCAGCCTTTCGGTTTCAATGTTTGTAACGACACTTTGTGCATCGGCAATCTATTGTCTGGCGTTGCACTGGCAATGAAAAAGCACGCCGGCGCACAGCTTGTAATCCTCGTCATTTGCACACTGTTGCCTTAGCCAGCGATAAACGACACAAGTCGCGTCATTGACGCTTCTCAGCTGCGAGAGTTGACTGGCACGCTGCCCATCTACCCCCAGCAAATCTGATGCGATCATTTAGATTGCAAAATGCTTCCAAGTACAGTTACAAATGCAAATTATTATTCTTTTAAAGCCCACTTTCCCCATCACATGAAGTCGATTCTCCTCGGAGCCACCTATACATATATAACGCACAAGCATCCATTCGTCACGTTCTTACTCACCAATGGTACATGGTGCGAAAAAAACCCATAAAAAGGTTTTTCTTGGAGAGGACATTCCTGCAAAATTGTCACCTTTCCAGGTCAACATTTTCCTTCAGGAAATCTCAAAGCACACAGTCCAATACAAGCCAACAGGGGCCTCCAAAATCCTCTGGAACAGCAACGCCACGGTTTATTTGTAGAATCGTCCAGAAGCTCAGTACCCATTGGTTATATTTTAAGCGGACGTTTGCTCACGACGTCACCGTCCCCCGAAACGTTGCCTACACCCCGGTGACGTCGTTGCTCTTACCACGGAATCCTTCCGTAAGAGCACGCGCAGGGAAAGGTGGGCGAGGCGAAGTTACATCTTGTGCAATCGTAATACACGTTAAAGGGTGACAATCATAAGCGGTGACCGTGATGACCGTTGTTGCAGGAATGAACTACTTGCACGAAGAGGCTCCAGTCAAGGTCATCCACAGGGACTTGAAATCTCGGAATGGTAGGTGATGGAGGCACACGTCATCTTTATTCTGTAAAGTGCATGCGTGTACACCTAGTATTAAAATTTACTTCCAACCATGGGTGTACTTGCCAACATTCAAAATGCATACCGTTTACACGCATTATAATTTTCTACATATTTTTTGTTTATCCCTCTTTTGCAGTTGTGATAAGTTCTGACGACATTCTCAAGGTAACAACCCGATTCATGTTGCGTTATTGTACGTCTCAGATAATCTTATTCTTGGTTCTTTCGGTAAAGTCACGTAGAAGGGAAATACAAATAAAACAAAAATTCTCACGACGTTTCGGCCACAACGCAAGCAGCCGTCCTCAGGTGAAGAACAGAGCTGTCGGAATGACAGCGTCCTTCACCTGAGGACGGCTGCTTGCGTTGTGGCCGAAACGTCGTGATAATTTTTTTTATGTTTTATCATTTTATTATTTTATAATTTCCCTTCTACGCGTCTTTACCGAAAGAACCAAGAATATGAATCCATGCAGTCACGAAAGCTTTAAATCAGATAATCTTATCTATTATACCTTCAAGTGCCGTTTGTTGCTGCCCGCGTGGCGTTTTGGGCCTTTAAGGGGCTGTGCTTAGCAACTGTGGTGTAAAGAAAAAAATCCCATAACTAAAAGTCGATTTTTGTTAATCAAGAGTCATAGTAAATGCTAAATAAAAACACAACCTAACATGTGACGTCACCACTTGTTCTCAGATGCACCGTCCAATGGCGACCGTGTAGTTCCCCTCAACTGCAAGTTGCTGTTAGCGTCTCCAAGCCGGCCATGTTCTTGACTTTTTCTTTTATACACAGCTCCTCGCCCTCCTTAGCCAATGGGAGAGGAGGTTCACCCTAAGCCATTACACCTGGCTCTCTACTTAATTAATCCAAAGCAGGACTGTGCAATAGGTTGCAATCAGCTGCGTGATTTGAAGAGCATGTAAAATTGACCAATGGTGAGCAAGCAATCAATCACCTGCTGGGGAAATGAGTCATACCCCCTGCACACGTGCAGGTCCCACCAATCGCGAGCCAGGTGGTAATTCTGCCGCCCTAATGAGTGATCATCGATTTTCCCACACGTGCACGTTAGGCCAATCCACAGCTCAGTCACAATTGCCATGCATTTCTTCTCTCGCCAATGGGTGTTCTGACTGCTGGACAATTCTCAATCGTGGCAGTCATTCCATTGTCAGCATGGTAGTCAACCGAGCTCCTGCACCATGTCACAGACCATACGCCACCATTACAGACCCTACTTCACCACACTGGTTCACGTGCGTTCGTGTGCATTGGTGAAGAGAGCACTTTTTGTGTGAGCTCACGCCGAGTACCTGACCGGCAGAGGGAGAGGCCCTATTCAGTATAGCGCCAATCGTCTGTGAGGCTTGCAAGCCTCTTAGCCACGTCAAAGCAGTGCCCAATGAATAAACGTTAACAATCGCATGCAATGAATTCACACGTCATATCATGTTGTTCCTGTCATTTCCAGTAACGTTCAAAAAGACGCGGTTCACACCTAGCATTTACCCGCGTAAGATAATTTCACGTCAAATTACGTTGCGTACTCAATGCGGCGACTGCCGTGCCTGTCCGCCCCCCGCCCAGATCTGCGATTTTGGCGCTTCACGCCTGCACTCGCACACCACCCACATGAGCCTGGTGGGCACCTTCCCCTGGATGGCGCCCGAGGTCATCCAGAGCCTGCCCGTGTCCGAGACGTGCGACGCATTCTCCTTCGGAGTTGTAAGTGCAACGCCGGGGGGATAGGAGTCGGGATTGACGCTGGCATCTCGAGGAGTTGTGGCTCGGTGGCGATAGCTCCACTCCGTTGGTCTTCGAGCAGGGGGAGACCGGGGGAGATGGAGGGTTTGTTCATTTCGGTGTTCTGGCGTTATTCAAAATTGCATGCAAATTTGTGTTATTTTAAGATCGATTATCGGTTAAACACAAACTTCATCGACCTGCGCTGACCAGCGTGATGAAGTTTCAAATATCTCCCATTGACAATGGGTGGTGGAAGCCTTCATAGTGGATTGACAAAAGGCTGTGAGATGGAATGGATTCATATGGCCACCCCTCCAACCACTCAAGGCCACTGCATTCACCACGGTCTAAAAAAAAAAACGGATATATTTCTTCAATCAAATCTAAACCCTAATTCGCGGCAACCCATTGAATCTATGGAAGTTGTATCATTACAGTTTTAATGTATACCCAGGTGGACTAAACGTGCAACACGAATGTGATTCTCTATACAGCAAGACCTCGTTTAATACGCATTCCTGAAAAGTGCCGCGTTTAGCGAAAAACGCGTATAAGCGAAAACTATTTCCACATAAATGTAACAATGAACTTTGACAGCATACAGTGTATGTTCGCACCGTAAGATGGTGAGATAAATAACTGAGGGAACGCCACCACATTACTGTATCATTCGGTGTACTGTATCCTACCGCTCATCTGCGTAGCTCAAGAAAGTAATTCGTCATCGACCGCTCAGAAACCGCGTTACAACGACGCTTGTTCCGTGTTGGAACAGTGCAGGTTTTGACGGTGCATGTTCCGCGTTCCAACGATGCGCATTCCGCGTTGGAACAGTGCGCGTTCTGCATTACGACTTTGCGCGTTGGAACAGTGCGCGTTCCACGTTCCAACGATGCACATTCCGCGTTGGAACAGTGCGCGTTCTGCATTACGACTTTGCGCGTTGGAACAGTGCGCGTTCCACGTTCCAACGATGCGCATTCCGCGTTGGAACAGTGCGCGTTCTGCATTACGACTTTGCGCGTTGGAACAGTGCGCGTTCCACGTTCCAACGATGCGCATTCCGCGTTGGAACAGTGCGCGTTCTGCATTACGACTTTGCGCGTTGGAACAGTGCGCGTTCCACGTTCCGACGATGCGCGTTCCGCGTTGGAACCGTGCGCGTTCCGCATTACAATGGCTCGTGTTCCGCGTTGTGCGAAAAGTACTCCCCAATTGTAAGAACTGCGTTATAGCGAAAAACGCGTAGATAGCGTGAACACCACACGTCCGGCGAGGACGTAGCGTGATGGTGAATTGTCTCGTGTGCCTGTCGCTATTCCTTCAGGTGCTGTGGGAGATGTTGACTCGGGAGGTCCCCTTCAACGGCCTGGAGGGTCTGCAGGTCGCCTGGCTGGTGGTGGAGAAGAACGAGGTAGAGCGATCGGGTCTAGTGGCCTGGCCGAATGTTGCTTTAACACTGCCACAACACTGGGGCTTAAGTCGAAGCGAGGGAAGTGTTGTGATGAGGATATGGATGTAGGTTGATACGGTGGCGACATGTTAACTACCTCGCCTGGTATGAACGATGTCGTTGGTTTGATCCCGACCTTGACGCCTGTACATTTGGAGTTTGCATGTCTCTCTCTCTGGGATCGCGTGGATTTTTTTCCGGGTTCTCCAGTTTTTCCACATGATAGGCCACTTCGTTGAGCTATCATTTGTGGCAGCCAGGTCGCTTAAAAAATTGCTATACAGCTCAATGGGCCTTACCTGGTAAAATAAAAAAAAGAGTTTAGTTTATAGTTCGGTAAGGCTGCATGATACATTGTTGTAACATAACAGAATCAAGATCTTCATTTATCCTGGATAAATCTAATAAACGTCAGCTCTTTTTCAGATGTCCAGTAGGGGCGGGTTTAGGAAGTTACAGCAGCAAACAATTACGATGCTTTGGATCTCCATTTTCACTTGGAAAGAACAAGTGCATATTTTTTGGTTGTTTATTGTTCGTAAAGAAGTGAGCGGGAGTAGAAAAAATGTGTTGACATTGCCACTTTGAACGTGAATGTCATCAAGTCTGGTTGGGTCCAAGCTGAGACTTTAAAACATCGAATGCACGCACAACAGGTCTCATAGGCTGTGGGACTACAATATGAGCAGAAGTACGGCTATGCCCATTGTTGTACTGTACTCATTAATTGCATCGTTCAAGCTCGCGGCCTTTTACCAACCCACAATGACCAGCAGGGTGAAGCAAGGTCAAACAGTCCCTTAATCCACTAGTACAATGACAAAGGGCTGTATTTGTGCTGCATATTAATTATAGATCAGTGTTCTTCACTAATTTTCAGAGGCGGCCACTTTTGCCAATAAGACATCATCAGTGTGAGGGCCGCCACGCTTTTGAAACCATTGGGGTTTGACAGCATGATGATGGGGGGTGTTTTCACTGGCGGAGCCGGTGGAGTTGGGGTGGCACGTGCCCCCCCAATGATCCGATAGATATTCCTCATTTTGATCGGATCATTGGGGTTTATTAGTAATAAATTGGCATTTTGCGACCCCTACTGCCACTGTGTAGCATTATTATGTGCCAGGGACTCTATGAGATGAAAGGACAATAGTCTGATTCCATAATTGGCAATAAGTAACGGCAAAGCAGTTGCGTATACAGTCCACGACTTCCCTGAAGGCATTCACCTTCAGCGAGCACAATGCCGATCACACAACGCGGTTCAAATGCGACCCTCAATCGATGGCTGCGCCATCGCCGCACATGCGTCAAATAAAAAGCAAGGGACAAGTCCTTACTTACTAACAACTCCTCTATCATTGTTCATTGCTGGAGGGTTTGCCCCCCCCACCTGAAAATCCTGGCTCCGCCATTGGGTGTTTTCACATTTGTGTATTGTCGCTATAGACGATAACGGCTGTGCTCTACTTGCTCCTGATATGTCCGATACATTCCCTTCCGCACGGCGTTCCTTTGTTCAGAGGCTGACCATACCCAGCAGCTGCCCGCCGAGCTTTGCAAACCTCATGAAGGAGTGCTGGGAGACCGATCCAAAGGTAAGCCTCACTGAGTCAAGTCACACGTGTGTGTGCGCGCGTGTGTGCCTGTGATAATATGAACGAATAGGATTTGCGTGCGTCGAGTTCTTAAATATTGAAACAGCATCTCAAAATGCTTCACAACGCAAATGAGAATGACCGATTCAAAGCGGTGTAAGGGATAGGGTGAGGAGGTGGGGGGCGAGCGGTGACCTGAGTTCAATCCCTTGGCCACGGTTGACATCAGTGGTGAAGGTTATCTGAATTTGTCCTGGACCGCCACCCTTCACCAACCCGCGCCGACCGGCCGCGGTGACGTATTGGTCAGTCGACGCGGTGTGCGCGAAAGGGATTGACATCAATGGTGTGAATAATGAAATGAGATAAAATACAAATTACATTATGGATTGTGTCTCCGCTCCTTTTTAAATATTCTTTAAGAACCCAGTGGAGCGATGTCAGCCAAGCCGGTGTTTACAAACTATATTTTCCAGCTCCACTCCTGAGTTAAGTGGACGCATTTCCTCCGTGCACCTCCCTTCCGCAGAAGAGACCCACCTTCAAGCAAATCCTGCAGATGCTGAACTCCATGGAGCATGACACCCTCCTCTCCAGCCTCTGCAACTCCTTTCTGCACAACAAGGCGGTCTGGAGGTGTGTGTGTGTGTGATCGACGCGGTCGGGGCACAGTCAGTGGATCTGTCAGTCATCTGAGTCAGTCAATCAATGGCCCCTGGATCTGTCCCGTGACCTGTCAGCAAGCCTTCGACACTTCACATGGCCTCAGAGTGCACCTAGCGTGGCACAAGTGCCGTGGTGACATCACCGCCACTTAGTGTTGAACGGCGGCTGTTGTTGTTGCGGTCGACACATGCTAAGTGGACAAATGCGGTCAACGATGCTTCTTGCTACGCCCGAGAGGTCATGTAAGTAAAGGATTTTCACACATAGAGCGCTCTCTTAAATGCCTCAGCGTCTCAAAGTGCCTTCCGTCACACGACATCATCTTGTCTCAACCAAACCAGTGCCCTGCGGACGTCTAGCCAAGGGGACCTCCGGTAGCAGCGATCCCGATGCAGTACGAGGCGTACACACACCGTCAGCTATTGTGTCCATATTGAGTAAATTAGGGGAAAATTAGAAAAGATATATAGACGATGACACCAGCACACGTGACCTATTCCTTTTACGGGATCTTTAACATCCGCTGTGACGCAGGCAGTGCGCGGTATTTTTTTGGTCAACACGCCCGCAGCATCGACCAGGAAGGCCACGAGGCTTGAACACGCAAACTTGCGCAACGCGGCGGCGGCCGCTTGACCGCCCGTTCGCCGTTCGCCGTTCGCCACACGTGATTTGTGTCCCCGCGGTGACGCCGCTAACGCTGCCGCCGCCGCTTTTGACCGCCCGCCTGCGCCGCCGACCAAAGGGTGGAGATAGAGGCGACGTTGGAGCGACTCAAGAAGCTGGAGCGAGACCTGAGCTGCAAGGAGCAGGAGCTGCGGGACCGGGAGCGGCGCCTCAAGATGTGGGAGCAGAAGCTCAAAGACCAGGGCTCGTCCTACGTGAGTGCCGGAGCAGAGGGGTGCCCGTGGGGGGGGAGGGATATGGAGAGGGCTCAAACCTCGACGGCAGCCCAGACGGTGGGACTGAGCGTCGTTGCGCTGTTTCACTTCAATGGGGGACTTATATGTTCGTGACTTGCTGTGCCGTAATACTATTGAGAGATGCAGGCTTGTTGTTTATTTTCTATTGAACCACTTTTAACAGTCGCAAACAGAGGACACGCGTAACTTGGGGTGTTTTTGTAAATGTTTTAAGTGTAATATGCGACCGTCAACTCTTCGTTAGCATTATCGCATTTTTATCTCTGATGCTGCTCGATGTGAACCATGCATCCATTGTCAAATTAAGATGAATAAGCAGATGATACACCTCCTTCACAACACATCTGTCTCTGTGCATAAAGTGTTTCTTTACACATCCCGTCAGACACACGCCTTTCTGAAAGTGCACAATGTCAGCAGCATTGGCCATTTCATGAATATCCAATGAAAATCAACTGAATGGTTTGTTATGCTTCTTGAAAGGGCTTTACATGTACACGTACTGCATATCGTGAATTGACGATAGAACGATTATCGTTTACTGAAGTGGGTCACGGTTGCTATGCCAGGGTGAGGTGTGGATGAACCACTTGAAGTTCAAGGTTCACGCTGTTGTGTTTACAGACATCTACATCCTGTTCTCTTTACTCCTGGAGCGAAACGGATGTGGTGAGTAGAATTTTAATTGCCGGACTCTGTGCACAGCCACTGCAGAGCACTTAGCTCGCACGTGGCGTTTATTGTGAGCCCACAGATGGCAGGGTTCTTAAATAAACATTTTGCGTGCGGTGCTTCATTGTCATAAAGTGTGCTGATTGGTTGTTTCCTGGTTTCTCGCAGGCCGACTGGATCCGCCAAATTAGTTGTAAGTGCAAAAATCACTCCGTTGCCTTCTTTGCCTCGTGTAAAAGCAATTCAGTCTTGCGTCAGCTCTTGTTAATGGGGATAAAGGAAAACCGTGCCATTGCTCTTTAATCTGACTGACCCTGTGAAGCGCACTTTTATTTTGTTATTGATAGCTCAAAAAAACTTGATATGCTCCACAAAAGAAAGGAGCGCACCATTTATGCTTTGTCGTAGTTGTAAGTAGTAATTTTAAAACCGGCGATTAAGGTATTGATGCTGCCACGCACACATCGGCCTGCTTTTTTGCACATGGTGAAGGTGAACTCAAAACGCAAATCAAAGAGCACTGAACGCACGATGCGCTCGCCACAAATAAACCACACAATCGCTCGCTGATCTCGTCAAGGAGCATAAACCATCATCACGCGAACTCCGGTCATCCTCGCAGCGACGGCTTTTGGCTGCTGGCCATCATCCAAAGACGGTCACCGCATCGCGCGCTTTCAGATGCGCTTCGGCGGCCGTCTGGAACGCTCTTCCGATATTAGAAAGCCACTGTAGCTATCCATTTTTAAATCATCTAGATTAAGTTCGCTTGCTTGCTTGCTTGCGTGCTTGCTTGCTTGCTTACGACCGTGCAAATCTTTCGGTCGTTTTTTAACCCACTTCCCGTGATCCAATCGAGCTGACATTTTGCACACAGACTCGTTGTGCGAGACAATTAATGTTCGTGAAAATTTTTTTCCGAAATTTTACACTGTTTAGGGAAAACAAATTAAATATTTAATTACCAATTGCTTAATACTGGCAGACAATCATCTGACCCATAGGTGGCAGCCATCTCAAGCCAGAGGACGAGAGGACTCTAGCCGCCACGCATATAAAGGATTTAGAATGAAAAACTTTGTTTTTACGGGTTATACTTATTAAATCATCTAGATTGAATGCTCATTTATTTAGAGCTGCTTTTTGTGTTTAATTTGTTGTCCTCACTTCCGATTAGCATGGTTGGCTACTTTCTGCGCGAAAGAAGTTCAACATACATACAAAGGAAATTAAATGAATGACAATGCACTCATGTCTGATTTGGTCCAGTAGAGGGCACGCTTGCGTTAATGCCCGTCGTCGCTCACGATCGTGAGTGTTCCTGCCGTGTGTGCGTGAGCTGGCTGAGCCGCTCAGTTCAGAGCGCTAAGCTGGAAACCGATGAGATATCATCCTAGGTTTAAATCCGGGCATCCGCCGTCTGGAGTACCACGTTCTCAAACGTAGCGAGTCTGTAGTTTCAGCACAGTCACCAAAGGCTGCGCCACAAATTTGGTTCTGCACTTTAATTTGGCTTATTTCAAGCTCTTAAGAATTACAATATTTGTGTTGACTGCCATGAGATGTATTGTTATGAAGTGTTATGCAAAGTGCTAGTCCTCTTATTTGTGGACCAGAGAGAACTTGGAGGTATCTCAGAAGTAGCTCCGTGGTGTCCGCTTCCGTGGGCCGTTCAACAAGACGAAGGGGTCGCGCCGCTCTCGGACAGACACTTCGTCTGGCCGAGTGACGCGGATAGCACGCTTGGGATAAAGTTTGGTTGGGAAACGACCACGAAAGTAGAAAAAACCCAACCCACAAACACACCATGCGTACGCCGTGCGTGTTTAGCGGAGGCGAACGGAGACCTTGCGGTGTACGCGGAGCTCTTCCAGCAGCAGCACATCACGGGGCAGAGGCTGCTGCTGCTGGAGGACAGCGACTTCCTCGCCATGGGCATCAAGTCGCGTGGCCACATCCTGCACCTCAAGGTGACCGTCCCCCCCACCGCACTCCACTGCAGTGCTTGTGACCCGTCGTGGACCCCTCGTGACCCCTCGTGACCCTCCGCGACCCCCCTCAAGCCCATCTTACTCTTGCTGCTTTTGCCGTTGCAGTAATACCCCGATTTACGTCTTCCCCCTTTCACGTCGTTTTGCAAATATGTCGTCACTTTGTTATGAACACCTCTACCCGATTAGCGTCGCCTCCACCCCACACGTCTCTGACAGCGTCGTCCGTCATTTCTAGTATCCGTCACCTCTCGGCCTTCGCCTCCTCCTACCCTCTAAATCGCTTTGACGCGATTTCGATATTCGTCATCGCACCTTTCAGGTACGACGTAACATTGCTGCGATCGTCATCGTTGTGCATTCGCATTTTGAATATGCTACACTGTTAAACATCACGTTGTAAGAGAGCCATTCTTTTTACGAGATCCCACACCTTAGCGCCAAACCCGCCCGTTCCCGACGTTCACGGTGTTGGCACGTGTAGTAGACGCTGTTGGCGCAATGCACTTTGTGTGATTGTGTGATTTTAAATAAAGGGTTTTCTTCCATCATTGTAGAATTACAATTAGCTGGGGTTTTTTTTGCTGAGTCGATAAAACTGCAGAAGGCTGTTGGGAGCAATTGCTGCAACGAGTCGCACCTGTGAAGGTCGGCACGGCACACGAGGGAGGGTTGGGGGCCAGCACCACGCTTGGCAACCTTGGTCTCTCCTGTGCTGATATCTATATAAATAAAGACCTTCATCTGTACGTACGTCTCAAAAACCTCTAGGGTACTTCCCGACAAGGTATAAAGCTGACATTTGGTACATAGGTAGCTTTTCGGACTCAAACAACAGGAAACATCTGAAAATCCTAGATTTTTTATTTTAAGGCCCCCAAAATCTCGATTTTAAGTGCCCCATAAACATGTTGTGCGCGTCATTCAGAAACCGTTCAAGATATAAGATTGCGTTTTTTTTTTCAGTTTGATAAAGCGTTAAACAGCAAATAACATTAAAGCGAGAACCATTGTTCTATCTACTATTGTTTATTGGAGATATTTGGGATTAAAGCAGTTTTGAACGAAAAATTATGCATTTCGAAAACGGTAAAAGATAGGAGCTCCCCCTCAAAGAGTATTATGTTAATAAATTTGTTCTTTCAAAAAAACCAATCTTTAAATCGAGTGGTTTCTGATGGGTAAGTCTTTAAATATAACAAGTTGAATCAAGTCGTCAACAATTAGTTTTTTTTTGTGTAAAAAAAAAAATTGGTGGCGTAGTTTGTGTCTAATCAAAGATAAATGTACCATTAATATTTCTATCACCGTAATCATTTTTTATTAAAAGATACTATTTAAAAAAAATGTATGCAATGCAATATATATAGTTCTCAGATTTATTTAGTAGAATGTTACTTTTGTATTTCAATTTTTTGGTACACATCTTTGACTTAAATTTGGTGATAACAACTAATACAACTTTGATTTATTTGTTATTTTGCCTGGCAAAGAAAGGCTTTATGAACTAGTATATATAGACACACACACACTGCACTAGATTCTCATTTAAGGCTGAGTCGACCGAGAGGAACCCCACGATCAGGGTTCAAATATTCCGTCACTGTTATTGGCAGCGAGCGGGAATCAAACCCGGGTCGCCGGGTTCGCAGCGCAGTGCGCTAACCATTGCGCCGCCACTCCCCGTCACGCATAAAACTACACGCACACGCCGACATGCTGGGTGGTGTGAAGGTTTCATCCCACGAGACCCATCTGTCCAAACCTCCGCGTGTTGGCAACGCACGTGGGTGCCGAGATTTGAGTCACAGGTGTTCGCCGAAATCTCCGCACCTCCGATTAGCGTGGTTGGCTGTGTACGGTGTGAAAGAAGTTCAACATACAGTATGCACATAAAACATGACGGCTGTGACTTTCACACGCATCAGTCATGCGCTGTTGAAGAGTGCTCAAAAAGCTTTTTGATAAAAAAAAAAAACGTAATCGTAAAGTACTATGTGGCCAACCTTTCAACCATGCAGTTCAAACAGCTGTCTTAATATAATTAGTTAATTATGCATGACACCGTTATTGATACCCTATATTTTTGTCCTCACAGAAAGCAATCGGGAAGCTCTACCAGAAATTCATGGACCTGGTTCATTTCCCACCTCTCATGCAGGTAAGGACACGCACGCTGTTATACACTCTCAATTAATGACTATGGTAATTAAACTGCCAGGCATGGACGATGCATATGCCTTGCTTGCTCATTTCACTGATGTCGCCGTTGGAAACTTTGTTTCGCAGGAGCTTGAACCCGTCTCTCCTCCCGATTCCAGCGAGGAAGAGGTCACCTTGGAGCTTGTCATTGGCTACCACATCATCCCAGGAAAAACACTGCAGGTGCATCTCCTATCCGTTGTTTTGCAATGAAACGTTAAACGTTGCAGCAGCCATCGATTGGTTGACTCATCAAAACCAAGCAGGGTCGCCGCCCTCCGTTCTCTCGCTCTGAAGAAGCGACCGCGCGCTTACGCTCGCATCGCACTCCTCGGCTGCTCATCCAAGCGGCGCCAGGCGTCCCCCCTTTGCCAACGCCGCACGGAAGACGCGGCCTCGTCGCGGGCGGCCGGTCTTGTCTCACAAGTCGCCGCAGCGCCTTTTGGCTAAATGTCGAAACAAAAGGCGGTCATCGCATCGCGCGCTTTCAGATGCGCTTCTGCGGCCGTCCGAAACGCTCTCTCCTTCCTATGTCAGCGAGGCCACTGGAGCCATGCACTTTTGCATAATTTAGATTGAAAAGTAATTTCTTTAGAACTCCTTTCTCTGTTGAGTTTGTTGTCCTTCCCCCCGCACCTCCGATTAACGCGGTTGGCTACGTGCGGCGCGAAAGAAGTTCAGCGTACGTACGCACACACACACGCGCGCAATCATCCCTCGCACCTGTTTCCCCCCCTCCATCCCTCCCTGCAGCAAATTGAACCCTTTTCTCGCGCACCATCCGACTAGATGACAACCTGCCTGCCGCCCTTGGGCTGGCGCCACCGCACGCCGAGATTAACGCAGCAGGCCACCCGCGGCACTCGCTTTCTCCCCCCACCGCCCCCACCCCTCCTCAAACATTCCGGCCTGCCGCTGACTCGCTCGTACACCGATTCGTGCTCGTGCGTGGGCCTGCCTTTTGTTGGGAGGCGAGCAGCTGTTTTTTTTTTTGGAGGCTTGCGCACCTCTTAAGAGGGGGGGGGGCACTCTCTCCCCCCCCCCCCCTTTCCGGCATTGTGATGGTGACAGGGAGATGGCTCTCTCAGAGTGGGGTCGCGTAATTGCCCCCCATTTGTGTCGCCGTTCGCCCGGGGAGGTTGGCGCGCCCGCGGCGACGCTTTGGAAGCGGGTTTCTAATTATTGTTCTGTTTTTTTTTCTTCTCTCTCTCGCTCTCTTCTTCTTCTTCTTTTAAAAATAAAATTAAAGGAAAAAAAAAAACCGAAATAGGCAGCAGGTTGTTAACAGTTCAGTAAGTTTGTTCACTGGCACAGCAGGTGCAAATGCGTGGGCCGTGTAAGTAAAAAAAAAGAATGGTGATTTTATTTATTTATTTTAAATAAATAAATATATAGATAAAGATGGGGGGGGGGGGGTAATGTAGCTGATCGTTGCTGTCGTGTGAATCTGTGCAGAGGAATAACATTTGCTTCATGCATTGATTTTACGCATGGAATTGAACGTGCATGAATCCTATTTTTACAAATGAGAACGGTTGTCATTGTGTCTTGCAGTTCATCACAATTAGATTCAAGAGTACATTTTAACATTTTGGTGAACCCATTACATTACGCGCAACATATATACGAAGCGGAAAACACTGCTTCTTACGCCACGATCTTCCGAATCAATATTAAACGATGGATCCACCATCGTTTAATAACGGTAATAATTTGGATTTATAAGGCACCCTTGAAAATGGAGCTCAGGGCGCCACGCATGTTAAGGGGGAAGGAATAAGTGACAAGTAATCGGGGAGAGAGGCTAAGGAGACTAGATAGAGAACTAGAGAGAGAGAGGGGGGCCTTGCTAAAAAGGTGGTGGGGTCATCAGCCGGGATTTCAAAGTCTCCATCAACTGCTAGTTCCTGACCTCCAGTGGCCCTGGGAATTACAGATTCCTGTCCGTCGTGCAAACAAAAAGTTTCTGCCTGCATTGCGTATGACACGAATAGGATTTTTAAATAGTTTTGGCAGGTCACACATTAACACACACACACACACAAGCTAAAACACCTCTGTCACAACATAAGCCGCTCGCAGTGGCAGAAGTGACTGAGCCCACGGAAATGAGAGTGTTTGGCAGGTTGTAAATATTCCCTGATAGTAGCCAATTAGTGCTGCTAAGATGCTTTGCAGCGATCCGACAAAGAAAATGTTTTAATTGGCAGCAGGTTGGTCACAGTTCGGTAAGTTATTTGCACTCTCAGCATCGGCATCTCGTGACGGACAACTTACTGCTTGCGGGCCGGTTGAAAGCGGTTGGCGGCCTCATGTGGCGACCGTAGGCGGTATATATCGAAGTGTCCAGGCCATATCTGGATTGTGCGGTTGTAGTATTCCCCCACCCTCCCTAGTCTACGGTAACGAACCGTGCTCGTGTGTCGCAGGACTGCAAGTGGAAGATGTACGTGGAGGTCGATGGCGATGACACCTTCATCAAGGAAGTGAATTTCCACCTGTCGGCGCCTGCGTCGAACACCGTCAAGCTCTCGCAGGTGAATCGACGCGCGCCGAGGGAGTAAGGGGAAAATCTGCACGTGCACACGTATGCATTTACGGAATGCTTTCCAACAACCGTGTGCCCCAGGAAGTATCTGATCATCGGTACGGATGCCGAACGGGTAGGTGTCAGGGGCAAAGCTTGTTTGCAGATTTGCCAACGGTCCTTTTTGCACGGTCTTTGTATTTCAGAGTTTGACCAAATTGGCTTGTTTTAAATGGCATAAGCCCCAGATATAGTAATATATAATATTAAAAATAAATGTAACTTCATGCTTAAATTTAATTCAAATTGGGACACCTTTATTCTCGCACTCTCCCCCGCTCTCCATTATTAGAATATTTTTTATCCTGGAGAAATCCGATGAGCTATGAAGCTCTTTTTAATGGATGTCCAATAGGGGCTGGTCAGAAAGTTACAACAACAAACAAAAAAAACGACGGGAAGTCACTAAAGATGAACACATTCACCACAGAAAAACAGAGCTAATGCGTGGAAAGCCTCTAACTTGAATTGTGAAGCATTACAAACCGAATTGAAGCTTTCGTGACTGCAGAAATTATACTCATTTCTCGTCTCCCATCTTGCTGTATTTGCCTCCATGCAGTTTGCCATTCTCTGCGTGCTGTGTACGTGGTGTCCCCCTGTGTGTTCCCTCGCTATGTGTTTTACCCCATTTCCACCTAATGATGAGCGCTTGTGTTGCGTTCGAAACGTCGTGATTTATTTTAATTGAATTTTATTTTATTTATGAAAAATTTATTTTATTTCTACATACGTCACTTTACCGAAAAAACCAATGAGTGCATTACAAACCGTTCGTTTTCTTAAATGTTCGTGTGCTTGACGCGCTGCTGCGGATCGCCGCTGCTTTTTCCACAGCCACCGTTTGTGATGTCGCGATGGACCGTGGGTCTCGCCTGAGGGCCAGACAGTGGAGTGTGTCGTCACCTACGCGGTACGTTTCGCAAACGCCTCGCCGCCCATTTCACCTAGGAGCATAAACCATTGCGCGAACTCTGGTCATCCTCACAGCAGCAGCATCAACAGCATCAACAGCGGCGGCTTTTGGACTAGCCATCGAAACAACGGCGCTTTTAAGATGCCCTTCCTTCCGATATTAAGAAGCCACTGGGAGCGATGCACTTTTAAATCGTCGAGATTGAAAACGAATTTCTTTAGAACTGCTTTTTGTGTTTAGTTTTTTGTCCTTCCCCAACACCTCCAATTAGCAAATCACTCTCCCATATCTATTGAAACTATTATTTTACCAGGTAAGGCTCACTTAGCTACAATACCTCTTTTTCCGAAGCGACCTGACCATCACAAATGATAGCTCAACAAAGCGGCTTATCACGAGGACATTTATAGCAGCCAAATACACACGTTGATTCTAAATGTGGAGGGAAACACCGGAGGACCCGGAGAAAAAGCCACGCGACCACAGGGGGAGCATGCAAACTCAAAATGTACAGCAGGCGTCAGGGTCGGGATCTAACCCATGAGCTCCTGTATACCAGGTGAGGTAGTTAACATCTCACCACCTTCGGGCCCGTCTAACCTCGCGGGAGCCCATTGAGTTCCGTTATATTGCAGATTATGAAGGAAAGATTAGTCGCAGTACTTACGGACGGCCATTATTATTTTTTTATTTATGGAACTTTAGCAGTTGCTTGACAAAACGGCTGTACACGTACACATGTGCACGGCACCTTTTGGAACTTCCAGTTTTCGTGAATGCCTACTCGTTTCTTGCACTGTGTGGTTCTCCATTCATGCCGTTCCAGTGGTAGTGGTAGTGATGGTGTATGAGCGGTGGGACAGCGGTTAGCGCGCTGCTCTGCGAACCCAGCGACCCGAGTTCGATTCCCGCTCACGGCCAACATCAGTCACGTCTATTTATATGAACCGGTCCTAGCGGTGTGTAAACAACATCAGCAATCGGGAAGCTAGAGGCTGCCGGGCACGTTGGTGGAAAGCCGTGCACCCCCTCCCTCGGGTGCCGTGCCGACCTCAATAATAACAACATTAGGCACTCGCCATCAGGACTTGCCCCCCAACAAGTCCGTTGGAGACTACGCCGTGGGGGGGATCTTTGTCTGTCGGCGGTGCAGGACAGCGTGCGGTCGCCGACGTACACGCGGCACGTGCACGCGGTGCGCGCGGGCGACGCCGCCGCCGCCGCGCCGCACATCGAGAGCGTCGCGCTGCGTGTCAAGCCGGCGCCGCCGAGCCGTGGCCGCAAGACTCCGTCGAGCCACAGCAGGCGCAGCTCCGGTGAGAGCCCAAACCACTGCGGCCGGGAGTCGGAACTCGGTGCCACCGGGTTGGCCTCTTTTCTCGTTCCGATGACGTGCGTGTACGTCATCGCGCCACCATGGGGCGCCACTTTGGCGAGATGTTAACTACCTCGCCTGGTATACAGGAGGTCACGGGTTCGATTCCGACCCTGACGCCTGCTGCTGTATATTTCGAGTTTGCGTGTTCTTTTTCTCTCTCCCCCCGTGGTTGTGTCGATTTTTCTCCGGGTCCTCCGGTTTTACCCTCCACATTTAGAATCAACATCACGCGTTTGAGTATTTGGCTGCTATGAATTTCCACTTGATGAGCCACTTCGTTGAGCTATCATTTGTGGCAAGGTCACTTCTGCAAAAGAGCTATATAGCTCAGTGGGCCTTACCTCGTAAAATAAAACAAGGTTAATAGTACATACGTGTATGTGTACGTCATCAATTTTTCTCACGATTCCCGTTCCGACGATGAACGTGTCCATTGTCAAAACAAAATCGGAATAAAAGCTAAAATGAAACAACTTTATCGGTATCGAGGCTTCGACAAGGCCATGCGGGGAGGGCGTGTGGCACAGTTTGGCGCCAGCTATCGTAGAGTGCGGTCGTATCGCTGCAGGTCTCTGCGGTGAGTAACAATGTCTTTAAATAAAACTAACGGAGGTGAAAGGGACGCCCACCCTGCAACTTGCAGAAATCTCGGAACGGGAAAGAGTTAACAGCGCAGCGCACTGACCACTATGCGCTTGCTTCACCGAAGGAATATCATTTTAAACGATTACTGTACATGCAACATTTTACATCTCTACGCTGTGTACATGAAAACTAATGTACACAGCGTCCATAGGCCGCTGGATGAAGGCCTCCCCATGCTGTGTGGTTCATGGGATATGTTTGACCGTACTTCACCACACTTGTGAAATGACATAACAAACTCGAGCCTTGGCCACGAGAACGTGGGTCGCGAGTCATTTCCCTCTGCCGTATGCGTGTCTCCACCACAGATCGCGTTCCCTCTCACACTGTCCGTCTCCCTCTCTTGTCGCGCAGTGAGTCCACTGCCGGGCGCCCCGAGTGACCTGCACGGCTGCTGGAGAGACCGCTGGGAGAGGCACGCCGTCATGCCTCCCGGTATCGGCGGGAACCTACTCCCGTCGCCATCGCTCTCACCAGGTGAGGAGCACCCCTCATCACTGCCCCTATCCCCCCCCCCCCTCCTGTCCCCATTGCTTACGAAGTGCTGTGCTTTTCGAGATGTGTGACGGCCTATAACAACGTGTCGCGCATGGGGGGTCGCCGATGACTGCTTTTGGGTCGGAGACGCGACTCCGCTTAGCTTCTGAAATGCGATGAGATCAGGCACGTTCCGGCTGATTTGGTCACGGGCAGCTGGCTTGTTGTACGCTCTTAAACGAGCGCTCACGTGTTTTTATTTTTCTGGGTTGTGCCGCGGGGGTTTGTTTCGGCACCGGAGAGCCGCAACAGCACGACCGCGCAACACCCACACGCGGTAGTGACGACGAACCAACTGTCCGTCGTTTTCTGTGCCCCGGCAGTCGGGATTTTCCTGCCGTGCAGCGGGGCGATGTCGCCGCGCAGGAGCGGCAGCCCGGTGTGCGTCACTCCGCACCTCGCGCCGGTCAAGACGCCCGGCGCGCTGCTCTCGCCGCCCGCCCGCTACAGCTACGCGTCGGTGGTGCGGCGCGCCAGCCAGCCGGGCCGCGCCGTCGGGGTGGACGGCTTCTTCCCCGAGCTGCCGCCGTCGGCGTCGCCCCGAGCCGCGGCGGCTCCGGCGGCGCAGCAGGACGGACTCAAGCCCACGGAGCTCGCCTGGTTGCAGGTGAGGTTGTTATTGCTTCTTGGCATCGCACGGGTGTTGCAGGGACAAGACCTTTCAAGTCGTGTGAGAATTGGAGGCACGGGTTGCACTGTGTGTTGGTTGGCACAGGATGGACCGAGCATGCGTTCGCTCACCCCTTAGCCTGTCCAATAAGGTCCTCTATGGTAAACTAAGGACTGTTGTTTTTGTTGGCAAGTTGCACTCAACTGGGAGGTGAGATCAACAATTTGCATCGGTTGGGACTCGCAGGTAGAAGTAGAAGTCCCTAACTCATAAGAAGCAAATCCATTCCTTCGCCAAGTGTCATTGTGATGCTTGTTCATCACTAGTGTTCCTGTCATCACTGGCGAGCGTTTAACCACACACACGTGTGTGTGTGTTTTTCGTGGCGGTGTGCAGTTGCAGCTCTCCTCCATTCAGCTTGCGCAGCAGAAGCACGGAATCTTCAGGGAGGACAGCGGCTACAGCATCTCCACGGAGGACAGCGTGGCTTCCACGAACCGCCAGATCAGCTGCGGCTACGTCAGCGGCGACGAAAGGGTCACGTCGACGGCCAGCGTCGGCACGACCCGGCGAAGCGCGAGCGCGAGCTCCGCGCAGGGCCTCTCGCTGCCCGGAGGTTACCAGAGGGGCAGCGGCAGGCCCCCTCCGTCGCGGGGGGGACGGTGGAGCGGACGGGTCAGAAGCGGCGGTGGCGGCGGGAGGAACACGGGAGACGGCGTCGGGGACCCGCCCGTGTCCCGGCAGGGCTGGCCGAGTCGGCCCGCGCAGAGAGGAGCCGGCGCCCACCACAACCGACGGGGACAGTGGCACTCGGCCGGCCGGGCGGAGCCGAACTACGGGACGGCGCCGAACCGCAGCGTCGACGGCGGTCGGGCGGCGAGCGACGGGGCGGCGCCGGGCGGCCCCGAGCAGGCCAGCGACTGGATCAAGGTGGAGCGGCACAAGCGGCAGTTCAGGACGGAGAGCGCGAGGAGGCCGGCCGTCGGGCCCGGCAGGAGGCACGGCGGCGGCAGGAGAGACTACTGAACGGTCCACCCCCCCCGTCTTTGTAAAGCACTTAGCTGATATTTAATTAGTTTATGCCAAAAGCAACTCGAGAGAACAAAGCTGCAGATAAGTCAGACTTACAATGTTTTTTTTGCGTTTCGTATAACTGTAGTAATGATTACACTGGTCAACAAAAAAAAAAAATTCTGGCCTGGACTTTTGCAGCTGTTCTAGACTAATTTCAGGGTGCTGATTCCAAATCTGATCTCAGATTTGCTCTATCACATCTCATTTTATGCTATCGGCATACCCCATTTTCATTGATTTTACCCGAAATTAACTCTGTCACTTATGATTGCAAGTTGTTGCGAGTCAGTGACTGCTTTGGTGTTAAAATATGGTGCTGTATATTTAGGATAGTTTGTTTATAATATCATTTTATGTAGATATCCACATTTATTTAATATTTTTCGTCTGCAGTTTTTATTGAAAATGCAATATTTGATATCTCAAAAACCTGATGTGATACACAAAAACTGATGCCAGATTTGGAATCAGCACCACAAAATTACCTTAAGCCCGTTGGAATACCTTGTGCCAGAACAAGTGTGTTGACCAGTGTAATAAAAGCACTGTATACGTCACTGGAACCACTGCAACAATATGTGCTGCTCAAACAGTTATATCTTTTTGACAACCGTCAGGGTTTTCCATGCCACAGCTTTACTCAGTGGCATTTGACAAAAAGCCATTTTCATCCAATGTTTGTTGTACGTATGTTGAACTTCCTTTGCGACGCACCTAGCCAACCGTGATAATCAGGAGGTTACGGGGGAAGGACAACAAACTCAACACAAAAAGCAGTTCTAAAGATTTGAGTTTTGTTGTGCCATTCCTCCGCTCCGCTCGGATTTATGTAGTGTTGCACGATGTAAATACGTGTCCGCAAGGGGAAGTCATTGAACTGAATTTGGTGGAAATAATGATTGTATCTTTTTATACTGTTCAAAGATACTGCTCTAAAGTAGAACACACTTTCAGTGTGTATTTGAGATAAATTAATAAATGTATTTATTTTTGATGACGTGTACATAACCGCCGATAACCAAATTACATGAAATGCGCCGATCCCAGAAGCTAAGCAGGTTTGAGCCTGGATAGTGATTGTATGGGCGACCGCAATGCAGAAAAGGGCAGTGCAGCACACGCTCTCTGCCTTCACCAACCCGCACTGACCAACGTGGTGAAGTATGGTCAAACAACTCCCATGACCAGCACAGTGGGGTGACCCTCATGCAGCAGTGAATTCATGAAACTGCTGACCGTGTATTTATCATCGTCTGCGTATAACTGTTACAGTTCTATATGTGAATACAATATAAAAATGTGATGTGGGCTAATCGATAGGACCTTTTAAAAAAAATACATTTCCTCCAAGGCTGGTGTTTGATTTACATTGCATACACGCACACGTTTCATAAATGACAGTCGAGGCGACAGAGTCTGTCGCCTCGACGGACCTGGTTTTCACCTGAGGACGGCTGCTTGCGTTGTGGCCGAAACGTCGTGAGAATAATTTTATTATGTTTTATTTTTATTATTTTATTACTTCCCTTCTACGTGACTTTACCGAAAGAACCAAGAAGATGAATCCCTGCAGTCACGAAAGCTTTAAATCAAGATCTGAGCTGCCTTGGGAGTGCTTCGTCCAGTTGTGGATCGGATCGGCCATGGCTGATGATGGAAACTTCCTCTATACCAGGAGATCTATAGCTTCGATGTGCAAATCATCATAAGCCACGTTTGCATGCAAGCTTGCATGACCCTGTGAGTTTAAATGGATGGCACTTTTGATTTGCGTTGAATGAATAGTGTGCATATTGTTGTTCCTCTTCAGGTTTTGAGATCTTCACGGTGTGAATTGCGCCGACAGTATCCGCTCGTTCTTCGCGAGGGGGACACGTTCTGGAGATGCTTGTGAATGGGAACATTTCGCGGACAGTGGTATTGGCCTACGAATTACCTTCAAGAAATACACAAGCTATGAAAAACAGGAAAATTATGATAACACGAAAAAATTGGTCAAATAAACATAATGTTAATACGAATAAATATTAAAGTATTAAATAATAGTTTATAAATGAACTTACCTTAAATGGTGATGATGATGCTGCTGCGCAGTAGGATGCAGTAATGATGATGCTGACGACGATGACAATGATGATGATCATTGTGATATCGTTCCTGCTCCTATCTCATCACTTTATCGCATCGCTTTCCCTACTCTCGATGCGGTTGTGTGGAGTTCCAGATGCGATTCGCGGATAACAAGTTCGTGAATAACGAGGGAAAGCTGTATTTGTCGCCATGTGTACAGCAATAAGCCGGTGTATTTTAATAAAATTTGACTATAGACAACCTTTTGAAAAGGATTGGTATTTTTTCTGTAATAACATTCATCATGATACCAGATTGAACATGCATTCAAATAAAATAGCTCAACCTTTTTTACGAAAACGAGATGAGGGCGGCAGTGGGTAACACTCCTGTCTCGCAGGCACAAGTGTCTGGGTTCGATTCCCAACTCGGGTGCCTGTGTGGAGTTTGTACGTCATCCCCTCCGTGTTCTGGATGGGTTTCCTCCCATAGCGGAAAGGATCACATTGTAACCGGTAGTGGCCACAACATCGCACGAAAAAATGTACCTGCAATTGCCTACTCAATTGCAATCACACAGCAACATTGGGCCCCCCTCTCCCTGACTGCGAATACTTGGCAGGACCCTCCTGAAAAAGAGTCGAGGCATTGCCTGCGTAAACAAGCAGTAAATACATAAGTGCACTAATATTTTATTAAAAAAACATCTGTAATAGAGTTTTTTTTGGGTTAGGACGCGTAAATATATAAATGTGTCGTTAAAACCCGCCACCACCCGATAGCCAACTAGTAAGGTTTGTCATGTAAACAGAACGTGGCCAATTCGTCACTAGTACAGCACACCGGTTGTGTGTTGGAGAGCCAAGCCACTACATTTACAATCTGAGTACGACGTTTTGCCAGTAATTACAACTCGCTTCATCAGGCGACAGCCAGATTTGTGGAGAAGTCTTACTGTTTCCTTCCTCATATAGAGGCGTAGATGTGGTGGCCACACTTCTGTGCTCTTACGTAAAGTGGGGGGGGGGGGGGGGGGGTTTAATGAGGCAACGTACATTATGCATGTGCATTATGCGAGCCCTTTGATATTGTCCTTCCTGTCTATTGTGTTTATTAAAATAGCCGTATCGATGGTAATCCCTATTGAAACTTTCTCTTTCCCATTTTCAGCAAATAAATTTGGTTCATATTTTTTATATATTCAAATAGATACTTGTGTTTTCTCTTAAAAATATAACACAGACTAAGCATTAATTTAACATTTTAATATCATTTTGGTGTACAAATGAGATAAAAATGTACTCTTTTTAAGATTAATATAAAGTACATTTTAGCCATTTTACCCAAAATGGCATTGAATTTAGTTTTATCCTAAAAATTAAATGTTACATTTCACATTGACACAGCACTCACGAAACCTACGTTTGTTTGACCAATGGAACACGGGCCGATCATTTGACGAATCGCAAATAAAATACCGTTGGGCATACAACATGACAAACCACATTTAGTTCAACATATGAGCGTTATAAAGAGCATTGTCAATTTTCTCATTTATTGTACAGTACTTACAATCAGAAACCACACTCCCAAAACGCTCATGCAATCAATGCAAAGAGCAATCAATGCCGCTGATAAAATGTCATCCTTAAACCCGTCTTCACGTAGTTTTTGATTTAGCAGAAATAATTATGGCTAAATACGGTGTAAAAGATTCATACCCCCGCCCTACAACCCGGTTGATGCCATTACATTTTGCGATTCACGGTCACGATTCGGTTAACTTCCAAAGTTTTCCAGCTAAGGTTGAACGTGTTCATGCGTTCGCTATGTCCGTCCGCAAAGGGAGGGAGGTCGGTGGCACGCTCATGATAAATCCAATACGAATGAAGCTGTAGTGTGAGTAGCTGCGTTGCTGTTTAGAGGACATATCCTGGAGAAACCCGGCCCACATTGGCCCACACTGATCCAAGCGTCAGCTGCACGCACTATGCACCCCCGCCCCCCCTTCCGTTATCATCGCAAAGTCAAAACACTTCTGATGCTGACCCGCGCTTTTTCAATCAATAGCGTTCCAAGAATCCGTGCCGTACGCGCGATGTTTCTTCCCGGTTTAACGTTGTGTTCAATGCAGCGGGCTGCAGGGGGGGTCACGTGAACCCGCCACGTACAGGGTGATCCATTTGTAGACACCCCCACCGCTCCCTAATGACCCTCTTTGAACTTCTTCTCAATAGGTGATGCAAATAGTGCGATGGCCTCGGCGTGTCTTTCGCAGAAGAGCGTTAAGGGGTCTAATAAGCGAACTGAGATGTGCGGGAGACACGTTGAGGCTTCGCGAATCATCTTTTTAAATATTCTGTACGTTAATTTATGCACATTGTTTTAGTGGGTTATCTATGAATGGATTCCCGCTCCCCCCCCCGCCACCCCCGTACATTGAAGAAAAAAAAACTAATGCTTGCTGTCGTTTGTCTCAGATGTGCTCAGGGTGAATAAATTAACGTCTGAAAATGCGCACCCACATACACAAACTTATCGTAAACAAATCACGGTCAAAGGCGCAGCCCCGCAATTTCTCGCTCGCGCCACTGCTGGCGGAAGGGTCTCCCGCTCGAGGAGAGCTCTACGGGCTGTCGGGTCTCCCTGTTCCGCATCAACCGGACGCGTTGCGGAGAGGTTGAAGTACCCACACCGCGCCCCACCACCGCACGAGGCCCGTCTCAGCTGCCGCACGGGGAGATGGGAGCCAACTGGCGACCCTCTGGAGCACGAGTCCAGCGTGCCGGACCCGTTGACACCAGAGGGCAGCGCCTGCAACCCACGGGGCGACCGACAGCGGTGGGCAACCCCTCGCTTGCGCAACTTTGAGTTGCAACGTGCGGAGTGACGCGGGACCTTTGGCCCGCTTCGGTGGCACGGCAGTTTGGCGCAGTGCACAAACCGAATCCGGCGACCCGAGTTCAATTCCCCCGTTCACGGGCAACTGGTTACGGGTCACCCCCCACCCTCCCCCCACACTCCCCCCACCCTGGCCCCGCATTGGCCAGCGCGGTGAAGTATGGTCATACCAACTCCCTAGACAGACAAGGCGTGGAGGTGCCTTCATCCAGCAGTGGATCGAGCAAGGGCTGAAGATTATTCGATATCAAACGTAAAATTATGAAGTAGAGGGCACCATGTGCCATGTAGGATTCGTAATGGCTATTAAGGGAATTGCAATCAATTGGGAGTAACTTTAGTCAACTCTAATTAACTAAGTAATTTATGCTCTGGGCTCCCAGGAGAGCTTGGTGGTACATCACAGCGCAATACGTGTCATGGATAGAATTGGGTCTCACAGCTGTGGTCATAGATGAGCGCTGGTCACCTGAGTAACTGGCTGACGACCAGCATCACAGAGGGTGTTGGTGACTGGGTGGGTGGCTTCGGAGGTTGGCTGGCTATCTGCATGGCTGACTAGCCAGCTAGCTGTCCTGACTGGTTAGTTGACAAGGTGGATGGATGACTGGCTGGATGGCTGACTGGATGACTGGCTGGATGACTGGCTGGATGACTGGCTAGATGACTGGCTGCAATGATTGATTGGACGTGTGAGTGTCTGTGAATGATTAACTGGGTACTTGGATGGCTGTCTGGCAGAGCAGTTGTCCGAGTGGCTGTCTGGCTGTCTGGCTGGCTACTGCACTGCGTGATTGGCCAGGGTGCGTTGACCAGCTGACTTCCAGGCTAGCCGTCTGTATGGATGTTTGCATGGATTGGCGTTTGAGCATTTCGCTGACCGGATCTGTGGCCGTGCAGCTGTGTGAATGAGCGTCGAGCCGAGTGGCTCTGCCGGGGCTGGGCTGGCTATTTACTGGGTCACCGGCCATCTGACCATCTGGCTAACTGCTCGGGTGGCTGTCGGCCCGAGCGGCTGGCTTGCGGTGAAACATGCAAATAAACACTTAGGTGTCTTATTTGGCGTGTGATCATCTTAACACCTCCTGTAGCATTGCCGGAAGGGGTAAAGTCTGTACGCAACGGCCGGGTCGCCGTGCGGCTGCCGCAACTCGACGGGCCTTCCGGCCTGCGTCGGGCCGGCCTGCCCCACCGTCGACCCCTCCACCGCCGCCACCAACCGCCACCAGCCGTCCGTCTGTCCGTCCGTCCGACCGGCGTCGTGAGACACCTCACACGTTGAGCAGCAGGGCGACTCCGGCGAGCACCCACTTGGCGGGGCGCTGCTTGGTGCGCAGGCCGAAGGTCCACACGTAGGTGGGGCCCCGCGCCTTGGTGCGGTACACGGGGCACTCGTACAGGCCGCGCGCCGCCTCCTGCTGCCGCTCGGCGGGCACCGCCCGGACGAACATCACCGGCATCGCAGGCGTCAGCTCCTTGAGGCGGGCCTCGGCCACGAGACCAGCCTGCCCGTCCCACCTGGCGCCTGCGAGGGGTTGCGGAAAAGGGGAGATTGCGTCGCGAACAGCACAACGACGATTAATTCCAGATTTGAAGCTTTCGTGACTGCAAGGATTAATATTCTTAGGTTTTTTCGGTAAAGTCACGTAGTTGAAAAATAAAAATTAATAAAAATAAAATAAAAATCACGACGTTTCGGAGGCAACACAAGCTTCTGTCTTCAGGTGGAACCGTCTCACTTGATACAGCTGTCGTGCTGTGACGGTTCCACCTGAAGACTGAAGCTTGTGTTGCCTCCGAAACGTCGTGATTTTTATTTTATTATTATTTTATTAATTTAAAATTTTTTTACCGACGTGACTTTACCGAAAAAACCTAAGAATAAGCACAACGGCGATTCGCCTTTTGGCGTTCTCTGCTCTAACACTTTGAGACTGGGGGGGGGGGGGGGGGGCGCGTGGGCACAAACGCGCACAACGCGACGGGGAGACTTGCCGAGGGGGAGTGGTTGGGAGGAGTTCTACGTACAGAGACCCTCTGTCAGAATCGGAGTCGGTATTACTGCAGGAGGAATCCGATGAGCCGTGAAGCTCTTTTTTTCACGGATGTTCAGTGGGGGGCACGGGGTCAGAACGTTACGACAACAAACGATGCGAAAACACGACGGCAGTGTGCACAGTATAGGAAAGGTAATAAAAAATAACTGTTAGGCAAAGTCCACTGAGCTATTAGCTTCTTCTTTTCAGAAGCGACCTGGCCACAAATGATAGCTCAACGGAGTGACGATGAAAACATTCTAGGCCCTACGCCTCTCCGGCAATTGCACAGGAGGTGTTAAGACGTTCAAATGCTGAATAGACACACCTATTACATGGCATCGAGTCCGCATTAAGCACACAAAAGCTCGTGGTAATTATTATTGCCGTACAGGGGTGAAGCCTATTCTCTTTTCCACCCTCGACTCTTATTTTACTTGCTTTGCCAATGCCATTTTGGTGACGCGACGTTCACGCTCGCAACTGAGACTCTTCCCTTGTCTCTCGATTTCTCGCCCAGTTACACAAACTCGACCTGCACGTGACCCTCGTCCTGGGAATGGCGAATGACGTTAGGCTGCAGCCGGTGATGGTGTCACCTCAACAACACCGCTGCCCATTGTGCCCACGGCTCAAGAACCGCAGCGTGCAGCGAGCGCGTGGCATTGCGAGGGGGAGAGCGCGAGAGCGTCGTTGATCGGATGCGATGGAGGGAATCTGAGCCAAGGAGCTGCCCTTGGGCAGAACACTCAGCACAGCGGTTATGTATGGATGGTGACGCAGCTGGTGCCCCGATCCGACCTCAATCTCACCACGATCTCACCTCCGTCTTGATGCATATTGGCCCAATCTCGTCCTCAATCTCTCCTCAATCTCTCCCCCATCTCTCCCCCATCTCTCCCCCATCTCTCCCCCATCTCTCCCCCCATCTCTCCCCCCATCTCCCCCATCTCTCCTCTCCCCCCATCTCTCCCCCCATCTCTCCCCCCCTCTCCCCCATCTCTCCCCCCATCTCTCCCCCCATCTCTCCCCCATCTCTCCCCCCATCTCTCCCCCCATCTCTCCCCCCATCTCTCCCCCCATCTCTCCCCCCATCTCTCCCCCCATCTCTCCCCCCATCTCTCCCCCCATCTCTCCCCCCATCTCTCCCCCCATCTCTCCCCCATCTCTCCCCCCATCTCTCCCCCATCTCTCCCCCATCTCTCCCCCCATCTCTCCCCCCATCTCTCCCCCCATCTCTCCCCCATCTCTCCCCCCATCTCTCCCCCATCTCTCCCCCCATCTCTCCCCCCATCTCTCCCCCCATCTCTCCCCCCATCTCTCCCCCCCTCTCTCCCCCCATCTCTCCCCCCATCTCTCCCCCCATCTCTCCCCCCATCTCTCCCCCCATCTCTCCCCCCTCATCTCTCCCCCCTTCTCTCCCCCCATCTCTCCCCCCATCTCTCCCCCATCTATCCCCCATCTATCCCCTCCTTCTCTCCCCCCCTTATCTCCCCCATCTCTCCCCCATCTCTCCCACATCTCGCCCCCCATCTCCCCCATCTCTCCCTCCATCTCTCCCCCATCTCTCCCACATCTCGCCCCCATCTCTCCCACATCTCGCCCCCCATCTCTCCCCCCCTCTCCCCCCCCCTTCTCTCCCCCCATCTCTCCCCCCCTTCTCTCTCCCATCTCTCCCCCCCTTCTCTCCCCCATCTCTACCCCCATCTCTACCCCCATCTCTCCCCCCCTTCTCTCCCACATCTCTCCCCCATCGCTCTGTCCATCTCTCCCCCATCTCTCCCTCCCCCCGATCTCTCCATCCCCGTGATCTCTCCACCCCCGCACCTTCCATGAAGAGGCCGTGCACGTAGGCGCCCTCGCGTGGCGCGTGCCCCACGTCGTCCTTGCCCTTCTTGGTCACGTCCACGGCGAGGGTCATCCGGTCCAGCGGCCACTCGTTCCTGCGCGCAGCTACCTGCATGATCGCTGCACCGCCCCAACGACACCCGTTACCACGGGCGGTTAATCGTGGGCTTGGTTTATGGGCGGTAGATCGTGGGTTTGTTAATGGGTGGTCAATCGTGGGTTTGGTTTATGGGCGGTCGATTCTGGGTTTGGTTTATGGGCGGTCGATCGTGGGTGGACTGCGTGGACCTCCCCGAGTCTGTGTTCGCGTTGGGGCCGCGCCGTGAGGAGGAGCGTCCCCTACCCGTCAGGAAGGACTGCGGGTTGAAGAAGCCGGAGAGCCACACCACGGCCGGTAGCGCCAGATCGTGCGTCCACGTGTCCAGCTCACGGCATCGCAGCAGCAGATCCGCGAACCTGGAAGCGCATTCCCACCGCGCACACACACACATACAAGAGCGCCGTGTGGTGACGTCACCGCCGCTCGGTGGCGAATGGCGGCTGTTGTTGTTTATGTTTGTTGTTGATGTTGTTGATGGTTGTTGTTGATGTTTGTTGTTTATGTTTTTTGTTTGCTGCAGGAGGCTGCGTACCACCGCGCCAGGCCGTAGGTTGACGGGTAGGCCAGCTTGGTCCATGAGTCGGGAACCAGGTCGTAAAACAGAGCATTCTGCAGCCTCTCCATCTCGGCTGATATGGTCAGCTCACCCTGACGCAAAAAAATAATGCCCCAAAAATATATACACACACACACAATTATATTTACATTTGTAGTAATTTCATCAGAGAACCACTCCAAAATGCCTTAGAATAAGAATTCGAACGGACGACCCCAACTTTCCCTCCCTCTTCCCCTCCTTTTTGTTGATTGTCCGTCGCTGCATCGGGCTCTTGTTGGGAACCAGAAGAATATGAAGAAGAAGCAGAATAAAGACGGTCTCGCGTCACCCGTTGTCACCTTGAGGCCCAGGTCGAGCTCGTGCAGCGAGCGGCGCACCTCCCCGAGGAGCAGGTTCATGCGCTCGCACTCCTGGAAGCAGACAAGCACGAAGGGCGAGCGCTCCGCCGTCTTGCCCATCACCTCCGCCATGTGGAACTCCTCGGGCAGCCTCTCCACGATGTCGTCGAGGACGCCCTTCACCTGCGAGACGCGGAGAAGCTCCCGGTGATCCACAACGGTCGTCACGCATGGCACCAGCGAGAGGAAGGAACAAACTCGCTCGCCCACGCGCTCGCTGACACACTCGCTCACTCGTTCTCACTCAATCACATCAGTCGTTCACTCACTCACTCACTCATGCACTCACTCGCCCACCCATTAAGTCATGCGCTCACGCATTCACCCACTCACTCACTCACCCAGGTCAGTCTGGACGACACCTCTTCCCGTAACTGCGCTACGTTTCCAGCGCAATTAAAATAAAAAATCAGCCGTGCCATGGTCTCTCCTATTCCGTCTCCTTTGTTTATTCCTTCTTGTCCTTTATTCAGCTGGGAGATGAAATAAACCCAACTGCTCTCGCTCATCTAAAGCACTATAGGGTCGTCGGTGGGTTCCCCCTCCTCCGCAACATGACCCCACGACCCCCACGACCTCACAATCCCCACGACCCCACAATCACCACGACCCACATGACACCCATGACTCCCATGACCACGTGACCCTCATAACCCCACGACCCCCACACACAACCGCCCACGACCCCCACACACAACCGCCCACGACCCCCACACACAACCGCCCACGACCCCCACACACAACCGCCCACGACCCCCACACACAACCGCCCACGACCCCCACACACAACCCCCCACGACCCCCACACACACACAAACGCCCACGACCCCCGGGCCTGACCTTCTCCTCGGCCGTGCCGGCCGCCCCCTCCCCGCCGGCGTTGTCGCGCGGCTGCAGCTCGAGCAGCGTGCGGAAGAGCGCCGAGGAGGTGAGGGTGAGGAACTCGATCTCGGCGTTGGGGTGCAGCCCGTAGAGCGCGGGGCTCTCGGGGGGCAGGCATTCGTCCACGTAGCGGTGGTAGCCTGGGTAGTCCAGGTTCGGCGGGGCCAGGAAGCCGGGCGCCAGGGAAAACTCGCCATCCAGCTTGCGGAGGAGGTGACGGAGTGGGGGGCGGGGGGGAGGGGAGCGGGGGAGGGGGCAGGCGGCCGAATCAGCGCTCGGCGCAAGTGAGCCAAGAACCGAGCCGAAGCTCAGGGACCCCAAGCAGATCGAGAGGACCCTGGATTCGTGAGGATAACATTGGGGTTGCGCCAAATTTTCAGCTCAAAATGTCAACACGAAGCGTGTCCCATCGGTTCCTCCTCATGGCGCCTCCGAGTCGTCCTCTCTCTCTCTCTCTAGCATTCGCCCGTTCCCCGAGTACCACTGCGCGGTGGCGCCCCGCTCCAAGTTGAAATAATGATTCACAGTGCGCGTGAATGAGCGCGGGATGCTCGCCCGCCGGCCACGTCAAAGTCCTGGCGACGGTGGCCGTCGGCGGCGGGCGCACCACCGATTACCGCGGTTGGCTGATGTACGGCGCAAAAGAAGCTCAACAGGCGTACACACACACACACACAAAGACAAAAGACAAAGATCCCCCGTATAGCCTTAACAGACTATATGGACAAGTGCTGTTAGCGAGTTGCACCTATGAAGGCCGGCACGGCACACGAGAGTGGTGGGTGGCCAGCACCACGCCCGGCCGCCTTTGTACCCCTAGTGACGATGTTTTTACGCACCGCACCAGGTACTCATTTGAGGCTGAGTCGACCTAGGGGAGGCCCAGAACCGGTTCAGATAATAATCACTGGTATTGACCGTGAGTGGAAATCAAACCCGGTTCACCAGGGTCGTAGCGCAGCGAGCTAACCGCTACACCACCACTCCCCAAGATACACACACACACGCACACACACGTACACACACGTACACACCTGTTCGGGGTGCACCAGCTCCTGCAGGTAGGCACGGCAGAGGCGCCGGTCCCAGTCGTCCGTGATGTGGCCCCCGTACATAATCTCGCCGAAGAGGTAGCGCAGGTCCTCCCACGGCACCTGCGCACGTGTAGCAGGTGCAGCATGTTGACGACAGCCACCCTGAACCCCCACCCCGCTGTGAAACGAGCGTTCAGAGCATTGGGCTGCTGCTGTACATGTCCACGCGATGACAAGCCACTTCGTTGGGCTATCATTTGTGGCCAATGGCGCTTCTGAAAAGGAGCGACGTAGCTCATTGGGCCTTTGCTGGTGCAAAAAAAGATAAAGAAATATGTGGGTGACGAACGGGACGCCGTGAGTAGGAGGCACCCGACTTCCTCGTGCCGGGCCCGCACGGGATTGGCGCGGCGCCGGTCGACATGTATCGTGCTCGCGGTGGGTGCGTGCGGTGGCCGTGGTCCGTGTGATGCGGTGCGGTGCCGGTGCCTTGGCGTTGGCCTCCAGGTAGTTGTAGAGCACGTTGCACGAGATGGTGAGGTCGCCCGTGTTGAACGGGTAGCTGCGGTTCCAGCCCTGGGGCCCGAATTTGCGGCGCTCGGCGACGCACGCGTGGAAGTAGCAGAGCGAGAAGAGGAGGCTCTTGAACTCGTGCTCGCGCGTGCACGTCTCCAGCGTGTCCTGCGTGGCAGAGAGACCCGGGGGCCGCAGCGTTACACTCCGCCCCGCCTCGCGGCGCCAGCGCGGGGCGCTGCCCGAGTCCGGGGACGCTCAGAGCGCCGTCTCTCTGCTCTGACAGACGGACGGGCGAATGACGGACGGACGAAGCCACCTGGTCGAAGTTGAGCAGCGCTGCGTGGAGGTTGGCCATCATGCCCGAGGGCGGCTCGTTGGTGATCTTGACGGAGCTCTCCAGGATGCCCTGCGGGATGACGTGCTCCGAGGGCTCGGCCGCCGGCTCGGCGCTGATGAACACCCGCAGCTCGGGGCTGCTGCCCCCGTCCTCGTCGCCCAGACGCTCCAGCAGCTTCTCCAGCGTGCCCAGCCACCGCGACACCAGGTGCACGTTCTGCAACAATCAACACGTGGGTGGGCACTCCGCTGTCGCCAAGCCTCCCCTACCCGTGTCAGGCCTACACCGGTTGCCCGCCTAACGTCGCTGTCCGTTCACACTTCTCAACTCCAGTCGACGAACACCTCCGTGGTCTTGCCTCACCGCTACTTGCTTCTTCCGTCTCTTGCTCATCTGTCCCACCCCGTCCTCTACGCTCCCGGTCTCTGCCGCCCAAAAGCTACCCGGCACGCGCTCCCGGCCGCCGATGGTTGCCCAACGTTGCCACGGCAACCGGGGGGCGCGTCGCTCCTGGGGGGGGGGGGAGAGAGAAGGGGGGGGGATGGGGGATGGGGGGGGGACCGGACCTGCAGGATGACCCAGTGGCCTTCGCGAGCCGCCCGCTCCAGGGCCTCCTCGGCCACCGCCTCCTGTCCCTGGCCCAGCGAGATGTTGTGCAGCTTGCCCGAGTCGATGGTGAAGCCCAGTTTCTTGCCTGCGAGCGAGGAAAGACGAAGGCCTGACGACCCATTTTGTTTTGTTTTCCCGACCGGCACGATTCCGGGCCGCCGAGACGGCGCAGGGCAGCACGCGGCCCTCACCCCCTCCTCCCCCCACCCATCTCCGATGGCACGGGTCATTTTTTTTTTTTTCCATGCTGGCTGTTTGCCGTGCCGAACCGGAACCAAATCGTGCTATGCTGTCCTCACGAGACATCTGAATCTGGCTCGGGAGTCAAAAAAACTCGAAAAAACTTTTGTAACTCTTGAAACAATTACATTGTTTTTACTTACTTACCAGGTAAGGCCCCAATGAGCTGTGGAGCTCTTTTTCAGAGCTTGACGAAGTTGCTTATTATCATCACGTGGATATTTGAACCTTATAGCGGGACCCCGGGGTCCCGCCATAAGGTTAATTTATAGCAGCCAAATACTCTAAATACGTGATGTTGATTCTAAATGCGTAGGGGAAATCCATCGATCCAGCAGTGGACAGAGCAAAGGGCTCACGATGAAACACCGCCACCACTACCGCCATCGCCGCCATCATCAATATCATCGTCGTCGTCACTGGATGGACAGCCTTCACGCTAATCGCTCCGACGTCCCGAGACGAGGAGGGGCGGGGGGGGGGGGTCACCGCTCTCCCGCACCGAGGCTCTCGACGTCCTTGAGGGGGTCGACGCCGGGCGAGAGGACGAAGAGGAGCGGCGTGCCCGGGCCGCTCTCCTCGTACGACGCGGCAAAGTCCGCGGCGCGCGCCTCCACGTACTTCGCCCCGAGCTTCTCCTCCACGAAGTTCCTTTGGTTTTTTGCCGGGAAGGAAAAACCACGAAGATGGAGGAGGGCCGACAAGTCGTCAGCATGGGACACGAGAGCCCTCGACGAGAAACCCCCCACGGGATAGACCCCCCCCCCCATCCCCCGGTAAAGGGCAGCAGCGAAGCGAACAGAAGTCGGCACAACAACAACAATAACAACAATAACAACAACAACCGTGCAGACGAAAGACAACACTGGTCAACAAAAAAAAACATTTCTGGCCTGGACTTTTGCAGCTGTTTTAGACTAATTTCAGGGTGCTGATTCCTAATCTGATGTCAGATTTGCTCTATCACATCTCATTTTTATGCTATCGGCACACCCCATTTCCATTGATTTTACCCGAAATTAACTCTGTCACTTATGATTGCAAGTTGTTGCGAGTCAGTGACTGCTTTAGTCTTAAAATATGGTGCTGTATTTTTAGGATAGTGTGTTTATAATATAATTTTATGTAGATATCCACATTTATTTCCTATTTTTCTTCTGCAGTTTTTATTGAAAATTCAATATTTAATATCTCATAAACCTGTTGTGATAGACAACAACTGATGCCAGATTTGGAATCAGCACCCCAAAATTACATTAAAACCGTTGGAATACCTTATGCCAGAAGAAGTGTGTTGACCAGTGCAATCGGAGAGAACGCCGGTTGCCAATTGACTCAAGCGACAGTGGAGCAGGACACTGCTGCCACCGTCGTCGGAATCAGAATATTTATTTACAACTGGAGGAATCCGATGAGCTATAAAGCTCTTTTCACAGATATACAAAAACATGACAGGAGTGCAAAGTATAAGAAAGGTAAACAAAATTTGACAAATAAAACTAAACTATTTTTTTTATCCTACGAGATAAAGCCCACTCGGCCATTAACTTATTTTCAGAAGCGACCCAGCCCACAAATGACAGCTCAATAAAAGCGGCCCAAATTATCGAAACAACCTAAACGCACGCTACTAAATGCGGAGGGGGAATAAACCCCGGAGGACCCATAGAAAAAAAATCCACGCAAACTCCAAACCCACAGGCGTCACAGGGTCGGGATCGAACCCCCCGCCACGGCGGTGTTGGCGGCGGCGGTGGCGGTGGTAGCGTCTCACCGGATGGCGTAGGTCATGCGGTCGGGCCGTAACGCGCGGATCATGATCAGCTTCTGCAGCGGCGTTTTGTTCTTCCAGTCCTGGGGCAGCCGCTCTTTCTCGGGAGCCTCCGACTCCACAAACTTCTTCCAGCGCTTGGCCGAGCCCTCGATGTCACGGTCGAGGCCGCGGAAGTCGTCCGTGAGCGACATGGCCTGCGGGGAGCGAGCGCACGGCATCAGCGGCGGCGGCGGTTGCGTCAACGGCACGCGAGACACTCGCCGCACGTCTGCACGTGCGGCGCTTTGGTCGGTCAGCTGATGGACGGGGCTAGGGTCTCGCCCGCTCGGGTCACGGGGGGTTATTGTTTGTTTGGGAGGGGCGGGGGGTTATCAGTCCTTCTGTCGGTCCCATCATCCGTTCTCTTCTTTATGTTCACAAGTGGGAGCAAGTGCACCTGCCTGTTTATCCGTCTTCCCAGCCAGTCCCAACTGGGAGGTCATCTCTCTGTCCAACTTTCAATCCAAACGTCCACTCTTTCCGTGAGTCTGTCTATCTCTCTGTCAATCAGTGGGAATGGCTGCATCTGCCTGTGCTGATCTGTCTGCCCGCACCTCCGATTACCACGGTTTGCTACGTACGGTGCGAAAGAAGTTCAACATGCATATATATATTTATCCATCTATCTGTTGATCTGTCGGTCTGTCCATGTCGCTTTTTCATCTATTAGGCTGACCATCTTTCTGTTCATTTGATCATCAATCCATGAGTCTGTCTCGATCCATCCATGTATTTCTTTGTTCATCTCTTTGTCCGTCTCTCTGTCCACCTGTCCGTCCGTCTCTCTGTCCACCCGTCCGCTGCCCGTCACCCCACGAGCGGGCCTCTCCGCGGCGCCGCACCTTGATGGCGCTCCATGCTTGCTCTGAGAGAAACTCCACGGGGCTCGAGTAGCTCTGCTCGATGTTGAAGCGCAGCAGGAAGTCCAGCTCGCCAGCCTCAATCTCCTTGTTCACGAGCAGGATCTGCGGCGGGGGGCGTGGATTAGCGAGGGCGGTCGAAAAACGTCTCCGTCGGATGCCGCCGAAAACTTCGGGACCGGTGGCGCTGCCCAACGTGGTCGGTCGGACACTCGGAGGTCGGAGACGCTGACGGCCGGAAGTCCGGCACATCTATTCCCGGGTGGCAGGAACCGATCTGTACCCAGCCCCGGGTGGCATTGCGTTGAACCTTGTCGCAGTGGTGCATTGCGCAGGTGGCAACGCACGCTAGCGACGGGTACGGAGATAGCAACGGGATGGGGTTGGGAATGGGACGGGATGGGATGGGAATGTGACGGGACGGGTACAGGATGGAACGGGGACAGGACAGCATGGGACGGGACGGGCACCTGGAAGGCGGTCTGTGCGGCGAACGTTAGCTTGTCGCGCTCAAACAGCCCGCGGCTGGTGTAGACGAAGACGGAGTGCGTGATGCAGTCCGTGAGGTGCAGCACCCGCTCGTGCACGTCGTCCGAGGCCACCGCCCGGTCCATCGCCTTGTGGAACACCGCCGTGAAGGCCTGCGTGCATGCGTGTTGCGTATGTTTGTGGGGAGCGGTGGTGTAGCGGTTAGCGCGCTGCGCTTACGAACCTGACAACCCGGGTTCGATTCCTGCTCACGGCCACCAATACCTGTGACGATTATCTGAACCGGTCCTGGGCCTCCCCTAGGTCGACTCAACCTCAAATGAGTACCTGGTGCGATGTGTAAACATCGCCACTAGGAGACAAAGGCGGTCCGGCGTGGTGTTGGCCACCCACCTCCACGTGTGCCGTGCCAGCCTTCATAGGTGCTCGCTAATAGCACTTGCCCCTACAGTCTGTTAAGGCTACACGGGGGATCTTTGTCTTTGTTTGTGTACAAGCGCGCGTGTGTGGAATGGGACGGGAGTGGTAGTGTAGCGGGCTATGCATGTGTGTGTGTTGAACTTCTTTCGCACCGTACGTAGTCGACCATGCTAATCAGAGGTGTGGGGTGAGAACAACAAACGAGCGTGCTGCGCTGTGAACCCCGTGACCCGAGTTCGATACCTGCTCGCGGCCAAAAGCAGCGAAGATTACCTGAAATGCTTCTGGGACTCCCCTAGGTCGACTCCGCCTCAAATGAGTACCGACTGCAATGTGTAAACATCGCCACTGGGCAGCTGGGAGTGGTGTTGGCCACCCACATCCTCGTGGACCATACCGGCCTTCATTAGTGCTCCCTAAACAGCACTTGCTCCAAAAGTCTGTTAAAGGCTATACAGGGGATATTTTCCTTTGTGTGTGGGCACTGTTGGCGCAGAGAGTACAGGTGGCACATCTTTTTATGAAAAAAAAAATTCAACCGAGTTACTGATGATAGCCATCAACGGGAATTCAAACTCGAGTCGCCAGGTTCATAGCGCAGTGCGTGAACCACTACGCCACCACGCTCCACACACAACACAAATATCCCCGGTATAGCCTTAACAGACGCCCCACACACACACACGCACACAGATACAGAAACACACACTGGCCACTATCAGCACCAGTGCCACCTCCACCCTCCTCCCTCCTCCCTCCCCCCCCCTCCGCACCTTGAGGGAGAACTGGTAGATGGGGTTGATGGAGTTGAGGTCGTTGATGATGAAGAAGAGCAGGGAGGAGCGCACGGCCACCGCCCGGTACAGCTCCCGCGCCTCGTTGATCCTCAGCTCATTCACCTTGGCCTCCAGCACCTGCCATCGTCATCATCGTCGTCACGGACACTGCGAGCGCCGCTCATTAGGCCGCGCGAGCGTGGCTATCGAGCGTGCGGGCGGTGTGACGGCATTACGGAGAGGAGCGGGCGGGCGAAATTGGGCAGGGAGGGGCAGCCTCATTTTATTCCCGGTCGCCGGGGACCCGCGCGCCGACCTCGCTACGCCACCGCAGGTCACGTGGGTGTGGTGGGGTAAAGTGTGGGTGCTCACAACTCTTCCAAGATGTCTGGACAATGTGGAAGAGAAGGTCAAAATACCGTCCCTCTTGGAGGAGGGCTCTCTAGACACTGCCTCTTGTAAAGGCCATTTCGCCAGCCCAGGAACGGCCCAGGAATTGATCACGAATGGCTCGGGAATGGCCCAGGAATAGCCGAGGAATGGTCCAGGATTGGCCCAGGAATGATTAGGGAACACCCAAACACGCCCTAGTCGTCTGTCCCCATGGCTCGGTTAATAGAAATGAGGCCCCATGATCTCAGTCCCATGATCACCTCTTTTCCCCTTGCCAGGGCAGTGGTGGGGTAGCAAAATATATACACAAAAATATAAAATCCTTATTCCACTGTGGGTTTACACTTAATTCCTGTGGTTTTGTGGTTACTTTGTTTTGTCTGTCTGACTGTTTGCCCCTCTGTCTGCGTCTGTTACTTCACATGTCTGTTTTTCAGTCAGTCTGCCTTTCTCTATTTGCCTGTCTGTGTGTCTGTCTTGTTCGGCCAGGCCAAGTTGCCGGGTGAGCGCTAGCTCCCTCCAGTAGAAGCGTCGTGCTTGCACCGGGTCAGCTCATCTCCACGCTCAATTCACTCACTCCCCACTTGCTCCCTCCCCACTCCCTCCCTGCTTCCTCCCCACTCACTCCCTGCTCCCTCTCTGCTCCCTCTCTGCTCTCCACTCGCCCTCTCCTCACTCACTCCCTTCCAACTTCTAACTCGCTCCCTCCCCGCTCCGTGCTTGCCGCTCGCACTCCCCCTGCTCCCCACTCCTTCCCTCCCCGCTCCCTCCCTGCTCCCCGCTCGCACCCTCCCCGTTCCCCGCTCCCTCCCTGCTCCCCGCTCCCTCCCTGCTCCCCGCTCGCACCCTCCCCGTTCCCAAATTTCCTCCCTGCTCCCCCCCCCGACCCCTCGCTCCCCCCCCCCGACCCCTCGCTCTGCGCTCGCCTTGGCCTCGATGTCGGCGGCCGTGCGCTTGGTCTCCTCGAGCTTCTCCACGAGCTGCGTGTCGCCCAGGAAGCTTCCGTGCGCTGCCGAGAGGCGCGTCAGCAGCTCGTCCTCCAGCTGCTTCAGCTCGATCTTGAAGCTGTTCTGCTGAGTCGTCAGCTCCGACTGAAGCCGCCCGCCGCCACGCGTGCACATGCACACGGGCACACGCGCACACGCACACACGCACACACGGGCACATACGCACACGGGCACATACGCACAAGCGCATACGTGAGCACACACGCGCACACGGGCACAAGCACACACGCACACGCGCACACACGCACATGCGCACACGGGCACAAGCACACACGCACACACGCACACGGACACAAGCACACACGCACACATGCACACGGGCACAAGCACACACGCACACGCGCACACGGGCACAAGCACACACGCACACACGCACACGGGCACAAGCACACATGCACACGCGCACACGGGCACAAGCATACACGCACACGCGCACACACGCACACGGGCACATGCACACAAGCACACACGCACACGGGCACAAGCACACAAGCACACACGCACACGGGCACACGGGCACAAGCGCACAAACGCACATGGGCACGCAACAACGATCAAAGATCCCCCGCATAGCCTTAAACAGACTGTTGGGGCAAGTTCTGTGAGTGCAGTGGCGATGTTTACACACCGCACGCGGTACTCATTTTCGGCTGCTTTAACTTAAAGGGGAGGTCCAAGGACCCATTTGGATGTCACCTGCCACGGACATTAGCCACGGACGGGAATTAAACTCAGTCTGCAAGGTTCAAGTAGAAAATTAAGGCCTACAATTACCTTCCAATTCCTCAGGACATTGGTTCGCTCCCGACCCTGACGCCTGTACATTTGGAGTTAAACTCTAAAAAGATTTTTATGCTACCAGGTAAGGCCCATGGAGCTATATGGCTATTCTTTTCAGAAGCGACCTGGCCACACATGGACGCTCAACGAAGTGGCTTACTGCGTAGGAAATTTACAGCGGCCAAATACTCTAAATGCACGTTGATTTTAAACATGGAGGGAAAAACCGGAGGATCCGGAGAAAAATCCACGTGACCACAGGAAGAGAAAGAGATGCGCAAACTCCAAAATATCCAGCAGCAGGCATCAGGATCGGGATATAACCCACGACCTGTGTACCAGGCGAGGTAGTTAACATCTCCTAGCCGCCATGATGATGACGAGAGAGAGACACGCAAACTCCAAATATACAGCAGCAGACATCAGGGTCTGGATCGAACCCACGACCTCCTGTGTACCAGGCGAGGTAGTTAACATCTCCTAGCCGCCATGATGATGACGAGAGAGAGACACGCAAACTCCAAATATACAGCAGCAGACATCAGGGTCTGGATCGAACCCACGACCTCCTGTGTACCAGGCGAGGTAGTTAACATCTCCTAGCCGCCGTGATGATGATGAGAGAGAGACACGCAAACTCCAAATATACAGCAGCAGGCATCAGGGTCTGGATCGAACCCACGACCTCCTGTATACCAGGCAAGGTAGTTAACATCTCCTAGCCACTGTGATGATGATGAGAGAGAGAACACGCAAACTCCAAATATACAGCAGTAGGCGTCAGGGTCTGGATCGAACCCACGACCTCCTGTGTACCAGGCGAGGTAGTTAACGTCTCGCCCAAAAATGACAAACGACAACGGGAGGGGGAAGGGGGGCGGGGGGATGGGGGAAGGGCGGCCTCACCTTCTCCCCTTCGAGGTCGGGCCGCTCGCGGCTGACGACGCGGCCCAGCAGCTGCTCCTCGAGGCCGTCGCGCGTCACCGTGAAGTTGACGAGCGTCGTCTGAGCCTGCAGCTCGGGCCGGTAGTGCGGGTTGGCCAGCTTGGTGTGTAGCACCAGCCGGAAGTCCGGGTGGTACTCGCACTCCTTGTCGCCGATCTTGATGAACCTGGGAGGGGGGAGGGGGGGATGAGTGGGGGGGTTCTCCGCGTAGGGGGCAGCCGGTGGCCCAAACGGCGTCTCCCCGAGTGGCTCTTTAATAATCCACCTCGTGCGGTGGATCTATCGACGGGGCATGCCGTAGAACCGTAACTGCCACGGCAGTAGCAACGAATAATGAAATGTCTTCCGTGCTGTGCTGAGGACTGCTGACATGTATATGAATGCGCTTATATATATGTACACTCTTGGCTCTTTGTAGAACTCGCGGGGGAATGTTTTGCGCTTGGTCTGTTATAGGTTGGCCACCCCTGCCGTCGGCTTTCGCGACCAATATGAATCATAATCGCATTTTGTTTCGGGGTGAGATCGCGTGAATTGTAAATGCGTTGTTAACCCTTTTCCACTGGGACGCTGGCTCCCCTAGGTCCACTCGGCCTCAAATGATTGCCTGGCGCGGTGTGTGTCGTAAACATCGCCACTGGGGAGACAAAGGCGGCTGGGAGTGGTGCTGGCCGCCCGCCTCCTCCGTGTGCCGGCCTTCGTAGGTGCTTCTCGCTAACGTCGCTTACCCCATAAATCTATTAAGGCTACATGGGGGGGGGGGGGGGGTAATCTCGTGAGATGTTAACTACCTCGCCTAGTAAACAGGAGGTTGTGGGTTCGATCCCGACCCTAACCTCTGTATATTTGGAGTTTGCATGTTCACTCTCCCCGTGATCGCGTGGATTTTTCTCCGGGTCCTCCGGTTTTCCCCTCCACATTTAGAATCAACATCATCACGCGTTTAAAGTAGTTGGCAGCTATTTATTTCCAAGCTCTTCGGCAAGCTATCATTTGTGGTAGCCAGGTCGCTTCTGAAAAAAAACTACATAGCTCAGTGGACCTAACCTGATAGAATAAAAAAACAATTGTTGACTTCAGTAGTTCATACTCTTTGGTTCTTTCGGTAAAGTCACGTAGGTATAATTTACTAACTACGTGACTTTACCTAAAAAACCAACGAGTATGGATTCCTGCAGTCACGAAAGCTTCAAATCAAATTGAGTAGTTTAATTATAGATTTGAAGTTTTTGTGACTGCAAGGGTCCATACTCTTTGTTTTTTTCAGTAAAGTCACTTAGATAAAAAAAGGAAAATAAATTAAATCACGAAGTTTCGGAGGCAACACAAGCTTCCGTCTTCAGGTGGAACCACTTGATACAGCAAAATTAATGATACAGTAATTACTGATATAGTCATTTTAGTATTACTGATACAGCAATTTTGCTGTGACGGTTCCACCTGAAGACGGAAGCTTGTGTTGCCTCCGAAACGTTGTGATTTAATTTATTTTCCTTTTTTTACCTACGTGACTTTACCGGAAAAACCAACGAGTATTGAGTATCTTCTTGGTTCTTTCGTCACGTAGAATGGAAATAATAAAATAATAAAAATAAAACATAATAAAATAATTCTCACGACGTTTCGGCACAACGCAAGCAGCCGTCCTCAGGTGAAGAACAGGTCTGTATTGAGTAGTTGAGTTTGTCTTGCTTCCCCCAACACCACTCACTTTCCCTTCTTGATGCTGTTCCTGCCGAGCAGCGGGTCAAGCACGGGGTCCACCGTCTCCTCCAGGTTCTCGATGAGCACCGTCTCACCCGCTGCCATCGCTCGCTCGATCACGTCCAGGTACCTTCGCAGGACAGAGAAGTGGCCCCGCCGTGAGTGTTCGCGCCAGAGCGGAAATTCTCGGGGTGTCGGAGCTCGGGCGTGATCAGAGTTCCAGAGCGCCGGCACTGCTGAGACCCCCTCCCCCCCCTCCTCCCCACCGACCCCGCCGAGTTGGAACACAGCTTCCGGCCGTCCACCGTCGTTCAGCCAAGTTCCGGAGCGTAGGGAGTTCATGGCAAGTACGGGGGGTCTGTCCTGTGCTTGCCGAGCTGCACTAGCAGCTTCTGGTTGCCGAACAAAGACGTCACGAGGCGGCGCTCATTACACACGGAGAGTGCTTGCCACAAGTGAACCACGATACCTTGCTAACGTCGTCAAGGGCATGAACCATCTGGCAGCAGCAGGTTTCGGCTCCCCGTCGAACAAAGACGGTCACCGCATCGCGCGCTTTCAGGTGCGCTTCTGCGGCCGTCTGGAACGCTCTGCCTTCCGATATTTAGGAAGCCACTGCAGCTGTGCACTTTTAAATCATCATATCGATCGAAAACTAATCTCATTAGAACTGCTTTTTGAGTTTAGTTTGCTGTGCTTCCCCCGCGCCTTCGATGAGCGCGGTTTGCTACGTACGGTGTGAAAGAAGTTCAACATAGGTACGATCGCTCCGCCGGCTCGTCCTTGCAACGTACAGTAAGTGTGCTGAACTTCTTTCACACCGTACGTAGCCAACCCCGCTAATCGGAGCTGCGGGGCGGCGGGGAGGGAAGGACAACAAACATCCCCACGAGACAACGATGAGGAGGAAGAGACGAGAAGAGAGCTACGTGGGCGGTCGGGGGTGCGGTGTGTGGTGGGGTGGGGGTGCGTCGTCTCACCCCTTCTGCCCAAGCCGCACGATGCGTAGGCGTGCGCCGAAGTGGCCGCGGACCCACCGCGCCGCCTGCAGCTGCGGGTCGACGAGCAGCGGCCAGCGCTGGCACGCGGCGAGCAGCGCGGCGTTCTCCGTGGACATGCGGTCGCGCGGCAGCCCCTCGTTCTGCCAGCTCGCGACCGTCGCGCCGTCCGTCAGCACGCTCACGGGGTCCAGCCCCTCGCTCATCGGGATGGGTACCTGCGGGTGCAACGGGTGGGTCGGCGCGGATGGGCATATCTCGGGCGGTTAACCCTCCCCGCGTTACGATGATGCACGCGTACAGCGTCGGTTTCTCGCGTACGTCGTCGTGACGGAATCAGAAGAAGAAGGCCACGCGGGGGACGCGCGCGTGGCAGACAATGTTGGCGGCAGCTGTCGTGGAATGCGGTCGGTCGTGTCGCTACGGTTCTCTGCAGTGTGCAACAACGCCTTTAAAAACAACGGCGCCACTACTGCAATACGCCTCTCTGAATTAAACGAACACCGATACCGCTTGCCCGGGTCTGTCCCGTGCAGAGGCGTAGCTAGGGGGGGGTGCAGGGGGGTACATATGTCCCCGGGCGCCAAGGTAAAGGGGCGCCAAAATGAGGCTTACAACGTTACATTATAACTTGTTGCGGCGGGCGCGGCAGCCTGAAACTACTGCACACATCTACACCTCAACCTAAAAGTTTATATTTCCCGCCACACACAGCCTACATATCATGTAATTACATTTTGGTATGTGATTAAACGGGGGGGGGCGCCAATTTTATAGTTCGTCCCCGGGCGCAAAATATCCTAGCTACGCCACTGGTCCCGTGATCTCCCATCAGCAAGCGAACTTTCCCCACTCCACGCGAGCATTCCCCTCCTCCTGGCACAAGCGCCGCGGCGAGGTCGCCCACCGCCACCGAGTGCCCGAATGCCGGCCCTCGTTGCTGTTGCGTGCGTGTGCGCTCGCTTATATGTGCATGAGCGCGTGTGAGAAGCGGTTGGCGCATCGGTTAGCGCGCTGCGCGACCAAACCGGTGACCTGGGTTCGATTCCGGCTCACGGCCAACATCGGTGATGAATAATTATTGAATCGCCGGGCCTGAGCCTCCCCTAGGTAGACTCAGCCTTAAATGAGTACCTGTGTGTGGCGTTGAAACGTAGGCCATTGGGGGCCCCAGTGTGTGTGTGCACTCGTGCGAGCGTCAGTGGGAGCCGAGTTGACTGCCGGGGCACAACGCATTCCAACATCGCGTCGCCCAACCAGAGGTGGGATTGACGCCGACGATGCTGACGACATTGATGACGTTGATGACGACATTGATGACGACATTCATGACGACGTTGATGACGATGTTGATGACGACATTGATGACGACATTCATTATGACATTCATGACGACATTGATGACGACATTCATGACGACATTGATGACAACATTGATGACGACATTGATGACGACATTCATGAAGACATTGATGACGACATTGATGACGACATTGATGGCGACATTGATGATGGCATTCATGATGGCATTCGGGACGACACTGATGACGACATTGATGACGACATTGATGACGACATTCATGACGACATTCATGACGACATTCATGACGACATTCATGACGACATTGAGGTTGACGAAGAGTCGGTCAGGGCACCTTCTGGGCACGGAGGAAGGGCCCCCACATGCCGTCGAGCAGCTCCTGGCGGTAGCGCTTGGTGAAGTAGCCCAGGTAGGAGACAAAGGCGGCCGTGAGCAGCACGTCGCCGCACAGAGTCCGCTCCTGCACCCGGAACTCGGCCACCGACTGAGCCCACCGCACCTTCTCCGACTGCATACCAACCCGTCAGTCAGTGAGTCGGTGGGTCGGTCGGTTTATTTCGGGGAAGCCCACTGAGCCAAGAAGCTCCTGTCACAGGCCGCGTAGAACGGCTGACCGGACGGGCGCGAGCACGTCACACGGGAAGGGAGGGCTTTGCAGGGGGTGTGCAGAACAACGGCAGGGACAATTCATAAACATGACTCATCAACAACAGTAATGATAAAATATTGAACAATCAGAACGATCTTCATGATTCTTTCGGTAAAGTCACGTAGAAGGGAAATAATAAAATAATAAAAATAAAACATAATAAAATAATTCTCACGACGTTTTTGGCCTTAATCTAAGTTGTCTTATGGTTGTTGTTGTTGTTGTTTGACTTGCATCCCACTGGGATTTTTGCACACAGCGTTGGTGTACGGTGTTTTTTTCTGCAATATTTTGCTGTCTTTTCTTGGATTTTCTGTTTGCACTTAGTCACATATTCACTTTAAGATGTTTTTTGTTCATGTTTTTTTTGTTTGTTGCGGTTGCACCCGATTCAAGAGCCGAAAGGCTCACAGGGCTATACCTAATAAATTAACTTGAGCTTGAACAACGCAAGCAGCCATCCTCAGGTGAAGAACAGGTCTGTCGATAAGACAGAGTCTGTCTTAAGAAGTCTGTCGATAAGACAGAGTCTGTCTTATCGACAGACCTGTTCTTCACCTGAGGACGGCTACTCGCGTTGTGGCCGAAACGTCGTGAGAATTATTTTATTATGTTTAATTTTTATTATTTTATTATTTCCATTCTACGTGTCTTTACCGAAAGAACCAAGAAGATGTATCCCTGCAGTCACGAAAGCTTTAAATCGAAATCAGAACGATGCGCAATGGAAATCTAGCTCGCAATCAGTAGTAACATTGCGCACGGCAGGAGCGAAAGGAACTCACAAACGGCAGGTTTTTTGTTTTACAGTGGGGGGGACAATGCTGCCACGTATAATCCACGCAGAAAAGTTGAACCCCAGGCCCTTCTTTCTATGAGGCACGAGCGTTAGCACTGCGCCACTCTCCTGCGCAAACAATACGCGTGTAAAGATTTGCAATGGTAGGGTTCTGGCCCGAATTGTCCCAGCAACTCAAAGCACCTTACATCACAGTCCCATCTCACCCATGCCAATGCCCTCCTGCAGTCGAGCCATGGGGACTCCCAGTGGCAGCTGTACCTGCGTGACCGACTGTACGGGTGAAGGAGTTTGTGTGTGCAGGTGAGTGGCTAACTCCTTCACCTGCAAGCCTGGTCACCAGGCGGTTGGCGGTGTGGTATGGTGTGCGGTGTGTGTGAGGTGTGGTATGGTGCGGTGTGTGTGAGGTGTGGTATGGTGCGGTGTGTGTGAGGTGTGGTATGGTGCGGTGTGTGTGAGGTGTGGTATGGTGCGGTGTGTGTGTGGTGTGGTATGGTGCGGTGTGTGTGTGGTGTGGTATGGTGCGGTGTGTGTGTGGTGTGGTATGGTGCGGTGTGTGTGTGGTGTGGTATGGTGCGGTGTGGGTGAGGTGTGGTATGGTGCGGTGTGGGTGAGGTGTGGTATGGTGCGGTGTGGGTGAGGTGTGGTATGGTGCGGTGTGGGTGTGGTGTGGTATGGTGCGGTGTGTGTGTGGTGTGGTATGGTGCGGTGTGTGTGTGGTGTGGTATGGTGCGGTGTGTGTGTGGTGTGGTATGGTGCGGTGTGTGTGTGGTGTGGTATGGTGCGGTGTGTGTGAGGTGTGGTATGGTGCGGTGTGTGTGTGGTGTGTTCGAGCCGCACCTGCAAGCCGGTCACCAGTCGGTTGGCGAGGTGGATGGTGTGGTTGGTGCGGCTCACTTCCTCCTGGCACCGCAGCTTCTCGCCCGTCGCCGTCTCAAAGGCGGCCGTCAGCTTCGCCAGGTTCGCGTCCAGCTCCTGGCCGTGGCGACAAGCGCACGGCACACAAAGACAAAGATCCCCCCACCACCGTGTAGCCTTAACAGACTGTAGGGGCGAGTGCTGTTAGCGAGTAGCACCTATGAAGGCCGGCACGGCACACGAGGGGGTGGGTAGCCAGCACCACGCCCGGCCGCCTTTGTCTCCCCGGTGGCGATGTTTATACAACGTACCGGGTACTCATTTGAGGCCGAGTTGACCTAGCGGAGGCCCAGGACCGGTTCAGTTAATCGTTACCGGTGTTGGTCGCCGTGTGCGGGATTCAAACTCTGGTCGCCGGTGTCGTAGCGCAGTGCGCTAACCGCTGCACCACCGCTCCCCGTACACACACGCATACGTATTGCGTGCATGTGTAGAGGAGTAGTTGATGACGTCATGTCACCATGGGGTATTTAAGCTGGGACCCGTGACATGACCGGGGTCGTCGGTCGGAGCCGGGAACGAGAGAGATTGGGAGTCGGAAGCCAGGCTAGGGTGATCCTACACGAGGCTAGGGTGATCCTACACGAGGCTAGGGTGATCCTACACGAGGCTAGGGTGATCCTACACGAGGCTAGGGTGATCCTACACGAGGCTAGGGTGATCCTACACGAGGCTAGGGTGATCCTACACGAGGGTAGGGTGATCCTACACGAGGCGAGGGTGATCCTACACGAGGCTAGGGTGGCTGCTTTCCCCGGCCGGCCGATGTTGGTTGAACCCTCGGTCGGTGCAGTGGGAAGAGCTCAGATAGTCGGGGGGTGTTAGGATTCCCAGTACCCTTCCCCTGGGGAGAAATATATTAGCCGTCCACTGTTAGGCGTAAGCCCCTAAAAAGTTCCTAGGCGTAAGCCCCTAATAAACCTTGGCATCAGCCCTTACGAAGATCTGCGTTAGCGTCGTCACTTGCACCACAACACATGTAACACAGCAGTTCGACCTTGTGCTATTAAGAAGGACCATTCACCAACTATACACATATATATATATATTCCGTTCAGGGTAAGGTCATTGTGTTTGTTCTTTGTGCTTGTCCACCACTGCCAACGCAGCATCACAAACAACACGAACGTGTTTAAGTTAAACCTATGGTTGCCACCTTGTCCTGGTTTTCGCAGGAACCTCCCTCCTCTTCTTGATGCATTAACAGCCTCGGGTTGTTTTTTTTGTATCAGTTTGCTCCACAATATCAGAACCAGAATATTAATTAATGCGGGAGGATCTCGGATGAGCTGCGAACATAATTTATTTCCGCAGATGTCCGGTAGTTTTCACAGATGTCCGGTAGATAATAATATTAACAGCCGCAACAACGCATAAATCAGCACAACGCACGTATATTAATATTGTTCTCTCGTCCTGCAGTATTGCTAGATCCCTCCCTCCCCTATTCCTCCCCTCCCTTCCTCCGTCCCTCCCATACTCCTACTCCTCCTCCCCCTCCTCCTCCCTCTTCATCGTCTTCTTCCCATGATGTGTCCCCTCGGGTGCATCAGAAGTGGCAACCCCGCTGGTTAGTACCTCCCCATTTTAGTTTTAGAAAGTTTGGAAAGTCTCCTTCTCCCTCTCGAGGATGCATCCCATTCGTCCTCTGGTCACAACGCCAGCAGGTCGCGTCACCGGGCCACTCAATCACCCACCCAGCACCCCCCCCCCCCCCCCCCGTGCGCCGGATGTTTTGCCCATCGGGTGACTGCCGTGAATTTTTTCTCAAAGTTACCGAGAAGGACAATAAGTTTTTTGCGCACGTGTCGTGCGTCTTGTGTGTGTCGTGTGTGCCGTGTGTGTTGTTGTGTGTGTTGCTGTGCGTGTTGTTGTGCGTGTGTCGTGCGTGTTGTGCGTGTGTCGTGCGTGCGCGTGGTGTAATAATGAGCGCTGCGTCAATTAACAAAATGCAATTAAACTTACCGGTGTCTCATTAGGCCCCCCCCCCTCCAGTCAGACAGGGCCGCCCGGCGATCATACGGTTAAACGCGATTTACAATTTAAATCAATCACAATGCAGGGTCTTTTTTTTCTGTTGTTGCTTGCCTGCATCATTAGGGAGACGATTAAAAGCAACCCCCCATATGGTGTCGACTTAATCAGAGACTAATGGGCTATGGCGATCGCGCCAAAATCTGCCAGCTGCTGCCCGACCCCATAGGCTGCCCCCCCCCCTCTCTCAGCCCCCCACCACTATCCATTACCCCCTCAAACGCCACAATTTCCCCGTTTCGAACACTCGCTCACAAATAGGTTGCTGGTATTTGCATACCGTGTCAACCCACACGGTTTACCCCGTATTCTTGTACGGGGGAAATTGCGTTTTCAGGTCCATACGGCATACAGCCGTTTCAATACGGGCAAAAAACAACAAACATTATTGTCTATTTGTTTGTGTTTCTCCCTTGTGATGGGACTTTGTAGGATGAACGTTGAGATGTATAAGGGGCACGGGGTGACCAATAAGGTCCTGAATTGGTCTGTAATAAGGCAGGGCACTGATGAGGGGTTGACAGCTTTGTGTTCGCGACCCCTTGTGCCCCCCCCCCCTGCCCCCCACGACCTCTGGCGATCGATGCAGGCGATCCGTCACCATGCGCGTGACAAAACAAAAACAAGCTCAACAACACACGGCCCGGCTACTATCTGGACGACGAACTCTCGTGGGGGTTTTGTTTGAGTCCCACCCAGGATACCCAGGAGGTGGCCACGATACAGGATCACCGTTTCGTCGAAGAATCAAGACGGACATCGCGGTTTAACGGGCACTCCCGGAAGGCCGTTTTGCCCATGGCGTTGTTTTGATGAGAAATGGTTTTATTTTATGCGCGGAGAGACGGGCGTACTTAAGCGACCCTCGGTCTGCTCAACCCCTTTGTTATTTAGACCCTCCGTAACGACGCTCGTGGTTATCTTGAGGCGAATCGTGGCACGCCTGCGGTGCCAGGGCTGCCGAACCGTAGCATACGCGACGGGGCATTTAAAAAGTTGATTCTCGCGCGCGCGTGTGCGTGCGACCTCCGTGCAAGCATCGCGAGTGTAAGGATCGTTTTTTTTCTTTTCTACAAACTGTAATTTTTCCCGGTCACTACATGTCACCCTGCCAGGTCAGTGGTGTCACAGAGGTCAGAGGTCAGAAATCAGAGGTGATACTCACGGCCAGCTTCTTGCGGATGGCCTCCAGTTTGTCGGTGGCCGAGGCGAGGTCGGTGTTGGCCTGAGCGAGCGCCCGCCGCTTGGGCTCCACGTCGCAGTAAACCTGCGGCCGGCAACGGTAGACGCGGGGAGGCGGGGGGGGGGTGATGAGGACGACGGTGGGGAAAGAGACGAAGAGCGGGACGGACGACGTAGAGAGAGGGCGAGTGAGAATCAGAGAGAGAGAGATACGTGCAGGGAAAAGGAGAGAACGAGACGCTGTTACGACCTGGGTTTATTAAGTGTTATTATTCGATTATTCGGACTGTTTGGCTGCTAGACATTTCCCCGTGATACGACACTTTGTTGCGCTATCATTTGTGGCCAGGTCGCTTCTGAAAAAAAGAAGCTAATAGCTCAGTGGGCTTCACCTGGTAAGATAAGAATAGTTTTGTTGTTTTTGTTAATGTGATTTGCTAACTTTTCCTCGACTTTGCACTCCTATCGTGTGTTTTGTTTGTATCGTCTGCTGCTATAACGTTCTGACCCTCCCCTACTGGACATCTGTGAAAAAAGAGCTTCATAGCTCATCGGATTCCTCGAGTGAGCGAGCCGAAATGATAACAACCGCCACAGTGTTCAACGCCCGTACACCACGCGGCGTTTTTATTTTGTTCCTGACGATACGGATTGCGTCTGAATCGTTACGTGGCGGCCTAACCCAAACATCTATTACGGATCGTAACAACGAGAGTTTAAGAATGCCCCGAGCTTATTCTACTTCCTCGCGGCACATTGGCTAATGCTTAGTAGAAAGGGCCGATGTACTTGACATTTTTTTCTTACACAATTATTTTCCATTGCTCTTGGGATAATAAGACAAACAAATAAATTGAACAAATCAATTGCTCGATGTTGTTTTGTCCACGACCGATTTCCATTCACTCCGTTAGGTGTCGCAAAACGTGTAAAAGGGTACACTAACAATACTTTTTTCTATGCACTGGAAACGGACAATAGGAAAAAACAAAGCTCACAAGTCACAGAATAACGCACACGTCAATCTTAGAGCACGGCAAATAACGGCGACGTTTGATCAAGCCATCACATCAGAGGTCGCGCAGTTGCAGGCCTGCGCCTTTAAAGGTAAAAGCGCAGCCCTGCAATTGCTTGCTCACGCCACTGCTGGCGGAAGGGGGCGCGACGAGAGAGAGAGAGAGAGAGAGCTCTCGAGAGCCGTTCTGGAGTTGAACTTGGCCTACTCTTCCACTATGGCCAGACATCCGGGAATAGTTGGGAGTACCCACAATTCACCTTATCACACGTGACCTGCTGATTGACTGACTGTGGTGTGACCCACTGACACTGCTGGGCGGTTGAGGTGGTGGGGCTGGCGACGGCTGTTGGAGGGTGGGAGGGTGATTTAAGAAACTTGCGCCGTTGCTTCAACGGCGCGTGTAGAGGTGTGTACGCTGAACTTCTTTCGAACCGTGCGTAGCCAACCGAGGTATTCGGCCGTGGCGGGTGACGGAATCGAACCGGGCGACCTCTGAATTGTAAGTCCTGTGCACCGGCGACCACCCCACCTACCCCCCCCCCCACCTTCGCAATCGAACGGACGCGGCAACTTTTTTGTTTAGCCGATCGATTCCGTCGGACGCGCGTGGCGCTCGTGCGAGCGCGCGGGGTGGGGGCGCAAAACGCTCGCAGCGGCACTGCAATCCCAAGAGCCACGGCATAAAAAAAAGAAAAAACACGGCACTCCGCCCTGCCGCGGCGGTGCAGGCGATACTCACGCGCATCTTTCGAGGACGGGTCGGTGGAGCGAACGTCGCCGTGGGAACAACAACAACAACAGCAGCAGCGGCAGCAAACAAAAAAAAATGAGATTAAATATGAATGAATAAGCGAGCGCGAGATTTGACGACGACCGGTGGGCGACGCGAAGAAGGAGTTTGCGCGAGCGGCTGGCGCGCGGCGCGCCCCGGCCCCGCGCTGACAAATTGCCCAATAAGCGAGTATTAATTAAAAGTGGGCGATGATGAATACCTCGCGCGCCCGTTAATAACGCCAGACAAACGAGCGCTGTTACTCGCCGTAATGAAAGCTCATCAACGCCCGCGGAGTCGAGCGAGCGAGCGAGCGGGTGCGCGAGCAACTTCGGTGGAACCGAGCCACAATTAGCGGATGGAGAGGGGGGGGGGGCCCCCCCCCCGCCCCCCCCCCCCGGGGAGCGTCGGCGGAGACGCAAACTCTCAATGTAAGAAAAATAAGACAACAATCCCCCGCATAGCCTCAACAGACTGTTGGGGCAAGTGCTGTTTGTGAGTAGCGCCTATGAAGGCCGGCACGGCACACGAGGGGGTGGGTGGCCAGCACCACGCCCGTTCACCTTTGCCTCCTCAGTGGCGATGTTTACACATCGCACCAGGAACTTATTTGAGGCCGAGTCGACCTAGGGGAGGCCCATGACCGGTGAGGATAATCGTCACCGGTGTTGGCCGTGAGCGGGATTCGCACTCGGCTCAAGGGGTTCATAGCGCAGCGTAGCGCTAACCGCCACACTACCGCTCCCCATAGAACACACGCGCAGATGCACACAGAAAAAAATATATAAAATTTATCCTCCCTCCCCATGTAGCCTACGATGAGCGCTTTACACCCAATGCTCTGTGTAAATGATGAGAAAACTCATCACAACGAGGGTGCGCGCAGTGTGCCGACTGGAAGCATTGACTCAGCGACACGTGAAAGGTGAGCTGCTCACGAGCAGCAAGGGAGGCACGACTCCCGTCCATCATGCCTTGCGTGCGTGTCACGTGACCGCTGCATTTGCACACACAGTCAGCCTTGTCTAGACCACCAGCTCAGGATATTCAACAACGCCAGAGGTCTGCTGCTCACAAGATGCCTGTCAAATCAAGTCCGGCGATTTGCGAAAGGTTATTATACGCAGCAAGATGCTGAATTTCACAGTATGTGTGTACAACATGGGTCCTTTTTTTGCCAGCATTAAAGTATAAGAATAGGCTTTATCCTTTCTGCTAAGATGTTCAAACATCTTAACACCTGTTTTTAAATCATCTAGATTGAAAACTCGTTTCTTAGTCGTGTTTAGTTTGTTGTCCTTTCCCCCCCCCCCACCGTGCACACCTCTGATTGGTGCGACGGGGTACGTACGGTGTGAAAGAAGTTCAACATAGGTACGATCACTCCACCGGCTCGTCGTTGCAACCTACAGTACAAGGACCCAGAGAAAATTCCACATGACCTCGAGGAGAGTGAGATATGCAAACTCCAAATGTACAACAGGCGTCAGGGTTGGGATCGAACCCACGACCTCCTGCATACCGGGCGAGGTAGTTAACATCTCACCACCGTGGCACCGTGATCTGCGCGCAGCAAATGTACGGTCCACCCTAAACCGCATCCACACAAACCATTGCAGTAGATGTGGATGCCTGATGCACAAATGCAAAATCCAGAACAGAGCGTGCAACATATAATGACGCAATGCCTCGCGATCCACAAATACCAACGAGACATCACAGCGACACACTCCGCTCGCTCCTCCTGGCGCGGATATTATCTGGCTTGGCCGCCTGAATGTGAAATCGTAGCTGTTGCTCTGCCATCTACATCAGCCGCAGGAAAGCAGACTGTGCGGTTTACAGTCCAGCCCAGCAATATTAACCAGGGCGGCCGCTGGGCTCGAACCGTGGAACCCCCCGGCCCCCCGCGGCTAAAACGTGCGCCGCATCTCGGCCGTGTCGCCGCCGTGAAAGAGTTTTAAAAATAAAAAAGTTATTAAAGGTGCGACGCCGCAATTTCCCGCCGAGGGAAGCGTGCCCCCTACCCTTCGCCCCCTCCCCCTGGAAGCTGCGAGCCGTCTGACCTCGTAATACTTGACGATGTTGATGACCCAGGCGCAGAGGCCCGCCGCGGCGAACGACTTGGTGCGGACGAGCTCGGGGTTGAACTCGGCCTTGCTGATGTACTCGTCCTTCACGACCCGCAGGCACGCCTCCGGGATGTGCTCCTTGTTGTAGTTGACCAACGACTGCAGGAAGTCATCCACCTGGGTCGGGGGTGGTGGTGGGGGGGGGGGGCGGATGGAGGGGGCCCGGTTTCGGCGGACAGACGAACGGCGGCGGAGGTTTTTCCCGCAGGGAGAAGAAGGGGGCAGAAACGCGCGTTAGATCCAGCGTGGTGAAGTACGGCGCTGACGACCTCCCGTGGACCCCGCCCCCACGTGGAGCGCGGGAGGCCCTCACCCCATCCGGGCGGCGGATTCACAAATTCACAAAGCGCCGTGTGTGCGTGCGAGGGGCGCAGCGCGCGTGTCGCCGCGGCAATTCCGCGGGCGGCATCGCAGAGCTGGGCGAGCGTCACCGGGGCCACGCTGAACGCGCGTTCCCGGCGGCGAGCGACACACCGGACCAATCCAAATCACCATGCCGCGCTGACCAGCGTGGTGAAGTACGGTCAAACAACCCCCCTCAATAACTGACATGGCAACGGCAAAGCCTGCGTCCAGCAGTTGGGTTGGCAATGCAATGAAAGTTATATTTTAATTAATGCGTTGGTCATGGCGGGGCGGTTTAGGTTGGGGAAGGAAGGGGGAGGGCTGGGGGCAGGGGGGTTGACCATATTTCACCACACTAGTCAGTGCGGCATGGTGAATTGGGGGGGGGATGCGGCCAGGATTGTTCCATGTGTCCCTTGCTGCCGGAAACGCACGCGCAGCAACACAGAGAACGCCTTCATCCCACAGTGGATGGATGTCTCATGACTGCTGCTGTCGATGACAATGACGACGATGACGACGACGATGGTTTTCGTCTCACCCGGCCCATGAAGACCTTCGCCGATTTCCACGATCGGTCTCGCGGAACCCGCCCGCCCGGGGCGAGCAGCGCCATCACGGCCGCCGTCACGTTGGTCACGGCCACCGGCGGGTTCGGGAACGTCTTCAGCTCCGTCAGGTTCAGCTGCGACGAGTCGGTGTGGAGGGGGGGGGGGTCAGGGGTCAGAGGTCAGAGGTCAGCGTTCAGGATCGGCGGTTTGCTCCAACGCAACCGCTGCAACGATCCGGAATGTTTCCTTTGCGTCTCGGGTACAGCCGTGTGTCAGGATCTAAGCGCCGTGTGGAGTGCAGGAGGACGTCACGATGAGACGTGAGAGGGGAACGGAGGTGATGAGTGAAGAGAGTGGTGAGCAGTCGCATAGCTATCGAGAGGTGTGCAGGCGGTGCAACTGCACCGGGTCTTCAAGCGGCTGGAAGGGCCCAGGCGCCGGGCTATGAACAGGCACGGGGGGTGTTAGGACAGGTCAGGGAGCCTCCAGTTCATGTATTGCCCCAGGGCCCATGCCACCCGTACCACGCCACTGGTGGGTGAGTAGCCATAGACACGAGGGGGTTGTCCTCTGAGCCGGAACGGAGGGGGGTTGGGGGGGCAGAGGAGAGAAGGCAGTTCTGGACTCTAAAGGCCGTATTCCCAGTCACGGCTCAGCTCGGGCTTGGCTCTGGCTTGAGCGAGCCGGCTCAAAGCCGTGCGCTCAACTCGAGCGCTGAGCCGGTTGTCTGGCTTATGAGTTGGTCGCGTAAAGGACGACCCTGGTGGCTGGGCGCTGGTGGTGCCAGCGGCTCCATACCCGGACGAGTGGCTCCGTAGCAGGCTAGCGATCTGACCGGGGGCTGCTCGTGTACGCATGGCGCTGGCGCCGCTGTTGGCGCCGTTGCCCGTACCCGGTTGAGGGTGTTGAGGGCGGACGTGGCGGCCACGAGAGCCGGCTCGGCCTTCACGAGGTCCTCCTCGCACTCCCGCTGCTGCGCGGCCACCTGCTCCTGGATGCCCGCCACCTGACCACGGTGACAACGACAACAACATCATCAACAACTACTACTACCACAACGAATACATCGCAAGGTCGCACTCATTACACACAAAGTGCTTTCCATAAATGAACCAAGAGGACCTCGCCGATCTCGTCGAGGAGCATAAACCATCATCACGCGAACATCTTCGTGGCAGCGGCTTTTGGCTAACCATTCAACAAAGACGGTGGTCACCGCGTTACGCGCTTTCAGATGCGCTTCTGCAGCCGTCTGTAACGCTCTTCCGATGTTAGGAAGCCGCTTTAGCTATCCACTTTCAAATCATCTTGATTGAATACTCATTTTCTTTAGAACTGCTTTTTGTGTTTCATTTGTAGTCCCTTCCCCCGTCACCTCCGATTAGCAGGGTTGGCAGCGTATGGTGCGAAAGAGGTTCAACATACATGCAACATACATGCCACAAACCAGACTTTCTCAGTGATTAATTAATTCGTTCTGACTTTCATTTACTTGGTTCATTTGTTAAGACTCCCATTTATTATGCACTCATTCGTTAATTTGTGTAATTCATTAGCCAAATCGTTCAGTTTCGTTCATACTTCATTCCAACACTCATTCATGATCTCATTCAATCATAGTCACAATCGTTAATTATTACAATCACTCATACTCTTACAAATTTAGTCATGCGCTCACTCACTCATTTACATTATTATTCAATTAATGTCAAAATTCATTCACACTATCATTTATTAACTTTTCTTGATTTCACCATTTAAAATTTACTCAATCATTAACAACGCATTTCACTCATTCATCATACATCTCATTCATTTTTTCTTTCCTAAATTTCGTCCATTCTCTCATTTGCTCCCTCCATTCGTACGTGCACGACGGACTCACTTGCTCGTCCGTTCGCTCATTCATTCGCTCGCCCGTTCGTCAAGTCACACTCTCGCGGTTCGAAGGGGTCACACCTTCTGCTCCTCGGCATCGGCCACCGCCTTCTCCTGGCCGACCCTCGCGGTCTGCAGGCCGATCTTGGCGATCAGCGCCTCCGCGTCGTCGTTGCGTTGCAGCAGCTCCACCTCCTGGGAGGCCAGACGCTCCTTCAGCTCGTCCACCTGTGGGAGGAGGGGGCAGGAGGTTGGGCAGCCGGGGCGCAGCGCAGCACAGCGAGCGAACGACAGTAGCGGGATCAAAACGTCGGGCAGCACGATGGCTCACGCCTACTGCCCCACGGGTGTCGAGATGTTAACTGCCTCGCCTGGTTTACAGGCGGTCATGAGTTCGACCCTGACCGACCCCCGACGCCGATATATATATATATATGTGGAGTTGTATGTATGTTGAACTTCTTTCGCACCCTACGTAGCCATGTTCTCCCCGTGGTTGCGAGGAACATTTGGCTGCTATGCATTTCAATGCGATCAGCCACTTCGTTGGGCGATCATTTGAGGCCAGGTCACTTCTGGAAAAGAGCTATATAGCTCAGTGGGGCCTCACCTGGTAAAATAAAAAAAAACTGTTTAGGTTTAAAGTTTTAACAACAACAACAACAATAAGGTTTTACGTTTCGTGAGAACTCGAGAGAGCGGGTCACAGTCACATTAACAAGAGTGCGACCGTCAGCCGGTCACGCGGCGAGGACAAGGCATCGCTGCGTCACACGCATCACGCCGCAAAGCGTCTCCACTCGCTCATCGGCTCGGACATCCGCAGTGGAAAAACGACAACCCGGCGCGGGTCGTCACGTCCCGGGTGACAGCCGTGTCAGGATCTAGGCGCCGTGCAGAGTGGAGGAAGACGTCATGATGACGGTGGCGACGACGATGTGAGTGGGGAACGGTGGCGATGAGCGCAGTGAGTGGCGAGCAGTGGCGTGGCTATCGGGTGGTGTGCAGGCGGTGCAACTGCACCGAGCCCCCGCGCTACGCGCTGGGCCGGTCCAGCATGGCTCGGCACGGCACGGCTCCGGGCGCGTGGCAGAAAAGCGGTGCGTCGCCGTCGACGACACCCGGGCTGAATCGTTCGCGAGCATGCACGCACGCACGCACGTGCGCACGCGCGCCACACCTGCGCGGCGGTGCTCTGCAGCTTGTGCAGGCCGCTGTCGAGGCGCTCCATGCGCAGCGCTAGCTCGCGGCGCTTGCTGCCCAGCAGGCCCTGGTAGAGCTTGATCTGCTCCAGGAAGGACTTGGGCGTCGTGTAGTTGTGGCGCTTCTCGTTGCGGCGGTAGCGCTCGCCCACCGCGTTCACGCTGGCGTGCGCGAACGCCATGAACAGGCTGATCGAGTCCTTCACCTCTGGCTGCCAGGCACACGCGCGCGCACACGCGGAGGGGATGAGCGGGAGGGCGAGCAGAGAGATTGGCACGTGAACGGATGGACGGGTGAGTGAAGGAGTGAAGGGATTAACACGTGAATGAGTGGGCGAGTGAAGGGATTGACGCGTGAAAGAGTGAGCGAGTGAGCGAACGAAGCGAATGGATTAACACGCGCGTGAACTAACGAAGGGACTAACAACACGGAAGAAACAATCGATTCACGGATGAGCGGTGGAACGATTGAGAGGATGGAAGAATGAATCGGTCAGTGACGCGTGGGTATCGCTGAATTCCACGTTCATCGCATCGGCAGCGCGCGTGGCCGTCCAACGCGGGGGACAGGGGGCGGGGGGGGGCAGGGGGGGTGTGGGGGGCAGGGGGAGATATTTGGGGGGGGGGGGGGGTAACGCGGCACCGTGACATTTCCTGCTGTGGCCACGCAGTGGCGCCAGAGACCGAGCTCCGCGTGCAGAGGGGAATCGAGATTCCTCCAAATCGCCGCCTCTCGCTCAGTCAACCAGCGGTGCCCCCCGCCCGCCCGCCCGCCCGCCCGCACGCAACGTGCGTTTTCAACAGACCCCGCCATCGATGACAACGCGAAGTCGTAGGGTTCGACTATTCACCCCCCCCTCACCGTCGGTGGTGGCGTGGATTGCCCAATCATTTTATTCGGGGTTGATAAAACAGGTGCCACTTTGTTGCGACGTTGGTTGGCGCTGCGTGTACGTACGTGCGCACGTTGAACTTCTTTCGCACACCGCACGCAGCCACAACGCGCTAACAGCTTGGCCATTCCAAGCTGTGATGCTTTGCCATGGGAATGTGGAATTTCCATTGCTGGGTCAGGGCTTGCCAATGGAGACATCAGCATTGGCCTCATTGCAACTCGGAGCACTGGCAATCGTTTGACATCCCCTCTTGAGAGTTACGCAGCAGCTCACGTCAGAAATAAACTTCAATCTTCACGAGTGCAATTTTTTTTTCAAAATTACATTTGCTCGTGTAAATTCCGACGGCGCTATTTTACTGCAGTGTTAATACCGGTCGTCTTTGTAAAACGTTGCAAAAAATAAATGTATTGCATTGGTATTCGCTGCCGTGAGGCGGAACGTCGGCACGGCGGTTAGCGCGCCGTGCCGTGATTCCGGCGACTTGAGTTCGATTGCCGGCCGGAGCCAACGCCATCAGCGGCCTCCTCCACCACCCCGCACCGCACGGACCAGCGTGGTGAAGTATGGTCAAACAAACCGCGGCGACTGACCGACGTGAAATCGGAGAGGCCTTCATCCAGCGGTGGACTCAGAAAGGGCCAATCGTTATTATTGTTAATTTATGTCGCGGCGGTTAAATGTAGCGCGGCGTCTCAAAGGGTCCTCAACGAGACGGATTTCGATATGTTTCTGAGCGCGCCATCTCGCTCGTGACAGCAACTCATCCATCGTCGGAAAAGTTTCATGTTGACTCGCACGCGTTGCAACTTCCATCCCTCAAAACATCGCGATGCACGCACACACGCACGCACACGCACAACAACCAAAGACGGACCACGCCGCCTGATAACGATGAATCTTCATCACGGGCGAACGAAATGAATTTAACCAATTTCACAGACGCCGTGAATTACCAGCTGCACGGTAAGTTAGGGCTCATTAATGTTAACTTATAACGTTCCTTATTCCGTGTCATTCCACTTAATTTTAATTGAACATCGTGTCTGTTGAAATTTCACACCCCATTATGCCTTCTGATGGCTGTGAAATTCAAGGCATTAATTTCTCTCCCACCAACCCCCCCCCCCCACTTGCCCCCCTGCAGCCCCCCCCCCGCCCCCCAACAATACAATGAGAGGATCGCAGTAAATGTTCGAGGAGCGAGGCGACCCGGCCCGTTTAAAATTCAGCTCCAAATCGCCACTTTGGGGGGTGACAAAGAATCGGCGCGATTTTTTTCTCTCTCTTTCCTTTTTCCTCCTCCTCCTCTTTACACAATTGCACGATCGTGCTCACGGTCAAAAAGAGATTTACATCCACCCCCCTCCCTCTCCAACTCCCCTCCCCCCCCCCACAACTCAGAATCTGCTGTGCGGCGTCGCCCGCCAAAAAAAAAAAGCGGGCGTTTTGTAGTCCGGTCTGTCGCGTCGACCGGGGAGGGTGACCCCCACCGCCCACCGCCGCCGCACAGCGGTTACAGATTTGTGTTTTTTTTATAGTTTCACAACAATAATCAGAATTTGTAACGGATGGGACGCGATTTCCGGCCAGATCCGCAGGCTCGCTCTTTGCCGATCCGCCGCCGGACGGTGACATCCCCATGCCGTGCTGCTGCTCGGTATTTGACCAGACTTCATCATAACCCCGCCGGTCGGTGTGCGGATTGGTGAATGGGGGGGGGGGGGGGGGAGAAGGGAGATGAAGGAAGTTGGGGGCAGGGGGTGGCATGACCAGATGACCGGTGTTATCCCTGGGCGGGAGATTGAACTCGGCTCAGCAGGTTCGTAAGTACAATGTGCTAACTAACCCCACGTCCGCCGCCCACTTCTACCCCCTGGATAGAAAGACATGGCCTCCGATACGACGCAAGGGCGCTGCATACCAATGTAGTGACACATGACGTCACTACTGTGTTGGCTCGGTATGGGTGCCGTAGGCGGGTGTCACGGAGGTCACGTCAGGCCGTGACACTCTGCGTGAACCCAACAGGACACGTGACCGGACAAAGGGGGGGGGGGGGCTAGGGGCCCCAGGGCGGAGCTTGGGGGTCACGTGGTTGGGGGCACGGAGCTTCTCGAAGGATCGAGAAGGGGGGCGTGGCCTGGGGGGGATCCGGCCACGCCACGGGAGTTACAAGCGGGGTGTGAACAGGAAGCTGGGTTGTTCAGCCCCGGGATGAAGACGCCATCAACACTCCTCCAGGCTCCGACCTTCGTCCGTGACCAGGCAGCCCGTTAACCTGCCCTGGTCACGTTACGCGGCATTCCCGCCCCGAGTGTTAGTGAGATTAGGAACGGTGGTCACCACCCTGTGTGTCACGTTCAGGTTGGTTGTTGTGCGTTAATAAATAGTGCTGCCTCCAAGTTGAGTGTTCGCCTCCATTGAACCCACTACACAAACATAAAATTACGCCGGAACTTCACAGGGAACAACGCTGTTAATTGTGTCTGTCAATACTGCCTTCATTTAACCACGTGGGAGTCTAGGGGGGTGGGGGGGGGTCCTGCCCTTCTCTTGGTTATTACGTGGTAAGGGTTCACATTTGTCTGGCGCTCGCGTAATGGTGGCATGGCCGTTCGTTCGCCGCGCGGTGAACCCCCCCCCCCCCCCCCCCCCCCCGTTACTTTGAGTCTCATTCGCGGCCACGGCCAACGTCAGTGGCGGGTGACTCCAGTCCTGGGTACAACCGATGCACCAACCCGCGCTGACCAGCGTGGTGAAGTATGGTCGAAACAACCTCCATGGCCGACGACGACGCGGTGTGGGGAAGGCTTTGCCCAGCAGTGGATTGACAAAGCGCTGTAAATGATCGTGTTCATTATTAGACGAGCAACTGGAATTACAGATAGCTAACCTCCTTGTCCATTCGCTAACTACCCTCCTAGCAAACCATCTTAATTACCACCTAGCTGTACAAGTGGGACATTTTGTGGGGAGGCCTTCATCCAGCAGTGCGTTGAGAAAGGGCTGTGGAATATTTATTGTCATTCCCATTGTTGCGCTTAAACGCAGCGCATCACGAATCATTTGGCGAAACCCCCTGACAAAAGCGTGAACTATTTCCCATTGAAATGAATCTACGATCTCGCTCTGTTTGCACATTCGTCGTTAAAACAAAAAAAAGACTTCAATTGTGAAACATGGCTAAAAGTAATATCACTTACGACCCCGAAAAGCGTTAATAAAATAAAAACCCGTCCGTGAAATTTAACGACAAAGCCGGTCAACAATGAGGCCTCGCGAGAAGTCCGCTAAACGAAGGCCACGGAAGGGGAGACGCAGCGACCAAACTTGACTCTCTCCTCCTCCTCGCTCTCCGAAGTCATTTCCCCCTGCCACTCCGCTAACCGCCACGAACTGCAGACACAGCCGCCAATTAGGCGCAATTATCGCTCCATTTCGTCCCGACACCAAAAAGAAAAAAAAAGCCGACGACTCCCAATGTCGGCGTTTCGCTGGGCTGCAGGACCCCCCCCCCTCCCATCGTACCCACCCCCACCCCTCACCCCCCCCACGGACTAGGGTTGCCACCTATCCTTTCGAAGTAGCTTCTCTTCGGCTTTTTTTCTACCCTTTTGTGAGGCGGCTGTCTTGGAAAGTCCGTAAGCTTTGCGGGTTGTTATTGTCAGATGCGTCGCAAGACGACACTCAAGGCAATACGACTTTACAGGTATCTCTCCTGTGCTCCCCTCCGTCTTTCTGTCTTCCTGCGTTGCGAGATATTCCTCTCCCCCCCCTCCCCCACGCGATGTCTTCCGTTCTTTGTCGCGATCTCACGAGGTGGCAACCCTCGCGAGCCCAACGCGCTCGACAAAAAACAACAACGCGGTAACGGTGACTCAAGAGGCGACGACACTTAACCCCCCCTCTCCTCCTCCTCCCCCCCCCACCGCGCTCCCCTCCCCCCTCCGTCCTCACCGCGATGCCTTCGATGTCCTCGATGAAGCTCCGGCTCACGGACTCGAGGGCGCTCCGAGGCCACTCGTGGAACCAGTCGATGGCCGTGCAGTTGACGAGGGCCGGGAAGCGTCGTGCGCGCACGCGCAGCGTGGAGCCCACGGGAGAGAAGCACAGCACCACCTGACGGGGGGAGAGGTGTCGCTCGTTAAGTCGTTCTGGACATCTGTGAGAAAGAGCTTTATAGCTCATCGGATTTCTCCAGTATAACTAAATATTTAGATTTTTATGTGTATTTCAGACGAGGCCCATTGAGCTTGGAGCACTTTTTATCAAGTACTCCTTGGCCAAAACGACTCGTAGGATGGTAGCCAGCGAGTTACATGGGAAGGGAGGGTTTACAGGGGCTGCATTGAGCGGCTGGTAGGATGGTAGTCAGTGAGTTACATGCGAAGGGAGGGCTTACAGGGGCTGTATTGAGTGGCTGCTAGGATGGTAGTCAGCGAGTTACATGGGAAGGGAGGGCTTACAGGGGCTGTATTGAGCGGCTGGTAGGATGGTAGCCAGCGAGTTACATGGGAAGGGAGGGTTTACAGGGGCTGCATTGAGCAGCTGGTAGGATGGTAGCCAGCGTTTAGCATGCGAAGGGAGGGTTTACAGGGACTAAAGAAGCATTTGACCTCCCGAGAGGTGTGGCTCAGACACCGGCGAAACAAAATGCGTCAATCAATCGAGAGCGAGCAGGTTGAAGTCGAGCCGCGTGCGGAGCCGACCTTGAGCTGGCGCCGCACCCGCTCCAGGAAGAACCTCCAGCAGGCCTCGCGCGTGTCCAGGAGGCCGAGCCCGCGCACTTCGGCCCGCACGGCCGACACGACGCCCTCCACCTCCTCCTCGCTCAGCAGGTCCGGGATCTCGCCTGCTGTCAACGAGCGCGAGCGCACGACCGCGGCGGAGTGTCAGGGGCGGCCTCTGGGCGCCGTCGCTCCAACGCCCTTCGGGAGCGACCGCGGTCTGCGACCTCGCCGTTCGCTCGCTCGCACCCCCTCCCTCCCCTCCCTCGCTCCCTCCCGTTGCTGGCTTCCGACGGGATGAGTGGCGGAACCGTAACATGATGGTGAGTTGTCACCAGGGGAGCACGCGTCTAGAGACTCAGGCCCGCATGTCTTAGGCACGGCTCGCGAGTGAGCAGCGCACACTTGGAGGAACCCAAGGCAGCACCATGGAGAGATCGTGCCGATCGTGGCGTGGTTATGAATCTTGGAGTGGTTGTAAACCGACGGAAAAATCCGACCCCTCAACGTGGCTGCATTTCAACAGGAGGTGCTGCCCCCACTCGCCCACGACGTCCGCCACCCCCCACCACGCGATGCCTCCGTGGCACGCTGACCGACGCGTTCCGTCGCGAACAGCTGCCGCTAGCATAACTTTATTCTTTTTCGTTCTACATACGCACGCACGCTCGCGCACATGCGCGCACGTACGTGTCTGTCTGTGTGTGTATATTTTATTTTTATAAGTACGCAGCCAAAAGGGATCATTGTTTTACAAGTGGCGGGGGAAGAGTACTAATTGCCCGCGCGAGCGTGTGCGCGGAAATTACAATAATTATGGATGCAGCTGTGCCGGCGCCTGCGTAACGCCACGCCAGCCACCGTCAGCGAGGCCTCTTGCCTCCCGCTGGGACTGGAGCGGCGGGCATCCGCTCGGGCGGCAGGTGCGGCCGAAAACATCGCGGCGGCGGTGCCGGTGCCGACGGCGGGGGGACGGTGGTGGCGGTGGGCGGTGGGCGAACCGAGCGGGTTCGGTCAAAGGACGATGGAGGAAAGAAATGAAAAAACAAACGATGGGTCCAATACCGGCGCCGATTGCACCGATGCCGATCACAATACCAATTACCTGCGCTGCCCTCACGGTCGTGCCGGGCGGTGTGCCCCGGTGCGGTTGCGACGAATTAACCGACGGAGAGGCAGGCGTCCGTCGCCTGCGGGATTTGCGAGTTTTCCGACAGGGTGTCGTCCCACGCGTGTTTGTTGAAGGGAGAGAGTGAACGCGTGTGTGTGTCTTTGTTTCTTTTTCTGCGTGCGAGTGGATGGCACGGTAGGCGGGCCAAAGCTTGGTGCATCTGCCAGTCATCTCCAGTCGGTCAACCCATGGCACCTGGGTCTGTCCGGTGACTTTCCTGCCAGCGAGCCTTTAGACACTTCACGTGGCCTCAAAGTGCACAGAGCCTGGCACAAGCACCGTAGTGATATCATCGCCACTTAGTGGTTGTTGTTGTGTTAGCGTTGAATGCACTGCGCTACGAACCCGGCGACCCGAGTTTGATTGCCGCTCACGGCCAACACCGGTGACGATTATCTGAACCGGTCCTGGGCCTCCTCTAGGTCGACTCGGCCTCAAATGAGGACCTGGTGCGGTGTGTAAACATCGCCACTGGGGGAGACAAAGGCGGCCGGGCGTGGTGCTGGCCACCCACCCCCTTGTGTGCCGTGCCGGCAATCATGTTCGCTAACAGCACTTGCCCCAACATTCTGTTAAAGGCTATGCGGGGGAGCTTTGTAAGTGGTATGGTATGGGTAGCGGTGGTGTAGCGGTTAGCGTGCTGCACTACAGAATCAGAATCATTCTTTATCCTGGGGGAATCCAATGAGCAGGGACTGTGCATTGTCTGAACCAGGTAAGGCCCACTGAGCTACATAGAGATATTTTTCGGAAGCGACCTGGCCACAAATGATAGCTCAACAAAGTGTCTTTTCGCGTGATTTTCTTTTGGCAGCCAAATACTCTGAACGCGTGATGTTGATTTTAAATGTGGAGGGAAAAACCGGGGGATCTGGAGAAAATCCACGTGACCACGGGGAGAGAGAGAGACGCAAACTACAAACATACAGCAGCAGGCGTCAGGGTTGGGATTGAACCCACAATCCTCATGTACACCAGGGCGAGGTAGTTAACATCTCGCCACCATGGCGCCCCATGGGAAAAAGGATTAATCCAGTGGAACCAAATTCCGACTCACAGCCACGGAGGGAGAGAGGCACCGCAAACTCCAAACATACAGCAGGCGTCGGGGTCAGGATCAAACCCACGATCCTCATGTACACCAGGGCGAGGTGGTCGGACATCGCGCCCACGTGGCACAAACCCGGCAAACGCAAGACAGCGCCGATGGTGGCAATCCTCCCGATTGTCCACGCACGACTCAAGAATCTCTCTGCACGTGGGCCCCGCTACACCGGGACGCTCCGTGCAGCAACGAATGAACGAGAACACCGCGGGTGAGCGAGTGGGTCGGGTAACTAGATAGTAATGGGATTGGTCGTAACCTAGTTAGTTACTTTGTGTGGATGGTAGTTCGCAAGTTTGTAAATAATAAGGTAGCTAGTGAGTAATTAACATGAGTAGTGAGAGCAAGTTAGTAGTTAGGAACAAAGATGCCGAACGGGGTAGTGAGAAAGTCGGCGGCGGCTAGTAGGACGGCGAATTCACACGGTGGTGAGCGAGCGAGTGAGCGAGCAAGGCCACGGCGCAGCGGGACGAGCGACTGACCGGAGGCGAGCATGTCGTTGAGCAGCACGAGGAAGCGCTCGTCGGGGACGTGAGCGTCGGTGAGGAGGAACACCGTGCCCTGGTTCTTCACGCCGGCCTTCAGGTACAGCCCGGCGATGTCGCCCTGCGCGGCACGCACGGCACAGACGGCACGGACGGCATGGACGGCACGGACGGGGTGTCACCCCCACACCGTCACCACGGGGGCCCACGGCCACGGCCGTACCGCGTCGCTTAAACCGCTCGAAAAATACCCAGGCCGCGTGCGCCGGCGTCACGCTCCAAACTTGATTCAAAAGCGCGTGGGGGGGCGGGGGATTTGGTTACTGCGGTCGCCGTTTACATCATCCGAGGTTTCTGCTGGAGCTCTCCTGCCGTGCGTATGAACGCTCGTTTATTGGCCGAAAGCATCTCGGCATACACTTGACTGGTTTGCAGAGCTCGGGCAATTTGTTGGTCGTGCCAGGCCACCACCTGGATGGCGCATTCCAGCTCGCGTCTGTGGTTTCCCCGGCGATTGTGAGATTGTAATTCGCACGAATGACCACGACGCTATATAGAACAAAAACATTGTTATTTTCATTAAATTTACTTTATGGTGGGACTCCAGGTTCCCATAAGCCCTCGGCTCTCGCATAAACTGCGTTGCGACGTCATTTTACGTCTGTTGAAGGCGAACGACACGGCAATCTATTCCTCTCGACGAGCTCTACACGATGCGCTAATCAAAGTTTTGTTTAAGACTACGGCAATCTTGTCAACGGCGGGTGCTTGGTGAAGAACGAGAGGATATGCACACACACACGCGGCCATGCGCACACACGTGCGAACACACACGTGTGTGTGTGCACAGTAGGGGCACAGGTGGTGCGTGGGCCAGTCATCTAAGTCAGTCGACCCATGGCACCTGCTGGGTCTGTCCCGTGCCCTCCTCCTGCCAGCGGGCGTTCGACACTTCACGTGGCCTCAACGTGCACATAGCCTGGCACAAGCGCCGTGGTGTTGTTGTTGTTGTTGTTGTTGTGTGCCCGTGCGCGTACCCGCAGGTCCTGCACGCTGTAACCCTTGCGCAGGGTGATCTGGAAGACGTCGAGGCCGCCGATGAAGGCGGCGAGGCGCGCCAGGCTCTGCTTGCCGCTGCCTCCCACCCCGACGAGCAGGGCGTTCCCGCGCGGGCCCTCCAGGATGCGGCTGATGCGGCACCTGGTGGCGGCGGAGGGAGGGGGGGGGTGGTGGCCACAACAGGGAGGGTGGCACGCAAGGGGGTTGTTGGAGGCTTGAGGTCGTTCGTCCGACGGTCACCTTGGTTCATCGACAACCATTCGGATTATTCTCCGCCGGTGTTGAGGCCGCCGGTCGGGAATGGCGCTCGGGGTCGCCGGGTTCGTGGAGTGGCGCGTACCCACCCACCCACACGCTCGCACAGACTGTTGGGGCAAGTGCTGTTGGCGAACATCTATGAAGTCCGTCACAGCACACGAGGGGGTGGGTGGCCAGCTGCATGCCCCCTGTCTCCCCAGTGCTGATGTTTTCTAGACACCGCACCAGGTACTTATTTTAGGCCGAGTCAACCTAGCGGAGGCCCAGGAGTGGTTCGGGTAATTGAACTCTGATCACCGGGTATCGTAGCGTGGCAAGCGACCGCTCGCCACTCACACGTACAAATACAAAGATCTTTCGTACAGCCTTAACGGGCAGCTGGGGCAGGTGCCATTAGCAAGTAGAACCTACATTGGCAGGCGCGGCACGTGAAGGGGTTGGTGGCGGTGGCCAGCACCGCGCCCGGCCGCCTTTGTCTCCCCAGCGCCGACGTTTGACTACCCACCGCGCCGGGTGCTCTCGCACTCACACGTGCTGCATGGCCTCGTTGAAGAGCACCAGGTTCATGGCGGGGTTCAGCTCGTTGTGGGCGCTCAGCGCCTCGGCGAGCGTGCGCCGCAGGCTCTCCCAGCCGGGCACCGGCGCGTAGCGCGCGTCGCCCACGCCGCCCGCAAAGTGGCAGAAGAGGAGCGGCTGCTGGGCAAGAGCGTCATCCTCCACGCCCTGCACGATGTCGCCGGCACACGGGCACAGGGGCACACGGGGACATAGTCACATGGGCACATGGGCACACGGGGACACGAGCACACCAGCACATAGACACATGGGCACATGGGCACACTTATTTTGCACTGTACGTAGTAAAACACGCTAATTGGAGGTGCGGGGGAAGAAAGGCAAACTAAACACAGAAAGCAGTTCTAAAGAAATTAGTTTGAAATCGAGACGAGAAACAGTCACGGAGACATGACGGGACAGTCACGGGGACGTAATGCTCCAGCCACAACGACACACGCAATGAGACACAATCACAAAGATGCGACGAGATGCGGTCACCGAGAGACAGACATCTCACAGCGACCGTCACGGAGCATGAGGTGGGGGGGGGGGGCGGCTGGGGGGAGGGCATGCTTCAAATGCTGGGAGCACACGGGAGTAAAACGTCGGACATCATGCCAAACAACACGCCATACGACATGCGGGATTACTAACGAAGGCACCGGTCCTGCTTTTCCCGGGAATCGTCCTCTTTTCGAGGCAGCCATCGTCATGGGAAATTCCGTCTCTCGTTAAAAGCCCCCCGGTTTTTTCTGGTCACTTTCGCGACATAACACGACGCACACCACTCAAGACAGCGACAGCGACGTGCAGTTGTCCCACTCTCATGCCATTAGTCAGATATTCCTCCTCCTCCTCGTTCGTCCCAAGACATGCCCCGCAGTTTATTCTGCCACCTCGCAAGGTGGCAAACTCTCGGCCACGCAACGCGAAAAACCACCGTGGGAGTTTCCCCGCGGCATGACAGCAGACAAAATAAAAAGACCCCCAGCCCCTCGCGCCGTCTCCACGTGGATGGTGGCCATCTTGGGACGCGCTCTCTCCTTTGGCTAAACTCTCGTCCACGCAACGCGAAAAACGACCGCGGGAGTTTCCCCGTGGCATGACAGCAGAAAAAAAATAAAAGACCCCCAACCCCTCGCTCCGTCTCCGCGTGGATGGTGGCCGTCTTGGGACGCGCTCTCTCCTTTGGCTGCCATTCGCAGCGACGGCTGCTCCGGAAGGAAAAAAAAGATAACCAGTAACCCCCCCCCCCCCATCCCCAAGGCACCAACGCTAACGGGAGCGGGGCCCGTGGGCCGTGCGACGAAGTGATTCATGGGAGCGGCGGCGACGTTCACTTATCATGGCAAATCTCCCGTGGAATAACGGATGGGCAAAATCAGCAGCGGGACACCGCGCGCATGACGCGAAAATCATTTCCTCTCTAATAGAGTCTAATGGGCGGGATGAGAGAGAGCAATTTATTGCTACCAGCTCTGGGAACAGCAGGAGCGGCGTACTACATGACCCAGCTGTCCTTGACTGTCAGCAGGTCTTAAATTATAATTACTGACAGGGCTGGCGCCCGATTTTAACGCAACTATGGCAAATGTCACAGCCCAGCATTCAAAATGTCAAAATTATCTGAAATACGATGAAAGCTTTATGACAGTATAAATTTTGGGGGGGAAAAAAAATTAAGATTGGATTTTTTCTTCTCCTTTTCGGTAATTTTTCGAGCATTTCTTAAATATAGAGACAATAACAATGAAGGAGTGGGATGATTGAACAAAAAAAAAATCGGGGAGCGGAGATTTTTTTTCTTTCGGTCCCCGTCGCAATCGCGTACAAATTCCCGGCGCGATCAATTTCAATTATCTGTTCCCTTGGAATGAAAAATTGTGGATGCGGCCCGCTCAAATGTTTAATCATCCCACGAGGCGAAATAAAAACGAGCCACGTTTATTCATGCACGTAATAATAATAATTGAAAACAAGGATCAGTTTGCGCCCGTATTAGTAAAATAAATAAATAAACATAGCGTTCTCGCTGCCGCACCTCCGATTGGCACGGTCGGGCTGCGTACGGCGCGATAGAAGTTCAGCGTACGTTACGCACACACGCGCACACACGCGCACACACGCGCACACACGCGCGCTCGTAGATGTTAAGACGCCCCGCGCGTGGCTCCTTGCAAAGGCCGGTGACGCAGCAGCTCGGGAAGATTGAACGGAACTTGTCAGAGTAAAACAAACAACCATGGTGGAATTACCGCCGCTGCAAATTCATCTCGAAATAGCGCGTAGGATTTTTTTTTGCGTGGTTGCACCTTGGGCGTGTTTCCGGGGTTGTACCGTGCGGTGGTTGTTTGGCGCAGTGTCTGACGTTTCGCTCCGTGAGCTGGGAGCTTCTTCGTGAAACCGAATTGAGATTGGCGGCTACAATGCTCGCCTGGTCTCAGGGAATGGCACGCAGCTTAATTAATTAATGTACAAATCTAAGAATGAATTGCGTTTTTTTTTATTACAAACGTATGAACGGCTAAATGAATGAAGAAATTACTATGAATAAATTAAGTAATAGGTTAATTTCGGAATAAATAAATAAACAATTTTATGAATGAACAAATTGCCGAATGAACAAACCTAATTTAGGACTGAGTGACCAAACGAATAAGTGAATGTATACATGAAGAAATAACCGAATTAACAAATTACGAAAAGATTGCACAAACCAATAAAACAATTCACAAAGAAATGCATTAAATGATCGACAGGAGAAAAAAAAATGAACAAAAATAAAATGTATAACGAATGAATAAAACACTGACCAAACAAACAAGTCAATTAACAAATTCACTAATTCACACATTTACGGACACAATCACCAATGAACGAATTAACGAACGAAACAAATTTCTCAATGAACAAACGAACGGACGAACAGACACACGAATGAACGAACGAACGAACGGATGGACGAACGGACGAACAGACGGACGGACGAACAATCATGCGGCATGTGCGACCGACCTCGAAGTGCTTGCGCGCCGTGTCGAGCAGCAGGCGGCCAAAGGAGTCTGCGTCGCGTTCGCCCACCAGCTTGTCCCCGTAGACGCGCGCCGACTCATGCAGCCAGAGGCGCGCCAGCGCCGTCGGGGAGCGCACCGCCTCGCCGCCCGCAAACAACAGGCCCTGCCAAAGGCACCGCCAGCACAACAACAACAATCTTCTTCTGCCGTGCGGCTGATGGTTTTTTTCGATTTAAAGCTTTCGTGACTCCAGGGATTCATCTTCTTGGTTCTTTCGGTAAAGTCACGTAGAAGGGAAATAATAAATAAATAAATAAAACATTATAAAATAATTCTCACGACGTTTCGGCCACAACGCCAGCAGCCGTCCTCAGGTGGAGAGCAGGTCTGTCGAGGAGACAGCGTCTGAATGACTCTGTCTCCTCGACAGACCTGCTCTCCACCTGAAGAAACGTCGCGAGAATTATTTTATAATTTTTTATTTTTATTATTTTATTATTTCCATTCTGCGTGACTTTACCGAAAGAACCAAGAAGTTTTTTTTTGTTGACTTGGCGAGTCATAAATGTCATTATCATAATTTTCATTTGGCAAAAATTCCACTTCTAAGAATTAAAACAAATATCAGTTTGGACTGCCATGCGCCAGACATCTCTTGGTGGAAATGCCGCTTGGAGAGTAAGTGCTGCTACTGTCAATCACGTGACTTGAGGGCATCTCAAAAGATGTTCTTAAAAGTCACCTTGGTGTGATCGCATGAGCACTTCTTACTCTTTTTTTCGGTAAAGTCACGTAGGTAAAAAATATAAATAAATGAAAACAACTACATTTTTATTCATTTTTATTTTTTACCTACGTGACTTCATCGAAAAAACCAAAGGGTATGACTCATTGCAGTCACGAAAAGCTTCAAATCTATAATTAATGACCACTTCTTCTGTCGTACGGCTGATGTAGACGCAGAGCAACAGACTACAATTTCACATTCAAGTGGTCAAGCCAGACAAGCGTGTCAGGAGCAGCGGAGTGGTGTCGCTTGCGATGTCTGTTTCGTATTTGTGGTCATCACACGTTGCACGATTTGTTCTGGATGACCACAGAGTTTTCTCATTTTCCATTTGTGCATCAGGTATCCCCGCACCTACTGCCACGGTTTGTGCAGTGGCTGCGGTTTAGGGTGTGTTGTGTATATGCCCCCTTTTTATTTTTTTTAATATTTTTTTTTTAAGAATTATTCTGCCAACATAGATAATATCGTTTTTTTTAATAGACGCGGCCACGTGGGAACGAACACGCCCCCACACTTCCACAGAGGCCCCCACACTTCCACAGATGCGCGCATACCTCATTTCAAAGGAAACAGGACATGAAAGGGGGGCAATAAGGTAATAAACTCCCCTAAATTCACACAAGAGGAACAAGGGAGGGGGGAATTGCAGGCGGGGGGTTGCAGAACCAGGAGACACGGAGGAAGAGATAATTATATTCTTAACAAAGAAACAGCATCGACAACAAAAAGCACAGATGGGTCTTTGAACCATGTTAAATACACAAGTTACCAACTCAACCATAAAGATTAAGCAAACAGTATCCATCCTCACTCCAATTGAAAACCAAAAGACAATCTGCACCAGAATCGCGACCCATCATTGTTAATTAAGTACTGACATTATTTACCTTTAAAGAATATCTACACGGCCGGGCCGAAGCATCAAAGAATAATTAGGGCATCTATTTCGCTCCAAAACAAATTCCTAGCCGGGATATCAGATCAAATAATCACAAGAAGTCGAATAATAAGTACGGAATTAAAATAGAAGAGGAATCAAGGGCGGAGAAGGCTCTCAAAATTAACCAAACACAACACCCATGGGAAGCGAGCAACACGACCGCCTTTGTCTTTCCGAGAGGATCTCCACACACAGGCACCAAGCCAGGAAATGACACCCATAAAGGTTGGGTCCCGATGAAACATCGTGAACACGGTTTCGGCATAACTGTGCAGATGGAACCAAGCAGCAAATAAGTTGCATTTCAACTTCCAAACCAAACCAACTTAAGCTGTGTGAGACAAAGGATGTGATCCCAGAGCAAGGGAGGTAATAATTAAGCTCGCTTAACGCGTAAGTTTTCGCGACAAATATTATTCAGTAACAAAACATGGATTCGAATGTTTTTTTATAACTCGACGCGAATCATCGGTCTGGCTAATGGATAACTTTGGTGGCACCGTCACGAGACCCCCACCCCTTTCTTCCAGAACGACACACACAGCTGTGTCTTCAAAGCTAATAAACACACGGACAAACACGCACGCGAAACACACGGACGGACACACACACGGACGCAGATGGTCCACCCCCACAGGAAGGTTTTATGACACAGCCTTTGAACAACTCGGGAAGCCGAGTGGAATTTTCCGATATAAACCGAAGGAAAATCCATACAAAGCATATCGTCCGGGCTTCGGCTCCAACACACATATCATCCGGGCTACGAGCCCATCTTCGGCTCCACCACAGATCGACAGGGGCTCTGGCCTCCATCACAGATCGTCAGGGGCTCTGGCCCCCATCACAGAGATCGTCCGGGCCACGAGCTCCACCAGAGATCATCCGGGCCACGAGCCCATCTTCGGCTCCACCACAGATCGACAGGGGCTCTGGCCTCCATCACAGATCGTCAGGGGCTCTGGCCCCCATCACAGAGATCGTCCGGGCCACGAGCTCCACCAGAGATCATCCGGGCCACGAGCCCATCTTCGGCTCCACCACAGATCGTCAAGAAGTTTTCATCATTGAGAATGACGAGGGTCGCGGAGTAGCGACGCGTAGCTACAAGCCGAGGTCTGCACCACCTGAGAAGAATCGCTACCCTGAGTCGCAGAGCTGCGAGTGAAGCCAACAAAGACGCCAACGTCCACCCTGCCACGAACGAAGCATCGCTCCTCGTCAGAGTGACGACCAGCGAACAACCCGCAGGAAAGGCGGAGATCGCTGAACGAGCGCCAACTTGCGCCACCTTGCGCCACCGTGCGCCACCGTGCACCACTTTGCGCTGAACGTGCGCCACCGTGCGCCACCGTGCGACACCGAGCGACAACGAGCGACACCCAGATCGACCAGCATCAACCCAAACCGACTCGTCATCCCGCCGTGGAGAAAAAGAGTCAAAGTCTTCTGAACGAGCGCCGCCGCTCACCTCACAGCGGAGAAAGTCTCAGCTGCCGCTCGCACAAACAACAGAGGTCGTATCGCTCCCCACATACAGACTCAAGAAAACACAGAGAAATCTTGTCAAACCAGTTTCCTTTGTCCCAGAATCTCGCCGAAGAGTTAATTAAAACAGAGCCAGATTCGCTCTCGCGCCCACACGCCCTCACCCACCATTGTATCAAACATTCCGTTAAAAAGGATTTTAGACTTGCCGATGAATCTATTGACATATACTTTCGCCTCTGGGATACAATAAGTGCTTTTTATTACCGCCATATGAAGTGTGTCATGCTTGTTTTCAAACTCGACCAGTCGCCGATTGTGATCAATACATGGGCGAACTAATGATGCCTGGTAGGAAAAGTAGAGGGTACAATTGATAGAAGTGTTTTTAGTCATTCAGTTCGTTAAATGCATAAGTGTTTATTCATTCATTTTAGTCAAATGCATAAGAGTTTGGTTATTCATATTAGTTAGTGCATAATATCGCAAATGCATAAGAATTTTAGTTATTCAATTTAGCTAAATACATAGTCTCGCAAATGCATAAGTGTTTATTCATTCATTTTAGTCAAATGCATAATCTCGTAATTGCATAAGAGTTTTGGTTATTCATATTAGTTAATGCATAATATCGCAAATGCATAAGAATTTTTAGTTATTCAATTTAGCTAAATGCATAAGTGTTTATTCATTCATTTTAGTCAAATGCATAAGAGTTTTCGTTATTCATATTGCATAATTGCATAATGTCACAACTGCATAAGTTTTTGTCGTTCATATTAGTTAATTGCATAATCTTGCCCATGAATTATTGACGCATGTTTGACCTGCATGATAGAATGTCACGTGCTTGTTAGAATAAAATTGTAATCCAGAAGCATATCGAGTGTTCCTTCCAAGTCCATGCAAAACCATCTTATTCATAAGAGCTGTATCCTGCGATGAGATATGAAAATGGAGACCTAAAATATTATAACACACACTAGGATAATCGGTAAATGAATCTATGATAATCGTGTTATCCTGATTGATAACTCTGGATAAACGAAACTAAGCAAATTATCATAACTGCACACATTAACATAATCGCAAGCCTCCGCATAAATTACTACGATTATCTCCGTGATTATCATAATTTATGCATATAATTACACGCATTATCATAATTTATGCGTATTAATACACACACTATCATAATTAATGCGATTTGCGCATTTTTCGGAAAATTATTAATTTTTATTATTTTCATCAAAATTTCATAATCACAACACATACAACATCATGGGCGGCGTCGTCCGGGATCTCTCACAGACAGTGTTTTGCATGGATGATGGAATGAATCACTTCGTGTTAACCAGAATATCAGGATCGAACATTGCATGGTAATTGTGAACGGGCGGAAAACAAAAAACGCCCTCTAAGGTTAAAACCCAGAATAGCAGGTTAAAACAGAGACAGTGGAATTAAGATAATATCGTATCAAACCAATTGCATCCTGTGATAAATGGTGTTAGAGGTACGCACTCTGAATCGGAAAATAACAGATAGCTCGAGTCGAATTGACTACACTCTGTGAGATAATTGTTTTATATGCACTCTGAAAGGGAATGCCAAAGTAACTCCCGCCACACCTTGAGATGCTGGGATTAAGAATAATTTTTGAATGGGTTACGGGATACGGGGAGCTCGTATTTAAACGTACCGACCAATCTGTTACAAAGCAGTACAGTCAGAGAGACATATGGGAAGGGAGCTGTATCGATAACACGAACACACCTCGGGGGAAACTAATTGACTGGATAAAATGTAACGAAGGCGAACACGATGCAAAAACTGCAGAGAAGGCAGGACAGGACTCATTCCTTCTCACACAGGCATACAGACAGGGATTGTGGAATGAGGGAAAGTTTGGAAAGGAAACGGGAGAGAAATCAGTGCTCGCGAC